TTTTTTTCGGAAAAGAATGAGGATGAAAAAAAGTTATGACGAAAAAAATGTGGCGCGCCGCGCACCATTTTTTTAGTACTGAAATTTTTGGTGTTATCCATTTTTAGACATTTTTTTCTCGATTTTTTTCTTTTTAGAACAAGTTTTTGATACTGGTCTATTATGATGTAAGAAATCATAATAGAGCTCTATAATGATGAAAAATTAGCTAGTTTGCCGAAAAAAAGTCGGTATTTTTCCAGAAAACAAAAAAACTGACGCTTGCGGGTATCGAACTCGCGACCTCAAAATGAAAAAAATCGCAGCGCACGCGCTGCGCCAAGCTGTTAGGTCTGGCGAGGGGAACTTCCATCCGCCATAGCCTTGAGCCGTTTGAATAGCACAGATTGCCTATTTCAAAAAAATAAAAAAATTTGAAGTAATTCAGCTATTTTTTTATCAGAATATGTTCGCAAATCTTTACTCAAATTTTTCCGTGGAAATTCACTTCGAAAAAAACAGTTTTTTTCAGTGCTTTTTGCCTCGTTTAACGATCACTGCATTAAAACGGCCCCGTAAATTTTTTTGGCAAAGACGAATTTTTTTATTTTTATTCTTTTTAATTGAAAGATTTTTTTACTAATAAATGTATATAATCGTTTGAAAAAAACCTGCGTTCGGCCGCTTTCTGTGTGATAAACGCCGCTAATTTTATTCTCTATTTTTCAAGTGCATTTTTTTGCGTATTAAACAACTTTTTTTCCAGCACATATGCTGTGGAGAAAAAAATTTAAAGTAAGCCTATGGTCTAACTTTTGAAAAAAACAAAAAAACTCGATTATATTCGCTTATTAACGATATTTTTGAATTATGACTTTCGGCACTCCCTAAAAATTTTTTTGGCAAAGACGAATTTTTTTATTTTATTGTTTTAAAATTACCGTTACTTGAATCAAAATCATTATATAAAAAAAGAAAGAGTGCGTTCGACCTGAAAACACATGAAAAAAAGCAAAAAAATGACAAAAATTTTTTTAGTTCCATTCACGTTTTTTTGTACGACATTCCGCGAGAACGCATCAAAAAAAAGCGTGAAATATTTTTTAAACGAAAGAGGAAGCTTTTCTGTACATGTGTGTCAAATTTTATTCGCCAGTTCCACATATTTTACAACTACAACAAAATGAAAGTTGAAAACCAAAAAAAAGCCACTTTTTCTATCGCGAAAAGGGGCGTGGCTTTGCGGTCCCTAAGTATAGTTAGCAGGAATTCGGTTTTCAGAACATCTAGCAAGTAATGGAATTTCCCTTTACAATTGGGAATTTCCTGAAAATATTAATTGAAGTACTCGATGAAGATCCCGGCTTGAAAATTATGTTAGATGTAATGCAAACAGATTTTTAGTTGACGAAAATATTTAAAGTTAGATTGACCCTAGAAACTGTTATGAAATGTTGAACCGATCACTCTAGGGGTCCATTTTCAGCTGTTAGATCTCTAAGGCGATTAGTGGCTCTTTTACAGTTGGTATCGATTTTTCAGGGTACTAGCAGGAGCTAAAGACGAAAAAAGGAGTAAATGCGAGTGGAATAAAAATTACCTGGCCGGTGAGGAGATGTTGGACGGGTACTGATGAGCGGCATTGGCCGAAGTCGGTGACATGATTGTGCTCGTTGGCGATCCAATGTCCAGCTGTTGGTTCTGGGCAAGGTCCACGTAAACTTGCCGTAGCTCATCGCCACGCATCGTCACGTTTGGAATCGTCTGAAGACTTCCATTCGATGTTTTTCGGAGAATTATAGTTATCTGAAGGTTTCTCGCTCGCAATTTTGTTTTAGTTTTTGTATCACTGGACTTCTAGCCATCCTTCTTTCGTTCATTCTCACCTTCCAATCAGTTGGATCCGGTACATTGTCCAATAAGGCGACGTCAACGGGATCCATTCCAGAAGTTTCGGGAAACAGGAGGCTAGGCCGGGAATAGTCATGGTTCTTATTGATAAGAACCGGAGGTAGGGCTGCAAGTAATTCGTTCTTTTATCTTAAACCTTTTGAATTTTGAAGCTTTCTGCCATCGATTTTTGAGTAAAAAGCGAGTTTTTGATGCTCAGACAGGCTTAATGTATTCTGGAATCAAAAATGCAACAACTCACGCCTCGAAGGAACTTCGACGTTGTTGTAATGATACGGGTTGATGCAAACCATGGGGCTTTTCCTTCTGTAGGGGTTCCGACAAGCCGGAGAAGAACGGACTTCCAAGTCAACACTGAAAAATTGGACTTCTCATTGATAATATCTTTTTTTGGATTTTTCGAAGCGGATGACCGTACAGAGCCAGAAGCGAAAGATCAACGACGGTCTGAAGAGACGCCAGGCAACGAAAGTGTTCTCGCCTTCTATGGCGTTTCTTCAGATAGCCGCTGATCTCTCTTCAGTTCGGTTTTTTTAGTAGTTCGAATGAGCTTCTATTCCTTCGGAGGTTGATAAAAACTTTTTTTTCTCTGTTTTCTGTTTTGCTGCAGACAAACGGCTCATTATCTTTCGCTACAAAGCAAAGTAAAAATGATTAATTAATCATTTCCCCCTCCAAGAGTCTAATTATTCGCTATAAAACGGATAGATAACAAAAGTACAAGTCGGACTCACCGTATCCATGGGAACCGGAAAATCTTCAGCGAAAATATTAAGATACGGCCGAAAGAGCGCTTCTCACTGAAAATAATGACCGGATTAAGATGATCAGTAGAAAAAACTAGAAATATATATTTTGTTAGTCTTCAAAGTTTTGAGTGAAAGCCTTCACAAAGAATTAATGACCTTCAAAAAATCGAAGTGTAGGAACTAAAGAATCAGGATATCTCCGTTATGTGGCCTATTAGTAGGCATCTAGGTGAAGCTTTTTGATTTCTAGAACCATGAATAATCCTTGTAGGAGGTGATTTTGAGATCTGTGGCTCCTAGAGACATTAGCTAGCTCTATAAAAAACCCAGCTTTGAAAATTTTCAAAACTACTGAAATTCTTTCCAAAGCTCAGAAATTCACGAAGAAACTGACTTCTGGACCATGCAACAGGAGGTGTTAGCGTCGGCCGAGTAGATGGCCTCTTGGAATTCGGCCATTTTGTTGAATTTCCGGATGGTCTTGGAAATGGCTCGTGCCGCCTTGAATGGATACTCCAAGTCGCCCTGGAAGTTTCGAAAAATCACTAGGTCTTTGGAAACACAATTGGAAAAAAAAATTTATGGCTTCAATCTGATGAAGTTTGAGCCAATGAAATTTCATTTTGAAAGATTTTAGTCTATACCTAAAGGAGCAGTGAAGTTTTAAGCAATGGGTTTTCGAAATGCTGCGCGATGATGAGCAGGCAGAAGAGGTTTTATGGTAAACTGTAGATTTTTACTTTTCCTTAGGAACCATTGTTGAATGGATTACTGAAAAATTTAATTGAGATTGAAGAGAAAAAAGCGTTTAGTTAAACTATTCTTTGGTTTTCGGTAAAATTAAAATTCGGGTAAATTCATCAAAAAACATGGAAAAGTTTTTTTCCGTTTTTTTTATAGTCAATGTTTCCCGACTTGAAAGGCGAGGGAGGCGGGGCAGGGGGCGGAACGCGTAGCGTGTGCGTTCGCGGTCCTTGCCACGTGTTCAATTCATCTACTCTTTGAAAAAGCCCGTTTTTTTCTCTTTTTTTCATTCTTTTTTTCAATTATTTATTGATTATGTTCATGTTTTTCATCAAAAAAATAGTAGAAAACATTGAAAAAAAGAGCGGTTGCCGAGCTTTTTTTATATAGTCGGCGGCAATTGAATTGAACTCGTGCCAAGAACCGCGAACACACACGCTACGCGTCCCGCCCCTTGCCCCGCCTCCATCGCCTTTCAAGTCGGGAAACATTGACTATACAGTAAAAAAAAAAGTTTCGACGACAAAAAAGTCACAATTAAATTTTCTTCCATCATTTTTCTTGAAGATAGCGCGGAAGGAAAGTCTGTTTTCACTGGTTGACTTGGAAAAGACTGTCGAAAAAGTTGAAGGAGAGATCAGCGACGGTCTGAAGAGACGCCAGAGAAGTGGGAGACTCTCTTTCTCTCGCGTCTCTTCGTACGCTATCAGTCTCTCCAATCCGCTTTTTTGTCACGGCTTTTACACTTTTCTCTGGTTTGATCGCAGGAAACGTTTATTTCTACAAAAACTTACACTGCCTTCCGTGAGAATCGTCTCTTGGACGACTTTTCTTGCCAACGAAACGACTTCTGGTTCATATTGTGCGGACAAAGATTCAAATGCAGGATGTTGGTCCGCTGTCACGTGGTTGTAGCGGTGCATTTGACAGCTTCAAGCTATTTTTTAGGTTTCCGAAGATTTGATCATTTACTAAAAAAAGAAACGAGAACTTGAGTTCCGGGAGGAGTTCATTTAGTGGCTTTGGTCCTTTTGAGGTTCCCAAAATATAAGAAAAATGCGAGAAAAAAAGAGTTCAGAGCCTAAAAAAATTTTTAGGTTTTCGAATATTTTTTTATTATATTTGGTTTTAAAAAAAATGGGGAAAAACTTTATTAGAAACCGCATTTTTTTCAGGTAGGTCTTCTTCAAATAGCTATCGCTGATTCACTGCTATTTTGAGCCATCGAAAGAAGGGGTCCTGACACGATAAAAAAAAAAAGGGACAATGCCTGGTTTCAATTAATATTTGGAACTTTTGAAAGAAGTTGGATCTAAAAAGGGCTACACGTCTTTTAAAGCTTTTTCATGGATTTCTGTCAATTTATAAGGAAATTGGCTCCCATTTCTGAAAATTTCCGTTCAAAAATCCGTTCTATAAATTTCAATTGAAGATTGAAGCTCATATTGAATAAAGAAAAATGAGACAATTTGTTTAGAAAAAAAGTTTTAGAATTTTATTTATCCGAATTAATTTTTAAAAAAAATTTACCAGTTAGTTATTTTTGTTCAAAGTTCATCTCTACAGTCTGATATTAAAGACGATAAAAAACCAGTCTTTAAATCGAGCTAAAATTGAAAAAAAAACTACATAAATTCGTGTACCACATCAATAATCGCACGTCTGGAGAAGGAAGAAAATTGGAAAGTATCGGCGCAAAAAAGGGCGGAGCCACAGACGAGAACCGAACCGTGAAACCCATCATCAGCGCCAGACCTGCCAAGACAGCAGGTTGTTCTCTTGTTGCCTGCGTCTCTGCGTCATTCCGCCTCTCTGCGTGGCCGTCAGAGGTCAAGTCGTGGCGAGACCCGTTCGTCGGTCTTTTGGCGGGATTCCAAACTCCCCTTCGACATTTCTTACGTTTTTTTTTCTTCTCGCGTTTTTTTTCTTTTTCGCCTGGAATTAAACTTTTGATCTTTTATTATTTTCAAAATTTTTATAGAAAGGTGATTCATGTTCCTCGAAGTTTTGCAAAGGTTATTTTTCAAATTTGAAGGCTTTTTATTTTGTTTTTTCGTAAAGTGTCAAAAAAATAAAGTATATTAATTTTTATCGTTTGTCCAAATACTTTTCTATAATCGTTGAAAGAGCTGAGATGTGTTTTAACAAAGTGAGCGAACGTTTTTTGAGGGGTTTCCAAAGGTTATTTCAAGTTTCGTAACAAATGGAGTGAAAAATTCTTTAAGAGTTCTAAAATTTTCTTTTTTATTTGCGTAATCAAACTTTCAGAGCTAGAGAAATAATGCACCGTTTCGTTTTTTGCTTCACCGAACTTTTCCCAAGGTTCAATTTTTGAGAATTCTGGTCCGTTAAAAAAACCTTCAGATCAAAAAACATGCCGGAAGCGCTGTAATGTTCTAACTTTGCAGTTCAAGAAAGTTTTCCTTTCACTTTTCTTTTTCGTGTTGTTATTAATCTTGTTTTTTTTTTCTCTTAGTTTTGCTTTCTTTATTCAGATACTAATGACTCATAATTTCGCAACTATTTATGTTTTTTTCTTTTTGAGAAAAATTTATCGAAAAGAGTATAGGATAACGGTGATATATTTTTGATATTGGTTTGAAACTCCATTTTTTTAAGAAAATAAAGGATTTATTTGAAGCTTTATATCTTCAAAAAAATAATTTTTTTAAATGCTTCTTTAAATATCACTTTTCGTTGCTTTGAAGGTCTCTTGTAGATATAAGTTTTTGGTCTTTTTGGAATAACCATTTGTTTTTTTTAACGGCTTTAAAATCAAGTTAATTTTTCAAGTTGCAGCCATGGCGTTCAACCCGGAGTACGACAGCATCGCGAAGGCCTTCGTCCAGCACTACTACTCCAAGTTCGACCAAGGTGATGGCGCCGCCAGGGCCCAAGGTCTTTCGGACCTATACGATCCCGAAAACTCCTACATGACTTTCGAGGGAGACCAGTGCAAAGGCCGCGACGGCATCCTCCAGAAGTTCTCGGTAGAAAAAATGAAATTCACCATGATAATTTTGATTTTTAGTCCTTGACGTTCAAACAAATCCAACGAGGGATCACCAAATGCGACTCTCAACCCCTCTACGACGGCTCGATCTTAGTAATGGTGTTAGGACAGCTCAAGGTGAATTTTTTGACGTTTCAAATGTGCTCAAAAATTCTTACTAGTGCGTTGAAAAAAAATTCAATGAATGTCTCGAGACCAAAAGCCGTTTTCAATATACGTCATAAAAAGATCTTTTTTTAATCCCGAATAATAATCGCTATATTTTTTTCAAATCAAACATCGAACTATCATTATGATTATTTCTTTCAAATCTAAAAGGTATCTTTCAAACAAAAAAATGAGTGAATGCAACAATTTCTACAGGAAATGTTTTTTAAAGTTGTTTGATAATTATTGTGAGAATTGTCTGTTGTTCTTTGTAAGTGACCTAGGCACGACCCTACGCAACTTTTGATCAAGAAAAAGAATATCCGGAAAAAAATACGCCAAAAATATTATTTTTCAATTGCTTTTTGAAAACTGAGTCAAGCTATTTCTGACCGAATTAATTTGCATTTCAAAAAGAGTTTGAGAAAAAAAATTTTTAAAATTTTTGAATATAACTTCAATAAGAAACGCTGCAAAGTTGGCACGTCTGTTTAAGTCCGTGCTATGGCGGTCGGTCAATATTTTTTTTCGGAGTCAAGGCATTTTTATCTTCTTTGCAGTATGTTAAGAACCTATTTCTTGAGGTTACAAGATAATTTACGTCACAAAAAGTACACAGATTTCCATTTAATTACCGAAAACCTATCTAAACTTCCGCAAATCGAATGGTCGCTGAAACAGGCGTGTTGGGTTAATTTTTATATATTTTTTTTAATTTTAGGAAGAACTTTTTTTGCACGATTCTATTAAACTCAGCTGCCAAAATGAACCAATTTCATTAGTATTTCCAAATTAATATATTTAAAGGAGAATGGCGAATTTTTATGAAGATCTCAAAGCGAAGAGTCGCTTATGAAGTGTTCAAAGTAATTTCCGCAAAATGCAAAGTTATCTCTGACCCTCCAAAATTTAGTTATCTTTTTCTTTCTCTGACCGTCATTTAAAATTTCGCGGATTCATTTTGAACATTAATCTTCAAAAAAATTTTCGTGTTTAGCCTTTAAAAATCCTCAAAAGAATTTTCGTCATGATTTGGAATAATCTGAAAAAACGAAAAAATGTTCTGCAGACGGACGAAGACCCGATCAACCCGTTCTCGCAAATCTTCATCCTCCGTCCCAATACCACCGGGTCTTATTTCATCGGCAACGAAATCTTCCGTCTCGACCTTCACAATAATTAGAAAAAATTATCACCCCTCTATATTTTTTAAAAGTTCTTAAATCGCTTATATTCAATACACTTCCCAACTTGAAATGCGTGTTTTAACCTCTCTTTTTTCTGCCCATTTTTCTTTCCTTGTCCTTTATATTTTTTTTTCGTTCGTACACTTCTTTTGGGTGTGTTCCGGTTGGAAACAGTTACAGTTTAACTCAAAGTATGCTCTGCTTCTATATTTAGGGTTATGTTATTATTGCCAATTTGTTTCTTTTTTTTCTGATTTCTTAAATCGTATCACAAGTTTGTTTGTTTCGTCTTTTGAAAAACCAACGTGAATGAAATTTTTCCCCGATCTTTGAACTTTTATCGATTGAAAGAAGATGAGAAGGTAATCGTCGCCTGGAATATTTCTTAAGATAGTTTCTTTGGCAAAGATAAATGAAAGAAAATTAAAAAAAGAATACTGTTGGAAAAAAACTTATAACATGATTTTTTTACAAACTTGAGCATGGAAAATGGAGAAAAAAAAATTTTTTTAAAATAAAAAAATCATCTACAAAGCATACATTGTTTGAAAGTAGCAAAAAAACTGGATTCACTATTTTTTTATGAATGTTTCAAATTTTGAAGTTCTAAAGTTCAGAAAAAAATATATTTTTCCATTTTTGTTTCAAGATTGAAAATTTTATTATACTTTCATTATCGAAAAAAATAAACAGTTGAAAATGTTTTTTTCGTTAGACACAATATTTTTTTAAGCCAGAATTGTTTTTTTGCTTCCAAGAAATGATTTGTAATTCAGAAGATGGTGAAGCAGGCGACCAAGGGCCAGAAGGAAATTTATCTGGAGAATAAAAAAACAATTCTGCAGTATTCCATCGCTGCTTCCATTTCCAGTGTTAGTTTTATATCTCTGAATTTCAGTTTTTTTGAAAAAAATTTAAAAGAAAAAAAGTCATGGGAGGCTTTCCAAAAATCTCAGATTCAGTTTGATGTCGAAATAAAGTGCTTCGAAAAAAATCAGAAAAGATACTGTTTTGAAGCATTTTTTTGTGTTTTTTTATTAACCTAGTTCTTAATTAAGAACTTTTTCTTTCTTTTTCAACCGAAGTATAAAATGGAATATAGACGGATGATTTCAATGATGTAACCATCAGAGATTCATTTCAAATACCACCTGACAAAAAAATCTTTTTTTCTTTTTAAATTTTTCAATCAGTGTAAAATTAGTCTTAATGAGTCTGAGCTAGTTTTTCAATCTTATAATTTGTTGAAATAAGTCATAGGTTTAAGAAGAAAAAAACTCCAAAGAACGTCCGAATAAAAAAATTTAGTTTGTATAAAAATTCCTTTCTGGGTGAAATATTCAATTTTTTTCAAGATAAAATTTTGATGCTTTTTTTCGCCATGAACATTTCATAAATTTTTTTCATTTCTTTCGCAAAAATCGGGTTTTTCAACAAAATTCCGTTCCTCAAAAAGGCTTCAGAAGGTGGAAAAAAATGTTGCAGAAGCTTTTTTTCGAGACAATTTTTTTCAGTGTTTTATCTTTTAAATATTGCGAAAAAAACCCCCTTATTAAAAAAATGAGTTTTTTTCTCTTTTTTTCTGGCTGAAGGTACGCGAGTCTAGAAATTTTCAAAATCATACGGAAATGGCTTTTTGCCTTGATATTTTTTTATGTAATTTGTTGTTTTTTTCTTGAAATAAAAACTTATATTAAAACTTTTTTTAAAGTTTTGAAAATTGAAAAATTTTTTTGGAGAATTTTTTTGAACCAAATTTCAAGTAGTTTCTCAAAAAAAGTTTCCTAAAAATTAATTTTTTTCATCGAATTAACTAATTCAATCTTTTTTTCCAGGCTCTCTATATTCTGGAATGTTTGGTCCTTGGAACGGGGACGACAACTTCCCACGTACTTTTTGGCGTCACGATAGTTCTTCACGCCCTTTCTTTGGGTTTCATGAGACGTCTTTCAGGTTTTTTTTAGAGAAAACTCCTCATTGGTATATATAAAAGAGCAGGGCCGATTCCGATTGTTTTTCGAGGCAAAAAATTCTTTCCAAAACTAGAATTCTAGATCCCTTTTAGGCTTTTTTTTTCGCATAATAGAAAAAAGTTTTTGAAGAAATTCTTACGCCTCGTTCGGAGTTATTTCGACGAAATTCAAAGTTAATTCTGACTTTTCAAAACCAATCATCTTTCTCTTTTTCTGACGGCTTTTTTGAATTTCGAAAACTTTTGAAGGCGAAACTTTTTCGAATTTTAGCCTCGAAACTCGATGAGAAAGGGCATGTAATCGACGCGGGAGCTGATCTCAACGATCCGGATGCCTTTGGGGAATATTGCAAGGATATCGTCATTCTCACTGTCATTTCTCAGGTTCGTATTCAAATGATTTCAGGTAAAGAACATAGTTTGGAAATTGTACATTTTTCAACTGATAAGCAAAGTTAAGTTTTGTTTTCCACGGCTTCTTTGGGATTTTCTTAGGATTGCTGGATTCAAAGTTCGTCTTTTAGAAGTTCATTCAAACGACGGTGTTCCTTTGAATTGAGAAGACAGAATTTCCCAGAAACACAAAAAAAAACATTTTTTTTTCAGAGTCTTGCAAAATGTTATGAACTTTCACGCAGAGTAAAATCGGGGGCGTAAGCAAATTTTCAGAAGGAAAAATTTAAATTTTACTTGTCGTTCATTTCTATTAGCTTACAAGATTCTCATATCCGCGAACAAGGTTATCTGCTTTAAACTCATTTACGCTGCGTAAAACTTTCTTTTCACATGCTGGTGAGGGTTAATCAGCGCGGCATGGAACTCGAGAAACAGCGGGTCAAAACTGAAAAAAAGAAACCGTCTTTGAAACCAATTTTTTTAAAGTATTCAAGTACCGATTTTTCATCCACTTTTTCCTTGTGAATGAAATAAGTTATCATTATAGCATTCAAAAAATGTACCCAAAAATCGATTTCTAGGTCGTGGCCCTCTACTCGAACTACGGCTACCTGCTTCTGTTGGCTCTGCCCGCGGCTGCCGGCTACAAAATCTTCTTCGGCTTCATTTTGCCCTACCTGACCGCCCCCTCGGAACAACCCGAATTCGACGACAAAAAACAGCGGAAAATGGAACGGCGTCGTGAAAAAGTCGTGTATCGACGATGAGTTTCATCAAATTCTTCTTTACTTTTTCTAATTTTTCTATCGTTCTTTCAGATATTCACCTTTGTGATTGTTCTTTTCAGAGTAATTTATTGCGTTATTTAATAATTTGTATCCTTACCCTCTTATGTACCTCTTTTCTTCATGGGCACGTGCTTTTCTATTTCTTGTTGAATGATTTTTAAATAAATTATGATTTTTTATATTAAATTTTGTTGAAGTTCTTCTCTGAAATTTGTCGTTGAGGCAATTTAAAGTATTTTTTGATTTGAAAAAAAAAAGAACTCGAAAAGGTGATATTTTTGTATAGAAAATCGAAACAGTTCAAGTCTTCAATGATTTTTTTCTGGATTTTGAAAAAAAAAAAGAATGACTCAATTACTTGGGCCTTTCTAGCATTCAATAATCTTCACCTCCTCGGAAAATATTTACGAATAGATTACAGAAGAGCTATCTTTTAGCCTCACCTCTTCACAATTTCGAACCAGATCCACACAAACTTGATGAACGAATCTCCAATTCGTACCCTGCGCGAGAACGACGTCCTCGCAATATGTAGAGAACTCGCGAATATTGTCCGATTCGGCGAAAAGTCCGTCCAATATGCGCGACTCGTCATTCAGGTTCGTTCTGGGATGCCTTCAGTAGTGTTTCCAATCCAAAAAAGGAATTTTTTTGAGAAAATAATGTAAAAATCGAGCTAGACAAAGTTTAGAAAAAGATAGAGGTGGAAAGTTTGAAGAGAGACGATTTCGCGGGAATATGTATTTTTTTCGTTATCCGAAGGCTGCTCACAGAAATTCCGAAGAACAAGGCTAAGAAAAAGGGTTCAAGATTGTTTTGGCCGTTTTTGTTCTAATAAAAACACTTTTTTCGCGCTTTCCTACTTTTTCTAAAGTTTTTTTACCCAGGGAAATTTAAATTTGGATTTTTTTGAAGCCAGGATTTTATTTATTTTTATAAAAAGTACGAACAGAAAATAATATTTTTTTCAGAAAAATTTTTTTATTTGCTTCGAAATCGATTCAGGTTTTTTTCTCTAGTAAGAAAAAAAGATTTTTCAGAATAAACTACATTAGAAAATGTTTTGAAAATGAAATTCCTCGTCTTACCGAAGTTTTTTTGAAGTCACATATACTTTAATTTTTGTTTTTTTAAAATGAGGTCTTTTTCACTTCTCATTTGTCGATTTTCTCTCAATCAAATACGTGAAAATCGAAAATATCACTCTTCAAAATAAATAAAAAGCTTTTTAGTCGTTAATTTTACCCACTTGCATTCAGAACGTCTTCAAAAACCGTTCGATCGACCTTTGCGGAATCCTGCCGCCTCAGTCGCAGTTCAACAACACTCCAGAACATCCATTCAACGTGATTTTCGAAATAATCGGTGACAAATCTGTCTTTTTTGAGGTTTCCAAACTTTTTGTAATATAAATACGAGGGAATTTGTTTTCAGACGTTATTAGAAAGCGATGAGATTCTGGCCAACGATTTGTGGGACGCTGTGATAGCGCAGTGCGACGTCAGCCACATGGTTCTTTTTTACTTTTCAGTTCCCAATAGACGTATCGGAAGATAGTTCTGAAAACCTCAACCTACAAAACTTTCTAATTTTCGAAAAAAAAAACGCCTCACAACGCAAGAAAACCTTGAAAATATTTTTTGGGGTTTTGTGCCGTTATTTTTCGAAAACTAGAATTTTGACGGCTCAAGAAATGATGGAAAAAGGGAGAGGCAGCGAAAATGGTGCATAATAGCCGATAAAAAGGCGCAAAAAGGCAGAAAAAAGGAGCCTTTTTTGCTATAAAAAGAACATTTCTATTCATAATTATTCCGACTTTGCTTATGGTTTATATAATATTTTTCTTTGGTTAGCGTGGAAACTGAAAAAAATTGAAAATAAAGTATATATTTTGAAAACCATACTGAAAAACGCCGAACGGTAATTTCCGGTTATCCTTGTTTAGTGCCTCTTTAATCCAGAAGGAAAAAAGGCCCCGGCTTTTGACTTGTAGTCGATAAATGACACTTGAAAACCCTCGAATAACGCTTTTTTTTTGTAACCTACAGACTTCGAAGCTGCGTAACTCGAGCAAAACTTTCTTGTTCTGAAAATCTCAAAGTTAATTTCAGCCAAGTTTTATCGATGTTCCCTTGTTCGATTCGTGTTGAGAGCTACATAAAAAGGCGTCAAAATATATTTTCTCTTATTTCTTCGAGACTTTTTAAAATTAGCTTTCTCGGAACTTCTTTTTAAAAAGATCATGTCCAGGCGCCGGCCGACTCCCAAACTTCGGTTCTGATGCACGCCATCTCGAAATACGTCATGCGACTTCTGCCGACGGAACAACCTGTCTCTGAGAAAGTCATGACGCCCTCGCATCACCATGCTCAGCAACGGATACGAACCCCGCTGCAGTTGATCCGCTCCAATAGCCCCCTCATGAACAAGTTCAAGCTGGGTTCGTCTCAGAAACATAGAAAAATGAATGGAAACTTTGAAATATTGTGAAAAATGATTTTTTTTTTTCGAAGTATGGTCGGTATTGAAAGTCATGCTATTTTTGAACGTTTTTTTTGTATTTTTTTATCATTCATTAGTTCCACCACGTTGTAGTTTATATAAAGCTCAAAAAACATAAAATTAATTAATTTTACGAATTCGGAAAATATTGAAGAAATATTTTTTCAGAAGAGAGAACCCAGTTGTTGAATAACACGGCGAGTGCGGCTTTCCAACCCCGTTACGTGACGTTATTCTGCAGTTTGTTGATCAAAGCCTGTAGCACGGAGAAATTCCCGACTCCGAACCGGCTCTTGTTATTGAGGTATACAATACGTTTCGGGAATTTTCGAGGGATTTCGACCGTCTGAAAGTATGATCACTGTTTCAGAAGGACAGTCGAATTTTTCAAAAATCGGAGAATACTCTGAAATTTCAAAAAGATTACATAATTTCTTCGGTTCGAGTTGACCAGCTTCTGACTTTTCTTTGACTTCAAAACTCACGCTCTGAAGTATGTCTCAGTGATGTTTCAGCAAACTGTTACTCTTCACGGTTTTTTAAAGACTTTTTAATCAACAACATTTATTCAGTTTCAGATGATCGCAGATTTGAATTTTTGTTTTGAAGTGTGAAATTTCAGGTTTTTCCTGAAGCAATTCCACATATTCTGTTTGTATGATACGGGCGATGCGGATGTTGATGGGATGAAGGTGAGAAAAAATTGGATAGAGAGAAAATAAGAAGATTTTTATCAGAATGGTGAACAATTTGGAAGGAAACTGGAAGAAAGCATTTTGATCAAAATTCATTCAAAAAAATGTTACAGAAGAATTTTTTCTAGCATACGAGTTGAACGTTTGAGGAAAGTTCTCTAAAAAATACTCCATTATCTCCTGAATTCAGAATAAAAAAAGAATTAATTTCTCGTCTTTCTTTTCTAGCCCGGTTATAATGCCTCAAAGCTGACGAACCATACAAATTTTCAAAAAAAAAAAGTGATAATTGAAGTTTTTGAAGCGTGATAACTAGGCTATTAGTTAAAAAATCGGAAAAAGACGAAGAAAAAAATTTCCTCTTTTTTTGAATCCCAAATCAGGACGTCGTGAAGCCAATTTTTATTGCAGTCCTGACTGAACACCAAAAAAATTTCCCTTTGAAAAATGATTTTCCCGTTTCAAAAAGTCGTTTTGCAGAACGCCCTGCTGATCCAACCGCCCTTTGCCTCCCATGTTTACTCGTTCCTGTTACATTCAATTGAACAATGTCCTACCGTTTTCATTTTCAAGGATATCGTTTGTGAGTTTCGAGATCACAAAATGAATGTGAATTGAAGAGATTTAAAGAAAAGATAGAAAAAAAGAAGGTAATGAAAAAAAAGTTTTTTTGAAGTAAAGTTTCCCGGAGAAAAGAGAAAATCTCACTTTTTTGAGGGTCCAAAGTTTGAAATATTGAGCATTCATATTTCTGTAAAGTTGAAAAGGTTGCGTAAGAAGCGTTTCTGGAGTCTATAATCCCGGAGGTGTGTTTGGAAAACTTTATAAAAAAATTTCGAGATTACCTTTAAAATAGAGTTACCTCTGTAGGAGGAAACAAGGTTCGAATTTTTGAAGTTTTATAAAATTAAATTTTTTTTTACGCATTTTTTTTCTATTGTTTTGGCTTTATTTGGCATTTTCTTATCATTCTGAATTTTTTTTTTCTCACATTTCGATCATTTCCAGTGTGTTGGCTAACGTATACCCGACCTTGGCGATATCTTCCCGGCGAGGAAAATATCACACATACCCGTTTCATGCCTTTCGCCAAGGAAAATTACGATTTCTATCGAATCCTTCTCGGCAAGATCTTCAAAAGGTTCATGAGAAAACATTTAAAAAAAAGTAAGAGTATTTTCAAAGGTACATGGAATTCGGAGCGTCATTGGAGACGTTGAATAATATGAAGGCGGTTATTGAATTCGCGTGGAAGGAACCGAATTGTGTGGTTTTAAGGTTAGAAATTGGAAAACAAAGTTTGGAGAAATTATTCGAAAAGTTTTCGAACCACGGGCAAAGTTCAAAAAAGGAAGCCTTTGAGGTCTTTCAGAGGTTTTTTTTTCAAAACCTTCTTCTTCAGTTCTTTTGAACTTTGCCCGTGATGGAAATAGGTCAGAAATTGGGCAGAAAAACGCATCAGAGAGTTTTCGAAAACTTTCCTGATCAGAAAAAAACAGGTAACTGGTCCCCTTTTTGGCTGGACGAAACTTCAAAAAAATCAAAAAAATCTTGAAAATAATTTTTTTATTTTGGGAATTTTTTTGAACTGCAGTGAGCTAACTGACACTCAAGTTTTTGAAAGTTGAAAAAAATATTTATTTTTGAAATAGATCTTCAGTTTTCAGAGGAAAAAAATTTCTTTTTCTAAAAAGTTTTTTTCGGGAATTTTTCCTCTGAAGAAGATCTCAGCCTTCTGAAAAAAACAACAGACGAAACTCAGTTCTTTTTTTCAAAAAAATAAAAAGAAAAAAATCCGTTCTGATAAAATAGGGAAAAAAAGATTGAATTCAGGCAACTCGGCCTGGATGTTCAGCCACACGTTACAAGCCTACTGACAGAAATGCAAAGAGTTATGTTGCTGGCCAAGGAATCCATTAAAACGATCGAAAAGCAGGTAAAAGGGATCTTTTGGAGGTTATCTCATGCATGACAAATTTGGGCGGGGGCTTGTATTACTCATTCCGTTCAGAAGAAGGAGTCGATTTTTGGAAATGTCGAATAATGTGGTTACTTTTTCAGCCAGAATAACTCAAATCAAAGGCCTAAGAAAATTAGCATTAACCTCAAAAGAAATGTCATTTTTCTTTGCGGTTGGGAATTTCATCAAATTTGGCCGACAGATTTTTTAGTGCACCTATAGGAGACTCTTGAAGCGAGAGAAGAGGTCTCCGAAATTCTTCTGCCCATTTATGAGTCTGGCCAAGAATCTTCTATCCGTTTTTTCAGCACAGCGGCTTCTTCGGCTCATTTTTCTCAGTGCCGCCGCCAGAGCTGGCCTCCAGTCGACAACTGGTTCAACAAATTGAAAGTCTTCTCCGAGAATCGGACCAAGCCATTGGAACCAAGTTCACCAGGCCCGACGTCAAGCCAATGAATCCGACTGAAGCGAGGTCTAGAGCAGAAAAAAAACACCGAAGAAAATAACTTTTTAAACTATTATTATTAATAGTCTCTTTCAGAATAGCGGCGATGAACCAGACGATCCTAGACGAGACACCAAAAAGCGCCCTCCTTCCCGACCATTTCATCGACCATCGGACCAACTTGATGATCTTGTCGCCGCTCGGCCGCAAGCAGGTCATCAACGGCGAGCGAAAATTCGACTTCTCCCGATGTCCCAAGTCCAGCCGCACTCGAGACGACGAGATCTCCTACCTCGGCGATTGGTTCGACTCCGCCGCCCTTTGGCTCAGCCGATCTCCTCTCGTCACCTCCCTGGGTCGCCACTACAATGAGTCTTCGGGTGAGTTGATTGTACCACGCTTGGGCCTCATTTTTTTTTTGCGAAAAAGCCTGCGTGAACTTGGGCCAGGCTTCGAATTAACTTTTTAGTTCCGATGATAACGTTTTTCAGCCTTACTCAAAATTTTCACTAAGTGAGTATTTTCACTAATTCAATCATAGACCTTGACAACCTAGTCTCGTTCATGAACGAAATGGAAACTTAGAAAATTCCGTGATCATAAAGAAAATGTCGAAAATTCTCTCACTGAATTTAGGCTTAACGTGCTGAGCTGAGAAACAAACTACTCTGGCAAAACTGGAGAAGTTGCGAGAAGAAATTTAATTTGGATCAGAGCTCTCTAGGTACCTATCAATTAAAAAAGGCATTTTTCATTTATCAATCAATCATTTGTTTTGTTTTGTTTTTTTATTATTTGTAATCGTTTAGGCGGTGAACAAGAATTTTTAAAAGCTATATCGAACTAGAAATCCAAAGGTGTAGTTGATCAGTTTGAAAGCATGGTCTTACGGTCCTTCGCCTCATTTTGCGCGTAGTACATCCTGTTGCGCCTTGACGAGCTCAAAATGTAGCGGAAATCGTGCTCTAGGGGGAAGCCTCGAAATGAGAGCGATCAATTCAAGTGGATACTTTACATCGAATCGAGTCGATTTGTCCATTTTTCTGGTAAAAGGTCCCCATATTCCAGCACTGGGAGCTCTTGCGAGGACGGTCATGTACCCGCCAGTGCCGAACACGAGAAAAGAAAGTCTATCTCCGGTTTACGCTTCGAGACTACGCGTCGTCCCGCCCATTCTGAAGCTTCGTGTACGTTTCAGTCTTTATATTTCAAGGTCTCGTATGATTCGAAGAACTGTTGAAGTGATGGAACCCCGCGAAAATAGTAGATTCCCAGAGGCTTTTTGATGTTGACTTTTTGAAGCACTCTTTTCAAACTCTTCGGATTCCTTCAGGATTCATCCCCAAGATTTCAAATTTGAAGAGATTGGAAGGTTTCAGGGATATCGTTTTCCCTTCAGTGGTAACTTCAAATTTCAGTCCATTGAGTGACCAATAGATTTTGTATTGAGTGGTCCTTGGAATGATCCGATTCAGAAAAATTATTTAAAAAACTTCAAGGGAAGATATGAATTTTCAGCTTCTTGCAACTCGACCATGGGCCTTCGGAATGGTCTTCCTCTTCATGTGGCTTCTTTACGGCTACGTTTTCTTGATTCCAGCCGGATTCCTGTTCCTGATTTTGGTGGCGACATCGATATCTGCCCAGCAGCCCGAAATCTGAATGTGTTGATTCGTTTTTCTTTTCCGATAAGATAGGTTTTTAAAGAGATAAAATAGCCTCTTTTTGTTGAGAAAGTGCGCTCCTATGAAAAATGCCCTGAGTCATCTTATGGTGGAAATTCAGTTGATATAAATCACTTATAAAATTTTTTTGAAAAAGATAAAACATCGGAATGACGATTTTTTTAGCGATAGAGCACATTTTGAACTAAAAAAATAGCCTCTAATATTCATGAACTCTTTTTTCAGCTTTTCAAGACCTCTCGTTTGGACTTTCAAAGGTTTCATCATTAGAAAATTGTTAAATGAAGAAAATCGCTTTAATCTCAAGTTGATCGGTGATTTTTTCTCTTCTGAAACTTAAAAAAGGATCGGAAATTTTTGTCTTTGGAGTTTTTCCATCAGAAAAATGAGCCTCTTAACCTTATAATCTGTTTTTTAGCCAACTTTGAGACTAATTAAACAATAATTCGAAAATTTCGTGGCCGGACCATTTTTAGATGAAAAAACAGCTTAGTGACTCTGTAACGAAAACCGGACGCGTTTCTGAGAAATTCGACAAATCACTCAAGAGTCCTGGCGTTACTCAATCCGTCACTAGAAATGCCGCGACACGGCCGATTTACCGAAGTCGGAGGGATCACTTTTTATCAATGGAGCGAATTTTCCCAACATTTTTAGAATTTTTCTCTCTTCTTTTCCATTTTGTGACTTAACACCAGGCTTGTGTGCGTCAGGTGTGTCAGGCCGGGCGGTTCGGCCATATTTTCTTGAGCCCTTATTAAGACCGGGCCAGGTTTGGGAAGTGGTCGGGAGGCCGAAAGGCTGACGGGCCAGCCCTCTCACAAGCCTGCTTAACATGATGACTTAAAAACTTCATTCCATTTTTCACAGTAATATTTCATTTTTTTTTTAATATTCTCCTTGAAGGACGTTTTACAGGTCGTATTTTATGTGTTGCGCGTTTTTTTGGATCTTCAATGAACTTTTTCAAGTTGTTTTGATTCCATTTTTGACTTGAAGTTTTAGGTGTTCCGAAGCACCTTTTTACTTGTCGGATCTTGAAGAGTTTAATTTCAGACTTTCAAAAATTATTTTAAAAAAGGGTGAAATGGGAAAAGACGAGGAGATCGACGCGGAACGAAAAGCCTGGGAGAGCGAAGAGGCCTGGCAACTGCGAAGGGCCTTCTTAAGGGCTCACTTTGACGATTTTCCGAGGTTTTTTTTTCTTTAAAAAAGTTGTAGTTTATTCGCCGTTCTCTAAGACAAAACTGAGCGAAAAATGAGGTTTTTCGGGGTTTTTCATCTTTTTCTGAACTTATTTCAATTAAAATCGACGGAGATTCGACTTTTTTGATTTTATCGTTTACACAGCGATTTTTCCGGCTTATTTTCAGGAGTTTCTATGCTTGTGGGAAACGTATTTTTTAGAGAAATGGGAACTTATGAGAAAAAAATATGTCAAAATTATCAGAAAGTTGAATTTTTGCTAATTTCCATTTCTTAAAAATCTGTTAATGAGTGTTTATTAAGGAAGTTTCATTGTCATTTCCTTTAAAAAAAATTCCAATTTTTCTGTAAGAAACTTGTTCAGCAACCGACTCCGATGTTTGTCGCAGCTTTTCGTGAACATCCACGTGCTCGGCTGCGAGTACAGCCCCTCATTGATGGAGAGCATCCGGGAACTCGGCGCTGGGATCTCTGCCGACGTTAAAGTCCATTTTTCATAATTTCTTATTCTTTTACGACTCTGAACCGCTTGAGCACCAAGTCGATCAAAGAAAGTCCTTTCCTGACATCAGTGGCAGTCAGTGGACTCGCCCTAGTCACCTATCCGTCCTTGTGACTTTCTTTGAAGTCGTGGTTTTCGCACTACCAAGCAGGCTTGAAATTGTAGAATAAGACCTGAAACGTCGTGGTCCCATGCGGAATAGCTTAACGCTTTGCGGCATGTTGCTAGCCGCTCTGACAATTTTATAGTGCTTTCCGAAGCCATCGCGCGAAAGTCGATCCGGGTCGGACGCATTTCATAGCGACGGTTCTGCGGTCTGACCCTCATTTTTTGGGAAATCGTATTGTATGACCAAAGCTTGAAGCCTTTTGGTTTCTCAGCTCTTCTGCTGTTGTCACGTTTTTCTGACTTGACGAGAGAAGAAAGAGTAGAAAAGTCAGGTTTTTTGATACTTTTGAATCTTTCTCAGAAGTCCAGCGGAGCCTTCGTCCGTGCTTCCCAGGCCAAGAAACGGGTTCCTGTGAGCAACGCCGATTTGAATTCCGCGTCTAACAACAACAATCATCATCCTGAACGGACGATTTTGCATGGGAAGCGGGTCAACGAGGATTTTGGGTGAGATTTAAGTTTTTTTTTTTATTCATTCGGTTTAGGTCTAAAAAGAATGGAATTTCTCAAAGTGTTTGATTTTTTTGAAATTTTCTCTAAGGTCTTATTCCTCCATGAACTCTATAATCTATGTTTTCAACAAGTTAAACAAATATTTTATTTGAGAAATAAAAACGAGCCAGCGATGCCAATGGCCCCGCCAGCCAAAGTTCAAGTCCTCGACGACGACGCCAAAATCAAGGATTTCAAAGTTTTCTTGTCGCAGGTCCGTTGCGTCACAGGTTGTTGCGATTCACGACCTTGTTCCAACGCTGTTTGATAATTTTCGCGCTAATCGTTTCTGGTCGGGCGCTCTTCAGAGCAACCATTTGATAGCCCCACATGCTCATACAGCTCATTGGCTTTCAAGTTAGGGTATTTTGAAGACTTCGAACAGAGAATGGAGAATCGAACAGAGAATCGAACAGACTATGCTTCTTTGGACCGAAATTAGTGAATTATCATAGCTTGGAACAGTTTTATTTCTCTGCGCTCTCCTCCCATTTCCATGTTTTCATGATCTCCCTCGTAGAAGAGAGAAGAGGGCACAGACAGATCAAAATATTTTCTAAAAATCTAACTTTTCGTTGATTTTTATTCCTTTTGAAGACCGGACATCACCTGTCGGCTGTACAAATGCTCAACGCGGCCGGTGGTCGACTTCGGATTCCTTGGAGGACTGTCCGCAAAGGGAATGAAGTGGCGATTGAAGTGGATCGTTTCGTTGCCTTTCAACACAAGTACACGTTTTTCACGATTAGAAACAGTCTGACCTCTCTGCGCTCTCTTTTCCCTGGCCAGCGAGGTCGTAAAAGCATAAAAATAGCTCGTAAAAAGAGCGCAGAGAAGTCAGACTTCACCAAGTTCCGACAATCGGACCATTGCATTAAGGAAAAGTTTTCAGATTTTCCGATGGATGTACTGAAATTGAAGATTGCGCTCTGAACGCCGTTATTGAGTCGTTTCTGTCTTGTGAACCGTCGGTCTCGGTTCGAGTTTTAATTTTGAATTAAAGCAGTCTTTCTATTGGCCCTTTCCCCGCCAGATTGTCACGACTTTTTTCTCCTCACACTTCTATTCAAACGTCAAACGTCTAGTCGTCGCTCAAGCTCCGCCCCTATAAGGGGGATAAACCAATCAGAGAGCGAACCAACCATAGAGCCTTTTCGAATGACTTCATTGTACTTGAAATTTGAAATCTCTACGGAATATATGCAAATTTATCAAAAAATAAATAAGAATATATTAAACGCTGTGTGAATTATCGAGAGTCAACGAGAAAAAAAATTACGACATTTGAACTCGAAAAAAAAAGAGTTGGACCAAAAGTAAATTTTTGTGGTTTTATCATTTTTTTTTCATGAAGTTGATTTCATATATGCAACTTTCCGGCTCGTGTTTCATCGAGAAAATCGAAGTTTTCCAGGGAAAAGAGATCCTTTTCGGAGAGAGTGGACCCTCGAAATGCTACCTGAACTCGGTGAACAGAAGCTTCTCTAAAATAAGATCCTCTATCGAGAAGGAGAAAACTTTCAAGGGCCTCACGAAAGTCCTCGAGGCGGTCAATATCACCGTGGCTCAGAGGACCAAACATTTGCAGGTAAAAAAAGTCAAAAATTCACTTTTTGCTTCCAAAATTGATTGAAAGCCAAAGAAGGGTGTCCTTTTTTAATTTTTTTTTTCTTTCAAAATGTTACAATACCCGTGGTCTTAGGAGGTGTGGCTAAACGGCTGCGATTTAAAGCGGGTCCGACTAAAAACGACTTGCGCCCTGGGGTATTGGAAGGCATGAAAACTTTTAGCCATTATAAGTGCTGCCAAGGCGCTTCATAACGATCGGAAGGAAAAACGTCGGTTGGTGAAATATCATAAGGAAAGCACATTTTTTTTCGACATTTCTTGAAAATTTCCTAAAGGAATTTCGCTTGAAACATTTTTAGTTAGACAGTTTTTTTGAGATTCGATTTTTAGTCTCTGAGACATTTCCTGGGTCACATTTACTTAACTATCAAATAATTACTGCTTTATAAAGGGTTATAACTTAGCCAACAACTAAACTAAAAATAATCGTGAGTAATCGATAATATTCCCAGGGCTGGTCCCAGCAACTGGACGTTTGCGCCGGCGACGTCCTCCTCGCGACGCGGACCCTGTCCAAAGACGAGTGCACCCGACCCAAAATGCTGGCCATCGTCGACGGAATCGCGTCGCGACTCTGCGCGGCCATTGGCGCCAATGGCGCTGCCGCCGTCGCCAACACTTCCGACAAGTTCCCCTACTCTCTCGTTTTGTCCACTTTGCTCTGATTTGAGTTTCTTGACTTTTCATGGTTCATTTTGGGGTTTTCGAAAAAGGAGAACTTTGCTAGGAAGACTTATCCAAATAATGGGCAAAATTGTTTCAGCGATTTTTCTGGACGTTGAAAATGGCCCCGATTCGCCTTTTTTTTCAAATAGAAACTTTTTCTTGCCCCTCTGAAACTAGGAATCATATCTTATTACAAAAGATGATTGAATCTTATAGCGAATTGTTTTCAGGAAGATGACGAAGAATAATTTTTTATTTGAGCTCATTCAGAAGTAATATTTTTTGCATTCAGTTACTGAGAAAATTTTAAGTGGCTGACTTAGATTTAATTTTTTATTAGCCACTATAATAGTGTAATTAATAGCCACTCAGATGGATAAATTTTATTGGTATCTTTAGAAGTCTACGTGGTACTACCAGAGCACTGAAAACTACTAAAGTGGCTTCTATACAAGTAGTTTTAGTGGACCCTAGAGCTTTTCTCAGTATATTCTACAATGTCGTCATTTGAAAACCCTCTGTGAATAGCTCGCTCTCTGATTGATTTATCGCTACCTTAGGGGCGGAGCTTGAGCGAAGACTTGACATTCGAAATCTTAAGAGGCTGTAATAATAATAACAATAATAATAATAAATCTAAGCGAATAAAATTTCAATAATATTAAATTCAAAGTATTTTTGCGGCTGAGCCCTATCCGGTTTCTTATTCTGGCAGTATTTTTTTTTTTTTGAAACAATGCGGTTATTATACTTTGTTCATTACAAAAACTCGAATATTCGGTGTTTTTATACTCACACGTAACTTGAAAAAGCTTCAGCTGTTCTACCTTTGATTTATTTCCGATCAATATTTTTTTCTACGGTTATTTTTTGTCTCCCAGAATTATAATAATATAAACCCATATCAAGCGATTTTTGCTTATTCTTACACGTTTGTTCTGTAAATTGGTTGTGGTTATCTCATTTTCTTGGCCCCGAGGGTTTTCTTCTCGTTGTTTGAATGAATTTGTTTGGAAAATTTAGTAATAATGAGTTTTTTCAAAGAAGTTTGGTCGATCTTCTGAGTTACTTGAATTTTTTTGTGATAATGCTTTTTTTTTTGAAGAAAAAATTTCAGATGAGATCAATAGTGAAGACGCTGTCATTTGGCGTCAAAAATTTCAAGCAAAAAGAGGTTTGCTTCAAGAATCGTTTGTAAATATTTATAAATTAGATTATATTTGATGATTATAACTTCCGAAAAAAATTTAAATGAAGAGTTCTGTAGAAATTTTTAGGAATCTTGTGAATTTCCAGGAGCATGTAGTTTTGTCTTAATCTTTAGAAAAAAAAACTAACTTGCATGAAAAGTATTGAATCTCAAGCTTTTGGAAATACATTATAAGTTTCAACAAAAAAAAAGATAAAAATGGGGTTGTTTTTTTCTATTAATTTTTCTTCTTTCATTTCTTTCCGAAGCCATACTTTATTACTTATTTCAGAAAAAAATTGGTTTCGAATTCCAAGTTTTCCATGTTATACCTCAACATCGGCGCAAAAAAATTAACTATATCAGAAGAGATTTTTTTGAAAAATAAGTTTTGATATTTTTTTAGAAGGAAGAAAATGAGTCTGGAAAAAGCGCTACGATTATCAACGGTGACTGAGGAGATGCTCAAAGAAATCAACGAACTCCGAAAATTAAAAAGAACAAGGGGATTTTCAAATTGATGGAGATTCTGACAATGATAACGAAGAAGAAACTTTGAAAGGTGAAAAAAAGCGAAATTCAGCAAAAAAAAAATATTTAATTCAGGTCCTATAAAAATTCTGTCCGATGATGGTACGAAGAAGAAAAAGAATAAAAAACGGAAAGCCGAAAAAGAAGAAAATCGAGGAGCCGAAAATGATGAGGAGGTCGACAAGAAGCTGGACAAGTTGGTAAGAAAAAAAGCTCTGAAAAGAAAAAATGTGATTTTCGAATAACTTACCTCAACTTTATATGAAAAGAGGTCGTTTTCAGAGTTTCTGATTGTTAGTTATTAGTAAAACTCTTGGAAAAAGTTCGATTTTTGAACACTTGAAGTTTTCATGATAATTAGATTTCAAATTGCGAACATTCTAAATAATGCAAAAATTTGAAATTCTCTTTTTGGAACGGAACAAGCCGTTTGGACAGTGTTTAATTGTTAATTTAGACGGCGTCAGTCTTCAAATGAGCGTTTGAATCATGTTTTTTTTGATTTGCATAAAAATTGATATGGACTAGCTCTTCGATCACTTTCAGGCGTTTCACACAAAAACGGTGATGAAAAGTTTTTTCGTCTTGGAAGTCTGGAAAATTTTCAAGTTTTCGCAAAGTTTGTTTTTTTTTTTTAGTTCAAGTTCAAACTAATTGCCAACATTAAGAAAAATAAGTGTAGGTTTTTTTCACACGACCTCGATAAGGGATCTTGAGAAAATCGATGATTTTTTGGCATTTTAAAATCTTATTTTTCCTTGAAGATGGGCACTGTACGACGGGCGAATCGAATCTTCATCTGGGGCGACGACGTCCCTCATCCGATCCTTCGATTCGAAGACGTCGCCATGCCGAAGCACCTCTCCGAACATCTGAACGAGACCAAGATTGCCGACCCGTCGCCGATCCAAATGCAGGCCATTCCCTTGATGTTGCAACGCAGAAACGTTCTGGCCAGCGCGCCGACTGGTGGGTTTGACTGATCTAAGAAAACCAGAGTGGTCCCTATAGGGGCAACCTTCAGAGAACTTAAAGTTTCCCTCTGGGAACCGCCTTACATCCCCCTATAAGGACCACAAAGACTTACAAAAAGTAGCCCCTATGGGGGTTTAATTTGATGGCCCTTCGAGGGGAGCATTTTCCGTTCTTTTATTACTGTTATTTTTTTAACAACTCCAGAAGAAGAAAAATTTCCATGCAAAAATCACATTAACGAATTTGAAGACCTGCTCGAAGACTATCTTATTTGTGGGCTTCGAACTAATTTATTAAAACATTTGAAGTTTTGTTCAGAAACACAACTTCAAGACGGCATTATTATCATTTTTTACGAGCTTTGAGATCGAACAAAATTCTTCTAGGTTCCGGAAAAACGCTAGCCTTCGTCATACCCGTGGTCAAAGAGATTACTCGACTCAAAAAATTGAAAAAATATTCGGCTGGCGACAAATTGCTGGTCATTGTTTTGGAACCGACAAGGGAGCTGGCAACGCAGGTTCGGGAATTGAAACTTCAAAGAAAGTGGAAGTAATTTCAGAGAAATAGTGAATAATTAAAATAATTTAATTTCTCTTCACAATTTAGTATCTTTCAAATCGAAAAAAAGAAGTATTTTCAGTGAATGTTCAGAAAAACCCCTCAAGAGACCATTTGAAAAAAACTTTCGTTCAACAAATGAGCGGCCCTTCTAAGTGACCACTTAAGAGCCGGTTACACCACTTATGTTATCACTGAACCGCTCATTATCGAGTCTTCTTCATTCTGCACTCTTTCTTCTAACATGACTATTTTTTTCGAATTATAAATTGTTTTTTTAAATGAAAGTTTTGAAAAAAAAAAGTTCAAAATATTTTAATTTTTGGGGATCGGAGTACAGTAATAAAACAGTACCTGTGCAGACCTTCAACGAATTTTCAAAATACGCCGGTCCCAACATCAGAGTCGCTTGTTTCAATGACGAGTCTACGGTTCCGGATGGTTGGAAAATACCCTAAATCATCAGAAAAATACCAATTTTCAGCTGAAGTTTTGGTATCAACACCGAACCGCCTCGTTTACCACATTAAGGATCTGAATACCAAGTTTCTGAGGTGAAAATTGTGGAAATCTGAAGAATTTAGGCGAATTACAGATGGTTGATTGTTGATGAGAGTGATCGACTTTTTGAAGTGATTGAGGGCCAGGAGAAATGCTTCAGGAATCAGGTGAGACGAGAGAATGGACGGGTAAGAAGAGACGCCAGAGAAAGAGATGGATCAAATTTCTGTGGCGTCTCTTAAGGCCTCTCTTGATGTCTGTTTTCCAGAAGAGTGAAAGGAACGGTTCAGAATGGCCTCAAGAGACGCCAGAGATAGAGAGAAAGTACACTTCTCTGTCGTCTCTTCAAGCCGCCGTTGATCTCTCAATTTTCAAGGCTATTTTTCAGTTGGCTACCGTATACCGAGCTTGTACCGGAAAATTCACACGTCGCGCTTTTTTCAGCGCCACTTTCTCGTATGAAGTCGAGACTTGGTTGGGCCGAAATATAAATAAGTGAAAAAGGAAATATTTAAAATCACAGGTGCAAGGAAAACATTGACAACGTCGGCATGGTTTGCATTGGCGAGAGGTGATTTTGAGACTAATTTGAGAAAAAAAGTTTTGATTTTTTAGAAACTCCTCCAATACAAATGTGAAGCAAGAACTTCAATATTGCGGCTCGGAAGATGGAAAACGAATGGCGATCAAAACTTTGTTGAAAACCAAGTTCTCCCCACCTGCTTTGGTTTTTGTGCAGGTCAGTGCTGGAGAATATTCCATTCGAATGGCTCTCGTCGCGATCTGCTCGTCCGACACAGAACATTTATTGGAATTTTTTTTGAAATTTACTAGTCTCTGAAATATTTTTACTGTTTGAAATTTAAAAGTTATGGATTTTTCTATCGGGAGTTCTTTCAGAAAGTCGATCTTTAATCAGCAATTTTAGGATAAAAGACATGAATTATTGAATATTGAACTTTGAAGCGTTTTCATGCATTTTGAAGCTTTTATTACTATAATTATGATGAAAATCAAACCTCACAGTTTAGAGCAAAGAGAGAGCGGCTCAATTGGTACAGTTTTTGTCGGGGATCGACGAAAAACTAAGAGTTGACTCGATCAGCAGTGAAAAGTCGGATAAGCAGGTGAAAGTCGAGTTTTTTGAGAGAGAAAATCAACGAGGAATCACAGCGGGACGCGACCATGGAAGCCTTCCGGAAAGGACAACTTTGGGTCCTCGTTTGCACAGAACTTCTGGGCCGCGGGTTGGATCTGTCCAACGTCAACCTTGTCATCAACTACGACATTCCTACTTCCATCGTCAGCTACATTCATCGGATCGGTGAGGAGTTCCCAGAAAAAGAGAGTCTCTGAAAATCATCACCAGAGTGGCCTCTACAGGGGCAACCTCAGAGGCGTTTACCTTCCATTATACGGGCTCTAAAGCTTGCAAAAGTGGCGCCTTTAGGGGCATGATAATCGATTATTCTTATGAACTCTATGAGAAAAAGCATTTTTATGCGAAACATCCGATAAATTAGCGTTTTTTGAATGGAAACAATCAAGAGAGGACAAACTGATCAAGCTTTTCGGATCTCAAATCTGAACAGAAAATTAAAAGACAACCTAGGGACCACTTAAGCTTTAGGCGCTGGATAAAAATTCAGACCCTAAACACCAATAGGACTATCTGATTTTCACCCCTATAGGGGCTGTTTCTCCCCTGACCCCTTCAAGGGCCACTCTGACATTACTAAGATAGAGATCTGATTTTGATCGTTTCAGTATTTTGAGCTGAAAAGATGATTTTTTTTTTTCCTCAGGAAGGACGGGACGGGCTGGAAAAGTCGGCCGTGCGGTCACTTATTTCTCCGAAGACGACCTCAAATACATCCGGCCCATTGCGACGGTCATCCGACAAGCCGGATTCGAAGTTCCTGACTATCTTCTGACCTTGAAGAAGGTTTCAAGGTGAACAAGCCAGAGAAATCTATAAAAGTCGCCATAAAAACTGTCCATAGAGCGCAGACGTCGCAGAGCCTTTCAGGTCGTTTATGAATCAGGAGGTTGTTTTTTTTCACATCTATCTTCGGTAAGAAGCTCGGCGAAAATAAATTCATGAAGGGAAAAACGTCTTTTAATTTGAAGCAGGAGGCTGATTTTTCTCACTTTCCTCTGGAAAAGAAACCTGAAAAAAACAGGCGCAACAACATATTGAGTTTATCCATGGAGCATTTGTTCTCAAAATAAGCAGCGATTTTTTCACGCAACTTCTTTTGCTGTATTTTTTCCGAATTTTTCAATTTTCCTTTTTTTAAGAAACGAAAAGCAACATCTTCTGAAGCACGCTCCGAGACGACAGAAAATCGCATTTGTCAGAAGTCGCGAAATCAAGAAAAAAAGAAGAAGTTGGCTACCAAATCTGAAAAAGAAATAATTATTAGAATTTTTTTCGTTGTTTTTTTCCTTGTTGATTTTGATAAAGTTGTTATTTTTTTAATTTTTGTTTCGTTCGACTTTTTGTTCGATTTCATGATTCGAAATATTTATTTATTCGGAAGAATTTCCGATGTTCGGTGCGTCGGGCGTGCCGTGTCTTCTGAAAAATACAATTCATTATTTTTTTGACTTTTTTAAATTGAAAAAAATGAACACAGGCTCTAATTTTTGTTTTTTTTTTCTGAACGGCTTTTGGAGAACTAGTGGAAAATTATCATTGGAGCTAAGTTAGAGTACATAATTTTTTGTACTCTAACCCCTGCAGGGACCACTTTGATGTTCCTAAGAAGGTTGTCCGCACACTTCATGTTAATGTTAGATTTGAGTGTTGGTGATTTTTCTAAACTAACCAGTCAGACTGAAGAGCTAGCGAGTGTAGACACCGGAGGCGGGTGCACCCGTTGCGGTTCGCTCTCAGAGGTCCCTCCTGTCGCAGCTTCTTTGGCGCTCGCGAGCATCGACGGTTTCGAAGAAAGCCATGAGGTCCAGAACGGTTGCTTGGTCCAAACGTGTCTTTCCAACCTGCATTTTGCGTTTTTTTTTTTTGAACGAAAAGGTAACTGATTTTGATAAAGGAGGTTCGAGAGAAGATTTAAGTGAACTTTGAGAAGTTTTTTAGTATATACGTTTAAGTGAAGCTCATATCTTGTAGTGGTCCTTTGAGGAGTTTGAACCAAGCTTAGACCCTTCCCCCCTTTGCAGTGGTTTTTAAAAAAGTCTGTGCGAAGCTCCGAAGCTTAAAAAATGTTTTCGGTGTTTTTAGTTGTTGTTGGAGATAATAAATGTTAAGAAAACATGAGAAGATAAGCCTGGAAAAATAACCTCGAACTTTCGCGCTCCACTGCTAATATAGGAAAAATGAGCTTTTTTTACGCTTGAATTTTGTTCAGTTGTCATGTTTGTTAACACGTCCTTGAAGAGGAAAATATTTATTTATAAGAAAAAAAAAACAGGACAATTTCTTTGTACAAAAAAGGTTCCATAGGCTTCTTTCCAGGCTCATCTATAAACAGAACTATTGGGGATCATTTTCGTGAGCTGAACTTGGCAAATCTAGCCATGCTCTTAACCAGCCTCCAGGTAAAGGAATCGGATGCCTCCTGGCCGGAGAAACGTTTTCGTCGACACCCAACGCTTCGAGTTTCTCCAACACCGCCTTGAATCTCCCTCCGATTTCTCTGATGTTGGCGCCGTCCAGATCCCGAGCCTTCAAGTTGGCCCCGAGTTTGCCCAAGATTTGAACCGTCCTGTGGGCTCCTCTTTTGGCCGCAGCTAGGATCGGAGTGTAGCCACGCTAAAAAATTGGTTGATTGGTTCGAGAATTTATAAAGGAAGAGAGTTGATTTTTCAAGGAAGGTCATTTTACTTTACGGCTAGAAATATCCATAAAATTTGGCCAAAAACCGTCGATGTACCAGAAAAGTATACTGGAAGTCTCAACCTGCACAACTTTCTAGTTTTCGAGAAATAAGTCTTGGGAGAGCAAAGCGTCGCCCCTTCATCGTACCAAAATTGACGAGTTTTCGGTTAAATAACTGGTTTAAGGTTCTTTTAGTGATGTTTCAAAAGATGTTCTAACGGTTCTAAAGCGTCCTTTCTCAATAACTGAAATGTTTTGCAGACTTCCAGGGTCTTCATCCGGTACAAAGGGTGTTCTGGCCAATTTTCAGGAAAATCCCCATTGCAAATTGGAATGGACTTTTATTTTTTTAAGGTTTAAAGTAAGCAGCAGTAAGACGGATATGTTCCAAGGTTAATTGGAAGTGAGCATCTAACTTGTAGATTTGTGTTTGGCAGTGGACATTTCCCAATAAACTAACTGAAAAAAAAATACAAATTGTGGGAGTTCAAGACTTCTTTCTATTTTTATTGATTTTACCGAATAGTTTACTTTTATTTTAATCTACTAACATGATATACAGCCACTGGCGGAGCTTATAAGAGAGCAGTTTTTGAATTTATTTTTTAAGCCTCTTCGATAAGAAATACCACACAATATAGTCTGTGTGCCATCGCTTCGAATTTCACCAAACGACATTCCGCTGTGCCGCTGCGCGCCTTTGCGAGCCTTGGTCACGCTTTTAAGTTTTTTTTTTCTTTTATTAAGGTACTTTACCTATATTCGAAAGACGTTTCGCGAACGCACGCAACGGAACAGCGGAATTTCGTTCGGTGAAACCAAGTCGTGGCACACAGACTATAACAGGGATATCGACTAACTTTTCTCACTTCAAGTAAATTGAACTTGCAGTTGATTTCAGCCTAGGGTATCAGTGTTCGTAAATTTAAAGTGATGAATTTTTCGGTAAATTGGATAAAACCGAGAGAAAGTCTTGAATTCGGAGCTTGAGGTCTCAGGCTAAAAGAGTGGATTTCAAGGTCGGATTTGGTCGAAAACTAGTGGATTTCTTTCTGGGATTTTTTGTGTGATACTAAAGATCAACGTGACTCACAACGTCTCGAGCCTCGATATTAGCCCCAAGGCGGATCAGCTCAGCGACCATAATGCTCTGGTTGTTTTCGGCGGCTCTGAAGATTGGCGTCGAGTTGCGACTGTCGCGCTCTTCGATGTCGCCTCCGAGTCGGATCACGGTTCGTACGATTCGCAGACTTTGCGACTCGACGGCAAGGTGGATTACGGGTCGGCCGTACTGGAATTGGAATTTGTACTAAACGTCGAGGGAATGATGGTCGCATGTGGATTGGTTAAATTCTGTTTTTTGAATCTTAGAGTCTTTTTGAGATGAAATGTTCTCTTGATATGAAAGTAGACACGCTGAAAAGCTTAGAACAGTTTATTTTATGCGAATCGGACTATAAGAACTGGAGCTACAATGCGGACTTGCTTTTCTTCTATAATTTGCGTATTTTCAGCAGAACTCCATCAAAAGTTCAATGGGGGGCAAAAAAGTTACCTTTTGAGGTTTGAGTGTTCTACAGAACATTTCGCCAAATTTCAATCGATGTCAAAAACTGACTTTCTGAGAAGCTTTCTTGTATTGTAAGCACTTTTATCGAGACAATTGAGCCATTCCAAAGACCATTCCGTTTAAATAACTTACATGGTCATGCAATCTTATGTCACCACCGTGTTCGACCAACAACGTGAGCATCGGCATATTATCGCGGAAAATGGTCATGTGAACGGGAAAGTAGCCGATTGGACATCGGAGGTTGGCGCTGAAACCTTGCCTCAGAAGTTCTGTGACAACTTTGACACCCAAAGTCTTGACTGCAGCGTGGAAAACTGGGGCTTGGGTTTTGCCGAACTGAAAATAGATTTTTTGGCGAGCAGTCAAACAATTTTTTGCAAGTAATTTTCTTCAGTGACGCATCTAGTTTTTGTCTCAGTTGGAAATTCTGGCTTGACAGTACTTGTGAAGGCTTGGATTTGCTTGGATTTTTTTTCTAGGAGGAGGACGAAGCGATCATTAAAGAGGCTAAACTTGAACACTCTAGTTGTGTCGCGTGAAAAATGACGCCCTTTTTCTGATATCTCACAAAGATTTTAACGTCGTTCTTTTCAGTTTTTCCCGTCCCTTGTTTATGAATATAGCTCTGATTCAAATTTTTAGTCCTACTATGTTTGTGGGAAACAAGACTGGATTAACAAAGTTTTACGCATGAAGCAAATGTTTTGAACTCGTCTTGAAGCTGATTTTTGGTCCAAGCTAGCGATAAATATTCTAATCGTCACCTTGTCTACGAAATCGACTCTGGCGCCATGTTCCAACAGAGCCTCGACGATGCTTCTTCCTGTGTCGGGCCCAACTTTTGACAGTACTCTACGACCATTGACGTCCTGGGCGTTTACCTCGGCGCCACGCTCAAGAAGCGCGAAAACCCAATTTCTGGAACCCGATTTCGTGGCGATCATCAATGGTGTCAAGCCGTCCTGTAAGATGATTATCAACTTATAATCAGCTGAGATGGGAAGTTAGGGATCAGTGGGACCTTTGAAGGAGACAAGGTTCCTAGATGCAGTTTTTCAAGCTGATTTCAATTGGATCTCAAAAATAACCGAGGAGTCCGTGAAAGGAGCTATGGTTGCCCAAAATTTGAACGTCACTAGCACGGGAACAACTTCAAAAACTCGTATCTTCGCTCACAGTGAAAAAAAAACACTCGGTTTGTTGTAATCATTGAGACCAGCTTTATATGAAAGTTTGTATTTTCTCACGCAAGTCTTGAGGTTGATGTCAACGGTCTGCTCCAGAATTTGTTGTACGATTTCGGGATCGTCGATCCGTTGGGCGGCCAAATGAATCACCGCGATTCCGGTCGACGGATCGCGAGTATTCACGTCTGCGCCCCCCAGGAAAGCCTCGACGGCACAATATGGCGAAGAAAGGCGCAGGGCGGACACCATTTCGGCCTGAAATTCGGCCAAATTGAATATTCGGTTTAGAAATAAAGTTTGAAGTTTGAGAAAAGGCAGAATGGTTCATAAATGACTGAAAAAAATAATATTTTTCGTCTCGAGACCTTTATGTTAATAGCATCAGCCTGATATTATCTTAAAGGGCACGAAAAACGGATCGTCGTCTTGAGACCTATGCTACAATCATTTTTTTCCGTCAGTTAAAGAGAAAAATTTTTTTGAACAACATTTGCTTTAAAAAAAAAATGCGCCAAAAAATGGACTCGATATTTCTTCCTACGTTAAAAAAACAATGAATTAAAAAAAAAATTTCTGCTGAATACTTTTCCCATCAAAAACAGTTTTCGGTTATATAAGGAAAACGTTTACATAAAACTTTTAAAGAGTATAACACAATGAATTACCTGGACGTCTCCCACGTGCATTCTTGCACAATTTTGAAGATTGAAGGATTTAGAAAAGGACCTGAAACGTTGAAAAATACATCAAATTAAAATTGAAAAAATACCTGCGAGAGAATAGAAAATTAAAATTGATGAGTAGAAAATAAGAGAAAGAGTCCAATAGTTTGATATATGGGAAGGTTCGGGCCTATTGACCCCGGTTAGTCGGGAGCGACTAGGGTCAGAGAATGCGTGGCCAAGAGAATCAGAGAGGCAGAAAACGTAAATTTTGAGGAGGCCTGCCTAGATGGTCCCTCTTTCGATGTTGTTTTAATATTCCAGATGTTTACTCTGCTATGAAATTAAAGCATTTAAAAAAATCATGAAAACCATTGAGAATGATTGAAGTTCTAAGAAAAAACTAAGAATAAGTTCGATTTGAACCTTCAAAAAATTAGCTTACATAAATACCTAATATTAAATACTTTTTTCGCGATTTTTGATAGATTTTCTTTTTGGAATTTTGATTTATAAAAATAGTTTCATAGACCAAAAAAAATCGCAATCTTATTAAAAATTTTTTTGACCATTTTTTTGAGTTACGGTAACTTTCAACCGTGCGTGCTCGCGCCATGGTGCAAACATGTGCATTTTTTCGACCGGTTTTCCTTTTCTACCATTTTCAACGTTTTTTTTTTATTTCGTCTCTTCGTTCAGTTTTATTCATTTTTCCTTTGCATGATTTCAATCAATATGGATACTGGCAATACTTCGTTGAAACGGCCAACTTTTATGAATTTTTTTATGTTTTAAACCCAATATAAAGATAAATAATATTTTTGTTTTTTTCTTCGCTAGTTCAATGATAGTACATTTCTGAAATTTGAGAGAGAATTTAGATTTTATTTGAAGTTTGTTATATTCTCAAAAATGTGGAGGATAATTCAGCTGTTTATCTGAGAATACGGACGAAAAAACAGGGTATTCGTATCTTTTGTTTTTTTCGTTTCATTCTGATTTATTGAATGGATTTAGAATGAGGTTTTTTTCATATGAATGTAATGTACTACATTGAGTAATACCTTAATATTTTTAACAAAAGTACCGGAAAATATTTTTGTTTTTTTATGCGGCCATTAAAAGCGTTTTTCTTATGCTTTTTTTATGGTTGACTCTTAAGTTATCACAGTTGTATCACTTTTTTTCTCGGAGAAACTCAAAAATTCAACAAGAGACTATTTTCTAGTATTCAAAAAAACTTTTTTTGATTTTCATTGAGGATCTGAAAACCGAAACGTTCAAGATTAAATTTCTCTGAAAAAAAATTTTTTCTAATTAAAATCCGCTTAAACTTTTTTTATTTTTCAGGCAGGAGAAAATGGGACGAAGCAGAAGTCGGAGCAGAGGTAAGAGCCACGCATTTTGTGGACTAAATGACTCAGAAATTGATTTAGTGTTTTTCTGCAGACCGTCGTCGCCGATCCAGATCACGGTCGGGCGATCGCAGACGCGATCGTAGTCGCGAGCGACATCGCGATCGCGACAGGCGTGATCGCGACGGCGATCGTCGTCGGCGAAGCACCAGTCGCGAGAGAAAGTCGCGGAGCAAGTGGGTTATGGAGAGAGAGTCTTGGTGATGATCGGAAGTTGCAGAAGTCGCGAGCGAGGAGATCGCCGGAGTCGCAGCCGCAGTCGCGACCGAAAGGAGCGCGACAGACGACGCGACAGTCCGCGAAGGGATAAAAAACCTAAGAAAGGTACTGGAAAATGGCTTGAAAGTTGTAGAAAAAGTTCCGGGAAATCTTTTATTTTTTCTCGTAACTGTTACACTATTTCGAAGATCGCGATGAAGTTCGCTGAGTTTTGCTCAACAGCTCGCTAACCCTCCCAGAAGAATTTTTGAACGGACGTTTCAAGTTTTTTGGCCGTTGGACAGTTTCGAACTTACAGAAAAAAAAATAGCTAATAGAGTTTTTAGAATCTTTCAATTCAACGCGAGTGTAGTTATCATGTTAAAATCTTTTTTTTTTCATTTCGATTTCGGGACACGAGATTTTTGTCAAATAAGAAATCCAAACTTGCCGAAAATTTTTTCATTTTGCTCAATATATCTCTGGCTGCTTTAAAATTTCCCCATTTGAAAATCAAAAGTTTCTTCAAGTTTCGTAGGTTTTAACGATTGCTCAAAACCGTTATGTTCTAGATTTTTTTTTCATCTTGCTTATTTTTAGGAAAAATGCGCTGCAAAAATTTTTTTCAGATTAATTTTTTTGTCAATTTTTTTATTTTTTTATGATAAAATCTTTGTAAAAAATTACCTTTCGCTATTAGAATAATATTTTTTTTCAATTCTTCGTTTTCAGCGCCTTTTTCACTTGAAAATTTCAATTATTCTGTCATTTTTCTGCAACACAAGCAGTTTATATAATATTTAATTGTACTTTCTTGAACGAGATTTCATTTGCAGAAGAGAAAATCGATATGGAATCCCTGGCCGGCGCCGATCAGGAAATGATGGCCATGATGGGCTTTTCTGGCTTCTCTACGACTAAAAATACTCAGGTAACACGAAAATTTTGACCGCAAACTGTCTAGAAATGGAACATTGAGCTTAAAAAATCGATAATTGATCATAAGTCAGTCAAAATTTGAGTTTTTAGCACAGTTTTGACATTTGGAATTATTTTTGGAAGTTGGAAGTAAGATTTCATTGAACTTTAAAGCGAAATTGATAAGTTATTTATGGACCTAATTGCAGTTTTCACCTGTTTAAGGTAAATTTTTTGAAAGTTTTTTTCCTTTCAGTTAATAAATTGAGCCATGAATTAATTTTTATTTGCCCTCTACGAAACGTAAAATTGACCTCAATTTGTTTCAAATCATCGGCCGCCATGTGATACTCCGCCATGTGAAAACCGGTTTTTCCTTATCTTTGTGGCCGTTTTTTTTTTTCAGATTTTCTCGTCATCCAGGTTTTCACTAGTTTTCCAGGTGCAGTTGGAAATCGAATTTCACTTGCTTTTCCATTTTTTCAATTTTTTTTAAAAAAAGACTATTGAGAAGCTTGGAAGATGGTCGATTTTGTGGCATAACCTTGTTTTTTAGCTTTTTAGTAGCTTTTTGCCGCGAAATTTTTTATAAATTTTTAAAAACTTTCAAGTTGAGAAAACATGAAAGTTTTTTTCAAAAATACGTCCCTTAACTAATAAGTATAGACCAAAAAAAGAGTTTTTTTGACTTAATTTTTCACAGTTTCTGGTTAGAAAAGCGGTGAATGAGTTAAAACGATCATTTTAAAACGTTCAAGAAAAAAATTTAGATCTTTCAGAGAATTTTTTTCGAGTTTCTTTTTGCAGTTTCTGATCAGAAAAGGGACGAAAGAGTTCAAGGAATTGATTTTTTTAACATCCATTTTTTTCAAATATCTCTCTTCAAACATACATTTAAATAATTACGGTCCCAAATTTATCTTTTTTTTTACTCGTACATCTAAAATTGACGTTTCTTTGTATTTTCTCAAAAACTTTTAAATTTCCTATTGTTCGAGGTCGTCTATTTTCTCAGGAACATGAATCGAAACATTCAAGAATTCATCATGTTCCTACTCATACCATCCAAAATCCACTCTTTTTTCGAATTGTTTCCTCAGAAAACTTCTAAATTCGTTTGGTTGCAGGTTGAAGACAACGTCGACGGAGTCGTGAACATCAAGAAGCCGCGACGCTACCGACAGTACATGAACCGAAAAGGAGGATTCAATCGGCCCCTCGATTTCATTGGATAATTCTAATTTTCGTTTCCGTTCCACTAATTATTTTGTTGTGTTTTCTTCCTCCTTCCATTTTTTTTTTCTTTTTTTTCTTATTTATCGATCTCCAGTTTTAACGAAATGTCCGTGTACCATGCGCCTTTAAAATAAATATTTTTTTCATGAGCTTTAAACTTTTTTCAAACCTTCTCAGTGGTTTTCATGGAACCCTCATATTTTTCTGAGTTTCGCCTGTTGGTCACTCAAATTTTATGATTTTGAGTTATACTCATCGAAGTTTTTTAACTCTCAAAAAAAAGACCCTCTCTTTTTTTATTCAAAAAGGGTCGATTTCACTAAGAATAACTGCCGAGATAAACGCGAGACACTGGCGGTACATTGACGAACTCGCAAACATCTCGCTTTTTTTCTCGCGCCGGTCTCGCATTTTTCTGGGCGCGAGCTCGCATTTCTCTCGCAATTTGAAATTTTCCGAAATGCAAGGTCGCGCCGAGAAAAATGCGTGGTCGCGCCTAGAAAAAAGCGACATTTCTGCGAGCTCGTCAATGTACCGCCACCGAGCTCGCGTTTATCTCGTCAGTTATTCTTAGTGTTTAGAACCTTAGTTTGAGAATATTGATATATTCGAAAAAATTCAGGTTTTTATTTAAAGTCGACGGGATATGGAACCTTTTTTCGAAAATTGGCTCAAAATCCTCTAAGTTATTATTGTGCGCTCTTTCACGTTTTTTTCGGCTTAAGAAAAGGATTTTCGAACGAAATATAAACCGAAAAAGCTTCTTGATATGGTTCTCGTGAGATGCATCTCATTTCAGATTGTAATCATCCATCAAAAGCTTTTTAGCTGTCTAAAAGGGTACATTAGGGAATCGATTCCACAAAATCTTTTTGATATGTCTTTTCAAGCTCAAAAAATTAAATTTTAATCTCGGGCAAAGTAGGAATGACAATGGCCGCTAAGAGGAAAGTGCTCAAAAAAGGCTGCAGAAAGGCAGCAAGAGTCCTTTTATCGAGCCTAACATTTTTCCGGTACTTGAAAGGCTCGAGAAATGGTGGAAAAATGGACAGGGTTGCAAAATGGAGAAGGTCGCTGAAATGGCGCAAAGACAAAAAGAAAGCATTTTTCGTCCTTTCCAATTTTTCCTATGATTAATAAAGAACCTGTTCTCAACCTGCAAAAATTCTTAATTTTCAAGAAACCTCAAAATTATTTAATAAACGTCGAAAAAAACATGTAATATTGAGATTTTTTTTAATAAAAAAGTGAAATGTCTTTTGTGAAACTAGAGGAACCCTCATTTTTTTCTTATTTCGGTAGTTTTTTTTTAAGTTCTCCATCAACAGGACCTCCTGTATCTCTTTTCATCAGTTTTTCATCTGAAATCGGCTGTCAAATGGGGGACAATTACATCGGAAGCGTCATCTCTGTCGAGTGTGTCGGCGGCGGCGGCGTTTATCAAGGCAAACTGACGGCCGTCGACCCCAAATCCGGCAATATCACCCTAGCCAATGTATTCAAGTTCGTGACCGACTAGAAAAATGTTTCCTTTTTTGAAAGAAATGTAGAAAAGTAGGTACATTTGGGACTACACTTGACTAACTTCCGGATCATTTCGTGGAAGAAGTAGTTCAATTTTCCGTTTAAATTGAGTAATTTCCAAAAAGTTCTGCGAGAAAGCCTTCGAAAAGAGGGTGAAGAAAAAAACTGAATAAGGTGAAAATATACTTCAGTTTGTCGTTAAAAATTAGTAACTTTCCGATAACTTTTTTCGTAACAGCGTAAAAATAACGCTTTTTGAGACTTTTTTGAACCTTTTCCATAATTACTGCTAAAATATAATTTAAAAAAAGTTACCTTTGTAGGAATATTTTTCTGAAAATTGGCGATTTTTTTGAAACTTTTTGTACATTTTTTTGTTGAAAACTCATCTTTTTCAATTTAGTTATTATTGTTGAATTTCAAGTTCTGAAAACGCATTATTTCACTTTGATAAGTAATAAATCAACTTTACAATGAATTTTGTATTTTTAAATAAAAAAAACTTGAAAAATATAGTATTCTATAAAAAAATATAGTAAAAATATTTTTATCTGATCTTCTAAATGATTTAAAACTATAAAATAAAGTTTCGAAGCGAGAAAATTATTGTTTTCTTTCAGAGAAGGCATACCTCTGGGAAAATGCGTCACGCTCAATTCAAATGATATTTCCTCATTGAAGGTTTATTTTTAGGTGATCTTCAAAGATAAACCAAGTTTTTAGGTTTTGAAATCACCGGCAACGGCGAAATTAGCCGACCAACCGTCGAGTAGTAAGGTAAAGTTGTTTTCGATTGTTCCAGAATTAAAGAATCCATTTCCAGCAATGCACTATAATGCCATGCTCGAACGGGTCGCCGGTTCAAAAAACGTCGAATTCCCGCAAAAATACAAGTGATAATTTGTTTGATAATCAGTTAACGAAAAGACCAACTTTCAGAACAGAAAAATGAAAAAAAAAACCGTCTTGTGACAATTTTTGTCATGTAAAAATAGTTATTTTTCTCTAGAGAAATCCAACTTTTTCTTATTTTTCCTTATTTGTTGGTAAACACTTTTTTTTTCAATGAAAATCCAGTAATTGTCCCTTATTTTCATAATGAAAGATTTTAAGAAAATCCGTTGATTTTTCAGAAGAAATTCGAAATACCCGGGATAAATTCATCGGAAATGGCAAGGAAAATGATGCTGGCCGGGCGATTTTGGATCAATTTCGGTTGGAGATAAAAGTCTCTCGTTGACAAAAAAAAAATATTTTCAGAATCAGTCCACAAAAAGAAGTGAAAACCAAGAATAAATTGGCACCTATCCGGATGCCCACTGAGGATGAGGTTGGTTTTTGGGAAAAATCAGAAAAAGCTGAATTTTTTCCAGATTATTCCTGTAGATATTGCGCCGACGCCTCAGTTTCGGAATTTCGAGCCTCAAATTCCGAGACCGACGGCCCTGGACGAAGTTAGCCAAGGGGCGAAGAAGCCGTCGAAAAAAGGGCAAGGTGAAGGAAACTCGGGGTTACGAACCTAAATCAAAGTTCCAGGCCCTTCTGGGATCCCCCTGCTTGATGCTCTCAATGCCTATAAAGGGTATGGAAGGAGAAATGGCCGGAATAACGGGGATACTCTTCACGCCCCGATCGACTTCGATCTCGAGGCCGATTTCGATTTTGCCGCCAATTTGGAGCTTTTCCGAAAAGAGGTGTGCGGTTTTGACAAGGAAAACGTGTTGGAAATGAGCTGGGAAGTCTGAAAAATCAAAAAATTGTTCTCTTGACGTTTTCATTTGTGATAGAACGATGATTTTTTTCAAAAACGGCACCTTGAAATTCAAAGTTTTTATCATTTTTGAGCTTTTTTCGCCTATTTTTGATATTAGTTTTTTTATTAAATTAAGAATATATGTTAAAATCTGCCACGAACGTTTGATGAAAATAATATTTTGAAAAACTAGGTGCTCCAAATGAAAACTTCTGATCTTCCATAGCTTTGAAACAGGGACATTTTGTTTATTTTAAAGAATTTTGTACCGATTTTCAGGTTTTTTGAAACAAAATTTTGGCTTTGTGCATAATTTCGTATGGAAGTGGTGTTCAAAAAAAACTTTCAGACTAAATATTATTTCCGAAATTTTATGGTGTTCCGTTTCACTTCAAAATTCTATCCAGCTTCTGGTTCAAATTTTCGAATTTCAGGAAGACGACGACGAGTTCTTCGAGAAAGTCGAGAAGCTGAAGATGTCCCAGAACTTTGCCCATTATGAGAACATCGTGGAGGATGAGGGCCGGGTGACGTCATGGACGAACATTCTGGCCAAGAGGGCCGAACTCGGAAACGGCCACGTCGAGGAGCAACATTCGGTCTCCTCCAACACCCACACCGAGGAGGACGACACCGAGTTGACCATGATCAAGTGCGTCTTTCGGATAATTATTGTACATTGCAAGACTAGAATGGTTTCTATAAAAAATCGGCCCTTATAGGAGACGAAGTAGTGCTCCCTTGAGGGATAAGGTTTAGGTGGCCTTTATAGGGATTTCGGGTTTGACCTCTAGGCCACCAAAGCTTGACACGCTCAAAAATTCTCAAAAGCAGTGGGTACAAAGAATCATTCCATTCATTAATTTTGATGGAACCAATCCAGTGGGATAGCCTGTCATCAAAAATACGGACACAAAAGGAAAGTTTTCTGGAATTTTTTATACGAATTAGCTCCCATTATTTGATAAAAAGAAAACTGATACGTGAGCTTTTTTTTTCTAAGTTTAGCCACAAAAAAGCGTGATTTTCTCGAGGTTTGTTTTTTTTTATTCATGGGTATAACTACGAAATCCTCAGAACATTTTTCGACGCTTCATAAATTATTTCAAGAAAAAAATGAAAAAAAATGTTGGTATACTTTTTTAAAAATAAAAAGATAACTCGGGATTCTTTGCAGTGGCCGCGCGACAAGCACCTCCAAAATTCGGTTCGAATCGTCGAGTTTTGAAAAATCCTCCACGGGACTGCCGGTTCCCGCGATTTCCGCCATTGACAAGAAATCGTTGATTGAGGTTCTCCTGAAAGTTTCCTTCATTCAGTAATATTTCAATGTTTCACTCTAACTTCATATCAGCAAATTGCGAGAAAAAAAAGTTTGGATGGATTAAATTATCAAATTTTCGTTGAATCGAGGTCAAGTAATTTTTGAAGAACTGCGAAGTGAATCCAAATCTTTTCGTTTCGTGGCTGGCTCCGGCTTGATAATGACTGTGTCCTATTTAGGGTTATTATTTGATTTCGGAAACTCCATCATTTTTTGCTTTTTCTACAATCAAAGAAACCTTCTGACCTGTCTGCGTTCTCTTTTCTCTCATCTGAATCTTGAAAATAGCACTTAATATAGTAGAGGGCAGAGAAATCAAACTTTTCATGCTTAGATTTTGAATTTCAAGTACAATGAAGGCATTCGAAAACGCTCTGTGGATGGCTCGCTCTCTAATTGGTTTATCGCTCCAATAGGGGCGGAGCTTGTGCGGTAATTTGACATTCAAAACCTGAACAGACTGTACTCTTACCAAATAAAGTAGTTTTGAAAGAAAATCCGAAATTCAGGAATGCGTGAAAAGAATGGGCCAGGAGGCGCTGGACACGGCGGTGACGGACCGATTCTTCTGCTGGGCGTCCGATGTCGCGGGACGATATCGCGAAAAAGACGACGTCGTCGTCGTCATCGCCTCCTCGACGACGTCGCTCCGGTCGCTGCGACGTCTTCTCACACATTTCGACAATCGGGGGTGCGAACAAAATTTTCGATGACTTGAAAAAAAAATGGGTGAAAGCTTTGATTTTTTTTTTCATTTTGAGACTAAACTTTTCCCTCCATGGCTTTGAAGACAGAGCCGTTTGAAGTAATCCAGAAAAATAATTTTTTGAATTTTTAATCAAATTTTTGCTTTTTCTGATTTTACAGAAGATTTTCTGATCAATTTTTCGATTTCAGAGTGGCGAGTTGTGTATATGGAAAGTATCCGGGCGAAGCCTTCAGAAATGTCCGAGTCGTCGAAAGAATCGACGAGCTCCCCAAGAATAAGGTTTCAAAGAAAGTATATATCCAAAGTAATTAACATCGTTTTTCAGTTGGTTTGCCTTCTCTCCTCGAAGGTCTGTCAAGACGTCTCTTTTTGGCTGAAACAGCAAAATTCTGCGCATTTCGTGTGTATCGAAACGATTCCTGAAGGCGTGGATCCGCGAAGGGTGAGCATATTCGATTCGATTCGAAAAAAGGAGAACGGAAAACGATCATTGAATTGAAAAAAAGACAGTATTTATTTCCACCTCAGAGATTATCATTTGAATTTTCGGTTCGAAATATTGAGATTTTACCTAAATTTCTTCGGTTTTGAATTTTTTATTTTCGATTCACTACTTATCTTAATTTTTTCAACGAACTTTGCTAGTTTCATTCTCATTTTTAAAATGTTATCAAGGTTATTTTGAAAACTTGTTTATTTATTGATTCCGAAACATGAACCATCAAATTTTTTGAACCGATTATCTAAAACTATGCTGATTTGAACATTTTCGCCGACCCAATTTTCATGTTCAAAGTTAAATTGTTTTTCAAATTGGCCGTCAGAAAGTGGAGAAGATAACGAAGTTTCGGAGAGTTAGAGAGAATCTTGCATTTCGTGACATTTACTGTCAATCGAACTACGAATTTGATTTTTTCAGGTTCACTTACTGATGTTATGCGTGGCGACGGCTGGAGTTCGACACGTCAGTCACGAAGAAGAACCGAAGGCCGGAATGCGTCGGATGACTTTCGAGGAACTCTGCAAACCGACCACCCAGAAGAGATCTTCTCCTATCGTTGTTGGTCGGTTTTTGAAAAGCAGAGGAATTTCCAAACGCGATTGACGTATATAAAGCTCTCCGACGTTATGATGGATCCTCCCCGTCTTGAAAAGCGAAACTGGCAAGGTTGACGCGTTGCGTCCGCGAAGCGGCTTTCAGGCAGGACAATCGCTATCATGAAAAAATGTGAAAAAAAAAGAAACAAAAGTTTCATTATTTTTATACTTTATTTGTTCTATAAAATATTTAAAACTATTCAACATCTGTCCAAAATGTCGCTCGCGGTTTGACTCCAAGTCTCCCGTCAGTCCGCAGTGCGCCGTTGCGCTATTTCCGTTTGCGCCGTTGTTTTGAACTTTTATATCCATCAGTGTTCATTATTTTTGTAGTACATTTAAATCGACAGTTTGGATCATTTTCGCTCCATCTGTTGATATCAATTTTTTCTGACACATTATCGAAAAGCCCAAATTATTGGTACTAACAAGGTAAACATAATAAATTAGAGCAGAAAAAAAATCTTTGGAACGTGACCGTCTTGCGCGGAACGCACTATACACAAATGATGTACACTGATAGAAAAGAAACCAAAAAAGAAAAGTTCAAAACAAGGCGCACGCAGAAACGGCGTCTGCATACACGGGGCATTGCGGACCAGCGCAAATCGGCGACCTTGTCTTCCCTTTGGTGAAACTCCCTGATATCGTTTTTCCGCTGTTTCCAAACAATTATTGATGATTATTGGTTGAGATTGTGCGGTGGCGGACATCGGGGCGCCGTTCAGCTGGCTGGACGACTCTTCCCATTCATTTCTGACCGCCGCTTTCCGTGCTTCCGACTTTCTCATTCGTCTTTCATCCAATTGATCCGAAAAAGATGTGTCTTTCAATCGTCCATTTCTGTGCCACATTCCCTCTCAAAATTGCATGATATACTCATTTTTAGTCTCAATTCTTTCTTGTGTAAAAATCTGACTTCTATCTTCTCTTTTGTTGTACAGTTTTCCACCGGTTTTTAGGAGCATTTTCCGGCCCGGTTTTTGAGATATTTTGTCATTTCTGCACCGTTTTTTTCCCTTCGTTCGGTGGCTGTGCATTTTTCCGTTCTTGGGTATTTATTGATTGAATCTAGTTGATTATTGATTTCTTTTTTCTTAAAACCTAGATTCGCTTTCCTAAGTATAGATTTATTTTTTTGTTTAGCGTATTTTTTTCAGTTATTTTTTTGCAGAATTACTTAAGAGAATTGGTTTTTTTTTTCTGTTCAAATTTTGAAATCACTTAAGAGAATTCTCAGATTTTCTTTGAATCTCTATTTTTCAGTTCAAACTTTCACTGTGATCCCTTCATCTTTTCCTGAATAGTCAAATGATTTTTTAAGAAATCACAAAAGGGACCTTTTATTTCTTTCCTTTTCCACTCAAGGGACCTCTACAATTGTTCATTTTTGTCCCTATTTTTTTGAGCACTGAAGTGGTTACAATAGAAAAAACTTAAGGAAACTTCCTAATTGTTTTCACTTTTTGGAGAAACTACATTAATTCCCATTGAACACCCTATTTATCAGCTGAGTGATCACTTGAGGGACCTTTTTTTCCTTTTTTTGTTTCTCCCTTTTTCTTGGAATAATCAAGTGGTTAGATTAGAAATCACTCGAGGGACTTTTTTGCTTGTTCTCTTTTTTGTCCCAAATCTTTCTTATTTCCCAGTTCCTACATCGATTCCCATTCAATAGTCTAGCGCTTAGCTAAGAAGCCGTCTGAGGGGCCATTTTCTTCTTTTCGGTCCCAAATATCTTTTTCGAATACTCAATCATCAGCTAAAAATCACTTAAGGGAGGTCTATAATTTTTCTCTATTTCGTCCCGAATTTCCCTTTTTTTTCTGAAGGAATCGATTTAAATTGATTGATACGCTCGTTTGTGACCATAAAAATCAAAGAACTATATGTATTTTTTTTTCTATGTTTCTCAATATTTTGAAATAAATGATGGCGAGCAGTTGTTTCAAAATTAATTGATTGAGTTGGCCTGAAACTCGAAGTATTTTTGTTCTACTCTTTTTTTAAATCCAAGTCCTAAAACGCAAGGATTGAAAAGGTTGAGACGGGCGAAAATTCTCAATTTCTGGAAGAAAAATAAGCTTTTGGAGCTTTGGAAGAAACTTTTGTTTTCTGGTTTTCTGGGAGCCAAGCTGAAAATTTTTTAGAATTTTTGATTTTTTTTGCATTTTTTCAGATGTTTTCTACCAGGATTCCAGATAACTCGACGACAGAAGATCTGACGGAACAACGTTTATCGCTTTTCGAGGACCGAAATGCAACTTATGACGCTTCGGAAAGGTTCTTTCTCAGCTTAATATCCTGTTCAAAGTTGAAAAGCGAATAAATAGCCCATTTATGAGAAGAAATATGGAAAAAAGGGCTAATAAGGTTTCATTATTTTTCACAGTCCGTACATCACTTATTAACGAACGAAATCCAACCGCCTTTACTTTGAGATTTCGAAAGTGTAAATAAGCTTTTTTCCGGTTTCAGGGCTAGGAAAATATATTGCACATATACCGCAAATGGTTCAAAAATGGCTTGATGAAGAGTTGGTCAACTTTGAAATGACGCTAAAACACATTTCGAGCTTCATCCAAAGGGATTTAAACGACGGAAAGCCGTTGAAATGCATCAACTATTTATTTCAATGTTTTAAAAATGAAAGCGAAAGTAGAGAATCTTCTTTTTCAAAAAAGAATCGCAGAAATGGAAGAAAGGCGCTTTTTGTAGAGCACCAACGGCTTTCAAAGTCATCTAGAAAGCCGGGGGGGTGCGAAAATGATAAAAGTGGTCGCCGCCCACGTATGGCGCAACTTCAGAAAAAAAGGACATTTGTTTCGTTCTAGAGCTCTGCATCGTCATCATCTTTGTTTTCTTGACGTGATTTCTTGTTCCATTGTTATACCCTCCTAATTATATCTGTGGAAGGCAAAGCTATCTCTGACTCTTCACATTTTAGTTATCTTTCTTACTCTCTGACGGCTAATTTGATTTTCGCAGAATCACTTCGAATAAGGCATCCGAATTGTAACGTGAAGCTCTATGCCGTTTTTTTTTTGCGTCGACAAAAATCCTCTGAATTTTTGCCTAAAGATGATGAGGAATTGAATCCCAAATTTTCATACCGCGTTGATTGAAAAAGGCGGCAGATTCACGATAAATACTTCCAGAGGGTGAACGAGTTTGAAAACGATGGCGACGGCTAATAGGTAAATTTGAGAAAAATATTAATAATATAGAAATCAGCTGAACGTGCTGTGAAAAGGGCGAATTTTCCTTTTCCGAAAGGTACTGTATGTGAAAGTCCGTATTTGGCGTGTGCACTTTGCTCCCTTTTTTGCGAATTTCGCCCTAAATCCTATCAAAATGGATTAAACATATGGATAAAGTTGAATTACATCAACTCATTATGAAACAAGAAAATAGAAACTTTAAAAAAAAGAGAAAAAAACGCAGAGATAGCGCTCAGAGTGTGCCTGAATGCAAAGGGAACACGTGAAATGCGGAATTTCACGTACCGTACTTTTCGGAAAATGAATAATCGCTCTTGTAGCACTTTGATGTATAGCTGCTTGAATAATCAAATAATGGGTTCTGGCGCGATAATAAAAGGAGACAGTGCCTGGTTGGTGGAGAGCGCAGGCAGGCCACGCCTCTTCGCATCACAAGCTAGTGAATCGATTATATATATAGAGATAGTTAAAGTAAACAGAGATTTCTAAAATCAAAAAATTATAAGGAACGTTTTTTATTTTATATCCTTTGAGAGACGAAAGTTTGCAGTCCCTACACTTTGGCCGGGGCTTTGATGCTCAGCGGGAAGCTGATGACCGACTGGTGGGAAATCTCGCTGAGTATCTTCCTCTGGATGAGTCTCTCCTTCACGGTTCGAAAGAATCCCTCAAGTGATAACTCAAATCATCTTTTTCCCAGGTAATTTATCTTGGAGCGACTTTCCTGTCCCTCTTCACCATGCGAAAGCATCCGTACGTCTGTTTCTTCGTCCTCCCGCTTTTAGGTAAAGTTTGAGGTAATATGAGCAATAAACTGCAATATTAGGTATGATAATTGTTGGTCCGATGCTTCTGGGTGCACCGACGTCTATGGTGATGGCTTTCGCGATGTCGGCCTCGAAAAATGTTGGTAAAATGAGCAATAGGGACCTTAAAAGACATCAAACGCCTTATCTAGGATTTATGAAGATTTGGGGGTTAACATGAGCAATAAATCATGTTGATCACAAATTAAAAGATGCATACGGCCTTCTTTTTCGAAGTTTCAATTAAATCCCAGTCTTAAGTGTTTGATATGAGCAATAATTCGTCATTTTCAGTAACATGGCTTTTTTTAAAGGTAACGAACGACAATTTCAAATTTCTAAATGAAGTGTAATCTTTAAAGCAAACATGAGCAATGTTCTACTAACTTGAGAAAAAATTAGTAATTTTTCAGGCGGTCAGCACGTGGTTCTGTATGTTCGCCGGCGTTCTGCAGACCTTGCTGATATTTTTGGTGTCGATAACCAGATTACTCGCGACTTTATGATGAAATTAGCCTCTGTTTCTTCGTTTTTTTTTTGCTGTTTTTGTGTTATCATTTGAATAATCGGTCGATAATAATGTCATCCCTGCCAAGCCTAGTCTAAATTGTCATCCGCCTACCAACAAACGTGTAATAAAAATCCCGCTCAAGCTTTCTCAGTTTATTAGGAGAGGAGGACGAAAGATCAACAGCGGCCTGAAGAGGCGCCAAAGAAGTCAGGCAGTCTCTCTTTCTCTGGCGTCTCTTCAGGTTTCACTGACCTCTCTGCAAATCTTAATGTTCTGCTAGGGCTGAAAAATTTAAAGCTAACTTCAACAACTTGAAGAAACATCAGAGAAAAAGAGACGCTCTGGCTTCTCTGACATCTCTGCAGCCCCTGTCGATCTCTCATATCCATCTTCGCTCATTCAGAATATTTAGTTATTTCCCCTTTTTTTCTCTTGCTCAAAGCCTACTTACTCACTTTTTAAGGAGAAGATGTTCTTTTTTCTAACATTTACTTTCAAAAAGGAAATTGGAATCAAAACAACTATTATACTCTAAAAAAATGAAATAACAACACAAAAAAGGCGTTTTTATGCGGGTAAAGCAGCGTCTAATTCCAAAAAAACCGAGTGATAAAAAAATCTTTTTGACTTACATTTCAAGAAAAAAAGAAAAGAATTAATCAAAAAAATAAAAAAAAAAAAACAACTACAGATGGTCATCGGGTAAGGTAAGTAAAACTAGAACCTAGTATACTGATCTTAACGAATCGAAAAAAAAAATTTAACAACAAAAATATCCGATTCGAACTCAAAAATAGAGCGAAAATAAGTAATTAATAATGTAGACAAACAGGAAAATAGGGGAAAAAGTTAATTTCGAAATATGAATTTCTTTACAAATCCTTGACGCGATTGCAAACGTCCTGGGTGAACGTCGAGCAAGTTCCGCTGCCTGTAAATAATTGAGATGTTTGAGACAAGGGAGAAACTTTCAGGAATATAATGAAATTCGCTTATTCTATAATTTTGGAAAAAAAAACCTAAAAAAGTTTCACCAGTATTAAGAATACCCTCAGTGATTTCTTTTTTTATTCACGGAAGTAAATTCAAAGTAGCCACTAAAGGGATAAAAAAAGTCTTTCATTCCAAAATGGGGATAAAGATTCAGCACTCAAGTGACCACTATAATTTATTGATGACGTTTTGAGCAAGAGCTAGAACTCTTAAATAATCACTAGAAATGCTCAGAAACGTCATGCGCATGCTAAAGCCGTAAAGTGATCTCTAGGAATGCTCAGAGACGGGTCCGGGCGTGCTAGTCCCACACTCACCTCCAAGATCGCCAGTCTTGCAGCGTCCGTCGGCGATGGCGTCGAAGACGGCCTTCTCGATGCGTCGGGCGTGGTCCGTGAGGTTCATGTAACGGAGCATCATCACCGCCGACAGGAGCAGGGCCGTCGGGTTGGCCTTGTCCTGCCCGGCGATATCCGGAGCCGTTCCGTGAACCGATCTGCAAGCAAACTTGGTGATCTCCGAATTTATCAAGGTATGAGTTTTTCTTTATTTTTCTAGCATTTCAAATCTACACCATTTTTAAAATAAAAAGTGCGAAAAGCCTACGAAAATTGACGTTATTTTTCGTCAGTTTGCCCTCTTTTTCTAGTCGAGACTGTTCCCTATAGGGGGATCCTCAAAGTTTCAACTCTGAGATCGCGTTTCTCTCCTCTATAAACTTGCAAAAATGACCCTTACAGGAGTTTAGTTGATCCACATCGGAGACTAGTCGATTACTGTGAACATATGATGAACTTTTCGCGTTTTTCTTTTTGAATTAAACCAAGAAAAAAAATTGAAAGACGCTATAAGGACTACTTGAGCTTTAGGGATCAGACCCCAAACTTTTATAGAGACCTCTACAGGGACCACTTTGGCGCTCCCACGTTTAAAAATGAACGATTCAAAAAAAGATAAAAAACGTGAGCAAAAAGATATTGGTTTCCCAAAAAATCCCTTCGGAAAACGAACTCGAAGACAGCGGCGTCCTTGCCAATGTTGCCCGACGGGGTGACTCCGAGGCCTCCGACGAGTCCGGCGCACAGATCCGACAGGATGTCTCCGTACAAATTGGGCATGACGAGGACGTCGTACTGCGACGGATCCTGGACCATGTTCAGGCAGACCGTGTCCAAGTAGGCTTCCTGAAATTGTGAAGCTCTAAGAAAAGAAAATCAAGTTCTAGCTGAATGAATTCGAAAAACGGTTTTGAACTTCAAAATTCAAGAAATTATAAGAACACGTTTACCTTGAACTTGATGTCGGGGTAGAGGGCGGCCTGTTCACGGCAAATGCTCAAGAACAATCCGTCGGACATGCGCATAATATTGGCTGAAAATAAAAAAAAAGCTTTTAAGATTTAAGATTACAAAAGGATGTTCTAAATCGGTATCGAGGACTCATGAAGCGGAAAAAAAAATGTTGTCAAATTTGCCTACAATGATCAAGTTCCCATTAACAAGTTTGATAATTCCGGAATACGGATTCGAAGATAATAAGCATTTTATTTCAACTTTTTTCATCAATAAATTTTTCTTTGACCAAACCCGCGAAGTTATAATAATAAACTGGTGAAAAAATTGAGAAAAATGTCTCTTTTGACAATCGACGCTATAGTGGTTAAGGGGAAAAAAAAGTCTCAACACGGTACAAAAAAAGGCTCCTAGAGGGGCTTAAAATCTAACCCTTAGACCCCTGAAAGTTTAAATGGTCTCTATAGAGATTTTTTTATTTTTTTGGTAAAAACAAAATGATCAATTTATTCTCTTTTATGTTTTTCATACAAAAAAAGAGGTAAATTCATCGTTGAATGACATCTAGAGGGACCACCTTGGAGTTCCTAAGATGTGACTGCTTTTGGGGTCGGATCGCCCCGGGGGGACCCGTTTCATCAGAAGCTCTGTTCAAGACCTACCCTTATGCACAGCAGTGACGCATTTCCTGCCGTTCTGTCGGGCATACTCGAAAGCGAAGCTGGCGACATTTCGGGAGGCCGTCTCCGTGATCAACTTGATCGATTGGACAACGCCGTTGACGATCTCCAAACGTTTCCATTCAAAAATGTTTTCAAGAGTCTCTGGTTCTCATCGATTACTTCAGAAGCCAAGACATAACGCAAGGAAATTTAAATGCAACCTCTAATGCCGTGTTCAAATTAATTTCCGCGAAATGCAAAATTATCTCTAACACTCCAAAATATAGTTGTCTTTTTCACTCTCTGATGGCTATTTTGCGTGTCACAGACATGGCAGAAAATTTTTGAAGAAATATATCGTTACAGCTCATATATATTATTTCTTTATTTCTTTATCACTGAAAACCTAAAATCAATAACACTTCTACCGAGGAGGAAGGCTATCAGAGAGCAAAAGAAAGAATTAAAGAGGAAGAAAAAAAGTTACAACAGCTGCCACGGATAAACAACCAACTGCAACAACTGGAAGAGCCAATTAAACTGAAAATTCCTGTTTTTTTCGTTTTTAAACGATAATAGGAACTATTAAACTTTAAAAATATATTTCTCTATTTTTCTTCTAAATTTTCTTCAATAAAAACAAAGATCATACCTCATGTTCGATGCCGGAATATTCACCCTCCGTATTTTCACGGATAGTGACAACATCGACATTGTCGTACAAGGTTTTGTGGCCTTCCAGAGATCGACACGGCCGAACGTTGGCGTAGAGGTTGAACTCCCTATGAATTTCCATGGACAATAAGACAAAATGTCAGAGAATAACTCGTGAACTAGCCAAAAGACCGAAACAGAAAAACCATACAATAAAAAGCAGCAGGATCCGAAAAGTCTTTGAAACAAGTGAAGACAAAAAACTTTTCGGACAGATTGGTTACATTTTTTTTGAAAACAGCAAAACTGCGCTCAATTTTTAGTTTTCAACTGGGAAAAATTAAAGTGACTACTTTAATGTCCTCTCTAAGTAGTCCATGCGGAACCTCTTACGTGGTCACTAGAATATTTCTCCGAATGGGAAAGTATCAATTCAAACTCTTATCAATAGAGCGCAATAGTAGACCATAAGGCCTTTTTTGAATTTTTTTTCCGATTTCAACTTCAAAAAATCTCGCTTTTTTATTATGAAATCCTGCTTACTTTCGGACAGCCAAGTTCAGGGAACGATGTCCTTTGCCGATCGGCGTTTCGAGGGGTCCCTTCAGGCCAACTTTGTTCTGAATCATTGTTTTCATTCATTTTTTTAAATATTGATTCAAAGAAAGCTTCTGCAAAGGCAAAAAAAAAAATTGCCGCGACTTTGAATTTCCAAATTTTCTCTCAAACATCACAGAAGTTATTAAGATAATTCATTCTGTGAGTTTTTTTTTGTTCATCTCAAAGTAAATTATTCAAAAAGAGCTTTCTTTTTTTTTCCAAAAAGTTCATTAAAAAAAAATGATTTTTGTTCAAGGGACCAATGAAATTGAATTTTTACTTGATGCATGAGTTCGATGCAACGGGAAGGAATCCGGAAAACTCCGTCGCGACCTTTGACCGGCGTCACGTCAACTGGATCCCAGGCGATCGGAGCTCCAGCCGCCTGAAAAATTATTGAAAACGAAAAAAAAAAATTTGGTTCAAGCCTACAAGAACTTTTAAGGGTGACTCCCAAAAATAAAAACCGAAAAAAAAAAGTCGAAACCGAGCTAGAACAAAGCAAGATTTTCCTAAAGAGTTCAAGAATGATATTCTTGTTCGAAAAGTCGATAAAACGTGCGAGAGATCAAAAAAAGGACAAATGAACTTCTTTGTCAAAATTTTATTCTTATCGAGTTAACAAATGGAACTTTCCCTAAAATTCTTTCTAGTGACCCTAATTTGAACATAAAAAAAACCCCAAAATACAATCAAAACATCGACTAAAAGATTAGAATAGAAAAATACAAATAAATTTCTTTTTACGAAAACACATTTTAAAATGTATTCATGATCATTTCACTTACCTCAAAGATCTGCTGAACAGACTGGGAGATTTCCGGGCCGATACCATCACCCGGAATGAGGGTCACACGGCGAACCTGTAAAAAAAGGTTTGAACTTCTAATTTTCCATTTCAAATCGTATACTTTTGATAAACTCGAAATGGACGAACTTTGATTTGAAAGTAAAGTCAAATTCATTTTTTTAAAGAAATACCAGAAATTTTTTTCAAACAATATAGCTTATCAAGTTTGCTATTATGGATGTAACGATATTTTTAACTTTTAGAGCATCGTAAAATTGTCGTGAAAGCAAAAATAGTACTTGAACAGACGTAGAATTTTGATAAAAGAAAAAAAAAACTTCGCTATGATGTAAGCTTTCATTAATAGTTGAGAAAAACACGGCAATTTTTCCCATTTCAAAATGACCTTTTGATCCAATTTTTCCACGCAAACATATGATTTTTTTTTGTACAAAAATTTCTGAAAAAAATTGAAAAAAGTACAATTGTTCTTTTTTAAATATTCTTTTCTCATTTTTTTAGAGGATATATCGTGAATATTTTTCATAATGAAGTCACCTCTCCAGTGGAAGCAGCACGTTGCGCGATGATTTGTTGCCCCAATGAGGAGGGAACTTGGCACGCCTTCTTCAAACATTTGGCCAGCATCTTTTTGTCCCACTTAAAAAATTTAATTACAATTGATTCTCAGGAAAAAAAAATTGACAATAGTTCAAGGTACACGACAACGAAAAATAAGAAAGTTTGATAATGATTCGGTTGATAAGAAAAATTATCGAGAAAACGTGACATTCCTAGATTATTGGAACTTTGCTGCCTAAAAACAATCGGAATTGAAAACACTTTTTGTTCCCAATAAAAGGGAAAAAAACTGAAAAATTGATCAAAATGACAAACATTTATGTATTTTAAGAAAAAAAGTAACAAATCCTAAACCACGTTCAAAAATGGTTCCAACTATCATCAGGACGCTTCAAAAAATATATATAAGTTCAAAAATAATTCTAAAACGGGTGAAACTTTCGAAAGTATGAAATTTGAATTAAAAACTGAAGTTTCCCTAACTCCATCATTTTTTGTATTGTTCTTTTCTTTCATTTATTTTTTCACAAAAACCGTAACAGTCCTTTCGGTAATAATTCAAAAAACTGTAATGATCGAGAAAAACCAAAATAAAAGAAAAGTTTTAAACGCCATAAAAATCAGGGAATTTCCCGAATCCCTGCGAAGTTTCGATATTTTACCAATCTTTTTTTTTTCACAAAATTTATGAAAGCTTTCCTAGGTTATCCTCGATAATTCTTGAGCTCTTTTACCAATCTAAAAATTTGAAAAACTTACCAAACTAGATAAAATGTGTAAATAACAAAAATTGAGGAAAAAAATGGGATATTCCTCCGAACATTACTCACACACTATGAAGTTTTCCCTTACCTCATTCGATTATTACTTTCAAATAACAACTAAAATTGATAAGAAGTCGGTAAGAAGATGATAAAGACGGAAAAATGAAAGGGGCTCCGAAATCACCGGCGGTGTTGTGCGATGGAGCGAAATCGATCGAAAAGGCGGGCGGGCCGGAGGAGAATTTACACGCTGGCGATTTGCCAGCCACCTTTCCGCTTTTTTCATTTTTTTTAATCTCTCTTTTCATCTCTCTCTTTTAAATTATTTCTCGACGAGGCTGATAACAATTAGAAGACGTTATTAACGAATAAACCATCATTGGAACGATTCATAACTTGAAGTGAGTGCCGTTTTTCGTACTGTTTTCGAATTTAAAACTATTATATTTTTTCTATGTTTTTTAGAATGTCTTATATGGTGATTGAAAAAAAGGCTTATAATCTTATAATTTTTCTCGAAATGAAAAGCCTTTTTTTCAACTGGAGATCTGCGACTTTAAAACTTTTTGAGAATTGATTTTTAAAAAAACCTTTTTTTAGAAAAATTGAAATTTTTTTGTAAAATGACTATTGACTCTCAAAAATATATGGTCAAAAAAAGAATTAATTCAAAAAAATTTCGATTCGAAAAAGTAACTTTATTTTTAATTATTTGGCTAGGAAAAAAATACTTCAAGCTCAATTTTTTTCAATTATCAGAATAATATTTTATTTTTAACGCTTCCAGATTTTCATATTTTTTAAACGATTCATTCGAGACCGTTATAAAGTTACTCTATGCGCCTTTAAAAACAAAAGCTGCTACGAAGAAAAAAAAACCAACTTGCCTACTGTATTAGAAGAGCCGATTTTCGATGTTATCAAGATTTATAATGAAAGTAAAGCATCCAGGAAACTGAAAAACCTAATTTTCCCCTTTCAGGTCGAAAAATGACGGAAGAACAGTACGCGATGCGGTCGCGTGTCGGGAGAACGACGTCCAGCGAAAGTAATCGAAGGAATGATTCGCCGAATTACAAGGAAAATGTGCTCATCGAGCGGAAAATCAAAAACGGCGACACCCTCAATAAATTGGCCATCAAGTATCAAGTTAATGTGAGTTGAAATTTTAAAAAAAAATGTGATTTTTCTCTTCTCCTGACTTTGAGACAGAAAAATCTGCATTTTACACGCCACAATGTTCCCTGAAAGGGTGAACTGTGAGGTGAAAAGATCTGTTGAGCAATATGGGAAAAAATACGAAAAAAGGGAAATTTTTCGTAGGCTGACGGGCCGGCCCTCGTACAAGCCTGGGCAAGGCCTCTAAATCTCAGTTGGCCCCTATAATAAACTTTTTTTATTTCCTGTTTTGATTTAAAAGATAAACGTAAAAAAGGCGTATAGACACCACTAACATGCCCCTAGAGTAACCACTTTCGCTAGCTTTCGTTTCCCTAATGGGGGAGCTTCTGAGTCCCTATTACGATCCCCACAAATATCCCATGTAATCTTTTTTAAACGATTGTTTCTCACGCTTCTTTCAAAGTTTCCCGTTCAAAACCTTGATTCACACTTGATTTAGAACGCTCCAGACATTATTTTCCGGTTTCACGATCATTTTTCCGTTTCAGGTAGCTGAAATCAAAAGGGTGAACAACCTGGTCAGCGAGCAGGACTTTCTGGCCTTGAGTCGGGTCAAAATCCCGGTGAGCCGCATGAGAATGGCTCTGGGCGTGCGGACGTCGTCTTCCTTGGAGGACGACGAAGAGGATCACGTCATCCGTTAGCGATTTTGAGGCATCTCGGAAAAAAACTTTTCAAGAGTTTTCAGATTTCAACGATAGATCGAGGCTGATCAACGACGAGGATGATCGATCGAGGGATCCAAGTGCCGAGGATATTTTCCATAAAACTGACACGGCTATCGGTTGGTTTTAATACGAAATATTTTGAACAGAAACAGAAAACAAAATCTTGATCGATATTACTAGGGTACGCCAAAGTGATCCCTAGAGGATTCCTAGAAGGTCCCCCTGAAGGGACCATTAGCTCTGAAAAACCTAGAAACTCATACGTTAAGCTATTAATGATCACTTAAGATGTTTTCGCGCCTCCTTCAAGGACCAACTACTCAGGAACGCCAAAGAAAACCTTAAGGCCTCTTGTAGGTTTCCCTCAAGTGGCCACCTCCCTTTATATAGGGGGAACTAAAGCATGTAAAAGTGGCCACTTAGGTGGTTTTAGTTTGTGGCCACTCTAATTGGTCACTATTCATAAAATACGTCTTTTTTATTTTGAAGATGAAAGACCCCTTCAGGGACCACTTGAGCATAGGGGGCTAAGGAGTCAGACCCAAAAACCCTATAGAGAAAACCTTAATTCCAGCTCTCTAGGGAGTAATATTTTGTCCGCTTAGGGCTGCTTTCCCCTAACCCCTCTAGTGACCACTCTGACCTTCCTAAGGGCTATAGCTCATTTTGAGAAGAAATAGTGAGAAAGTATCAGAAACAACTCATTTTCCAGCACAAGTCCGCGAAGCACTACCCGAAGACCAGATCCCGGGCTCATTCCACTTTGTTGATGCCCGACCTCCCGACTCTGGCCCGAGCTCCGTTTGGGTCGTCGTCGTTGGAGTCGTCCTGATCTTCATCGTCCTCCCTCTAGTGCTCACTTTCTATGAGGAGACCGAAGAAGCGGTTCATCATCAGAGGCCGCATCGAAATCTGTCACATTAGTGTCTTTTTTGGGGGTTTTTGTTGGTTTGCGCATGGAAAATGGCTTTGGAGGTTGTTAGGCTGCCTGATTTTGAGCAAAAATTGAGCGAAAAAACGTGAGCTTTATTGAGATTTACTGGCTGCCACGCCCCTTTTTGATTCCAGTTTCGAGTTTATAAAAAAAGGAAAAAAATTTTTGAAGATATAGGAATTTTTCAATTTTTTAAAGCAAGGATTGGTTTGCTCGCTTTTTTAAGGTTTTTTTTAGGATTATAAGATTTGTCTAGAGCCATTTTTTTCATGTAATTACCCGTTTTCAAGTCATTTTTTTGAGCATGGGATACCGCGAAAATTCAAATTTGAAGTTTTTCGAAATTTTTTTCAGATAATGAAACTTAAAAAAATAAGATTGATAAAAGCTGGAAGCTATCTCCAGAAATTCTCAATTTTATGACGTCACTTCCGAAAAAATCAACGTACTCCATCATAAAATTTGCGCTCTATGGAAAATTTCCCTAAAAACAGGATTTTTCTCGTACTAACCAAGTTTCCTTCATTATTTTCTCTTCTGAATAGCTTTTTGATTGGTTCTTACTATTACAACTTTTTTGAAAGACGTGCCTTTTTTTCGACTAATTTATTTTTATTCCGGGTCTTTTTCCCCCACATCCACTTTTGTTGTGATAGAATCGAACAGGAAAAATATCTTTTGTTTTCAATTCGGGACATTATTTCTGGTGTTTTTTTCCTTCATCTCTCAACGCTAGAGATAAGCTTTTCGATAGCATAATCTTAGAAACTAAAAATAAATTATTGATTGATCGGCCTTTAAATTTATTACAGAAAAAAAAAACAGTTGGAACTTCAAGATAGTTTGCCAAATATTAGGTTGAATACCGATAAAAAGAGGGAACAAATCGATGAGAAATGTACATTTTGAGGCCTTGAATACCTAGTTTTCGAATAGGGATTGGTTTGAAACTAGAGATAATGTCTAACTTGGAGACGCCAGGGAAGTTAGTTTTCATTTGCGTGGCTGGCGCTCTCCAGTTTTCACACAGTCTCTCGCCTCGGTATAATAAAAGAAAAGATGAAGATGATCCACATCAATTGAATTTTTTTAAAGTGAGGAATGTGTCGAGAAACTGAGAAATGAACAAGTTTTGGGTGATTTTTCATGAAAAAGGCCGTTTTTTGAGATTATGTCCACGGAAAACGTTTGAAAATTGAGTTCATCTGTATTTCGAGACCTAAATCTTGTAGGCTTGAATTTCGTTTAAAATAGCTATTTCGAGACATTTTTCTACAAAAACGAAACGGAATTTCGAACACAACCGAGGAAATTGAAATTTTAAAGCTTTCCATCAAACACCAGGATTTTTAAAAGATTAACCCATAACAAAACATAAAAATGCCTCAAAAACGCTACTTCAAGCACATTCCTTCTTTTATCAATAGAGCGCAATTTCCAACCTCAAAATAGCTATCATAAAGAATATTAGGATTTTTTTTCCCTCAGAGCGCCATTTCAAACCAAAAAAGTATCGGAGCAAATTTAATCCTTAAAAAATCGCCCAGAAATTGCCAATTTGTTTCATTTGAAGAAATATACAATAGATCCAATTTACAAGGGGAACAAGGACAATGAGAGAAATAAAAACCAGTACATGATTCAAAAAAACATGAGGATTGATATAAATAAAAGAAGTTATTCGGAGAGAGATTCGCGCTCCTGACAGGCCACCTGGACCAGCGCTTCCAGTGGCCCGCTCACCATTTCACCGTATCTAAAATTCATCTTTTTTTTTCGGATGAGCTGCCTGAGAACCCTAATAGTGACCCCTATAGGGATAAGGGGACAAGACGGTTCCTCTAGGGATGAAAAATGCTCATTGTAGGGGTTGAAATCCGACCGTAAAGCTTAAATGGTCTTTGTAGTTGGTGAGACAAAATGGTCAATGGGTCCTGTAGGGGTGACCCTTGAACCCCTAAAGCTCAAGTGGCCCCTATAGGGCATTCTTATTTTATCTTCAGATTTTGAAATTATAAGGCAATGTATTGTCTCTTAATGTTTTTACCTTCAAAAAAGCCAGTTTATCGAGTTTTTCACATAGAAAAGTTTCTTCTCATAGAGTTTATAACAATAATTGGCTAGAATCAAACGTCGGCTAGATCCCACCCCGGAGTGCCAGCCGACGTATGGCTCAAATGATCCTATATGAATCACTAACTTATTCTTTTTTTGAAGTTAAAAAAATAACTCATTTATAGATCTTTAAAAACCGACCCATTTTTTTAAACGTCTTCAAGTGTCCATACAGTTTCGCAGCAGTCACGCGATCCAAGGATCTTGTCTGAAAAAAAAAAATGATAAAATCCAGAAAGAGTCGCAAATATAAAAAATTCTTTCCTAGTTCCTTTTTCTCAACAAAAAGCCCAAAAAGCACCTCCATCAGGGCTCCGATGACAATTTCCGGGAAGAGAATCTTTGCGACGAAATGAATGGCGGCGGCGCCCGAAAATCCGACGTCTTCCTTCTTGACGAGGTCCAGAAGTCGGTCCACCAGCTGCTCCACCGTGAAACAGTCTTCTTCTGAAAGAAAACATCGCGATTATACTTGGAAAATCTTTAGTGCTTGCTATAATAGTTGAATTGGTGGCCACTGAAGCGGCTAATAATTAGTGGCCTCTTCAGAAGTCTAAGGCGTAGCACTGGATAACTAAAACTACTATAGCGGGAGCTAAGACGGAAAAAAGTGGCTTTTATAGAAGTGGCTTAAGAGGCCACTTCAGGGTTTTTGAAGTATTAGTGGCCACTCAAACTGGCTCAAATTTGGTGATTTGTTTAGAAATCTCAGTGGTACAACTAGAACCACTAAAACTAATATACCGGTCAGTAAGATGCAGAATAGTGACTTCTATAGAAGAGATTACTGACTACTTTAGTGTCCACTTCAAGTAGTCTTTTAGGAATGGCCACTAGGTTTTTTTCTCGGATAGTTCATTTTAAAGGAAAACCTGTGAAATAATCACGAAAATCGAAGGATATATTCATGGCGTAAAGTGGCGGCCGAGTGTATTTCTTGCTGAGTTTCCAGTGCTCCTTGAAATATCGATCGAGGCTTTTTCGGATCTGAAAAATGCATTTTCAGGGATCAATACAAAATCGATAATTTGAGGTACATTTTCCAGAAGTTGCTTCTTCTCCTTCGGCTTCAGAGGCCCAGTGAAAGACGTCGATCGCTGGATTGGACCACTGCTGTCTTTGTTGGCTTCAACTGGAACTAAAATGAATCCTTTCCCACTCATTGATAATGTTTCTTCAAAAAGAATTATTATTGCTAACTAAAGAACTTCAGACGAGGGGTAAAAAAAGTTCCCTAGTAAGTTTCATCGAAAACAACGTTTCATTTTTTTCATTTTTCAAAAAGTTGAATAATTCGAAAACCTATTTAGATAAAAACCTAAAAAAAAACCTTAAAAACGCCTCAAATTCTTTCCTTATAATTGTGAAAATTCTAATTTCCCTCAAGAAGTCCCTTCAAGACAAAAAAAGTTACACAAAATTCATAAAAAAATCGCTGAAAAGAAAGGACTAAAGTGGCTTTTTTAAAACTTCTAAGCAGTTAGAAATCATCGAAGTACAAAAAAATCTCAGAAACGCGCCGAATTCTTTCCTGTTAATCATGACCCTGCTGATTCCCCTCAAGAGGTCTCTCAACAACTAACAAAGAAAAGAAAACCAACTCCGATTAGTTCTTCTCGAAATGACGCCGGGGGCCGAAGAAGCTTCGGAAGAGGCTGACGAAGCCTCGGACTTTTCCATTTTGGCCTTTTTCGGCTTTTCCTTGGCCTTGAGCTTCTTCTCGGGGCTTGCCGGGGCCAGTTTGGTCATGATCCTCGCCGACTTTTTCGCTTCCGGAGCCTCGTCTTTGTCCGAATTTGTCCGTTTCTCAGCCGTTTTCGGTTTTTCCGTCTTTTTGGGCGAGAGAGGTTCCGTCGATTTCTGTTCCTCAGATTCTTCCTCGTCGCGAGATTTGATGGAAGAACCCTGGAAAATGCGAAAAATGACATTTTTGCCCTGAAACCTCGATGAAAAGCATGCATTTTCAGCCTTCATTTAATTGGAAACCAACCCTGTCGATTCCTTTCTCCTTCAAATATTTCACGGCATCTTTGAACGCCTCGACGAGTTCTTTCGACGATTTCGACTCCAAATTCTCGTCAATTTTCAAAGCGAAGATCGCCTTAATGATAATTTTTTTGGAAAATTCTTGAAATCGCTAAAATTACTTCATAAAATCTTAAAAACTCCATTTCTATCAGTTTAAAATCAGCTTTTTTCAAATGAAATCAAACAAGTTCTCATTTTTTTCTCTTTCAATCCATTAATACCTTTGTAGAGAAACGAATTCGTTCCGGAATCGAAAAACTGATTTTTCAGAAAATCTCAGGAGTTTAAGATTCTGAGAGATTTAAAAAAAGAAAAACCATCCTAGAACACTTAAAATTTCATTTTAACAAGTTTATGAACAGTAAAGCCTTTTCTCAAATAAATTGAATAATTTCTAATTTTTTCTTCAATCAATACACAGCTCTGTACAAAAAAATTTCATTTAAAAACTATGAAATTGGTTTTTTAAATTTTAGGACTTTAGATGAAAAAACCTTTCAAACTTCTTTGTTACTACAATAGCGTTTTTCACAAAAAATCAAGAAAAAACACAGAAATCAATGAAAAATGAACCTTCGGAGGGCTACTGAACGTCATCGATTTTTTGCCTTCGTCTTTCGGGACCGGGAAGAAAACGTAGGTGATTTTCTTGGGGTAGACATGTTGGACCTGAAAAAAAAAACATGATTTTGAGCTTTTGGAACGAAAAATCCATAAAACAAGTTCTATTGAAACCTGGAAAAGATTCGAAAGTGTCGAAAAAACCAGATTTTTTCAATTTCTGTAGGAAAGTTGATGCAATCGTTCTTAATACCTACATTCTTAACTTTTTGATTCGATAAAAAAAAAGAATTTTGTAAATTTCCTTAATAAGATTAATTCAATAAATAGCTCGAAAAACTTCCAAAGATTCATTAAAAACATTTTTTTTTTTTCCGCGGTTTCAACGAAATAGTAGCTGATCTCCTTATATAGATAATGATAATTAAAATTCTGAAAACTTAACTTCGAACTGATCAGTATACTAATTTGGATTGAATTTTTTTTAATCTGAAAAAACTATCTCAAATATCAAAAATAGCGTCAAAAAGCCGGATTTCTTCCAGTTTCAGTAGTTTCAGTTCAAATAATCTCAATAAATGGGCTTTTAGCTATTTCGGTTATTATGTAAAAAAAGACACTGTAAAAAGCGTTCTAAATAAGATAAGTTTCATGAGAATTTCTAAAGCTTCGAAAACCTTTGAAAATAACGTAATATAATATTCTTCAAAAAAGCTTATAAAATATCATTAACCGCATTTTTTCCGCATCAACACAATAAAAGTTGATGAAATCTTGAATATATAAACTGAACTTCTGAAAATGTAATTGAAAATGAAAAAATAAATAAACGGACCAAAGCAGGCCACATAGGCCCCTTCCGATAAGGAACCCAAATTACATCGCCTTTTTGCACTCCACCTGAAAAAAGGCAACGGCTTAAACAGATTATTCAAGTGAAAAATATACAAAGATTCTATCGAAAAAAAGTTTTTTTATATGCACTTGGAAGCTATATTTTTTTGAAAAAAAGGACGAAAAAGTTTTTCGGAAAATTCTTATTTTTTTAGAAAGAGGTTCTTCATATTCTTTTTTTCTCAAAAATTTACTGATTTTCGGGTATTCTGAAAAAAATATTCGTTTGAATTCAAATCAAAACGTTCTAATCCCAAATATTCCTATTATTCGTCAAAAAAATCCTTCAGAAAAAAACGAAAAAAAGGCCCGAAAAATCAATAGATTCGAAATTTGTTCAATTTTCTTCTATGAAGCTCTATCAAATTGATTCAAATTTCATTTTCTCAAAATTTTCGACTTGTCAATATCGACTTCCTTAAAAAACTCAAAAATAACAAAGTACCTAACTTATAACTGAAAAAACTCTTGCTAAATTTTTAATTTCATGAATTGAAAAAATCTAACCTGTCGCAGTTACGGTCATCGTCAACTTCTGAATTTATTCCGAGAAAATAAAGATGGATAAATTATTCTGTTAAAATCTTCGTTCGGCGGAGAAAATCTGAAGCTTCAATTTCAACAAATACAACTCAATCTGTTCACAAGAATGATCTTTCAAAGCAATAAATATCAAAAAAGAGCCAACTTTCTCCTGCCATCAAAAACCCATAAAATAGTTCTTAAGTCAAAAATCTTTATTCCATGAACAAACGAGTATACAAAGGAAAATGGCACGATATCTAACAGTTTTCTGAATATTTACAATCCTAAACGTCCTAAGCCAAAAAAAGAAAATAACAGAGCAAGAGAGCATGAAATGTTTAGAGGAATGAAGAAAAACAGAAAAGAACAAGTACATTCAAAATGCAAATCAATCACTCTTGAACCACAGAGAAGAAAGCGCCGGTCAAAAAAGTTCGGTTAAACGAACAAAAACCCTGAAGGCCACAAATAAAGTTTTCTAATGGGTTGTCTAAATGTCTATTTAGGAAGATTTAGGCTTTTCAAATGAGTTTCGAGCCAAGAAACTTTTTTTTTCCAAACGAAACTACTCATTTAATCCCAAATCCCATCAAAACTTGTTACGAGAAAATTCAAAAGTTCCAAGATCATTTATAAATCGTAAACTTCTATAGATCGACTTTTGAGGGATTCGGAGAGTTGTAAATGGAATTCTTTCATTTATAACTATTCAAATCTACTTAAAAGTCGAGATTCAAATGCGAAAAATCGGAATCAAAATTGTTATCTTTCTTGTAAAAAAATCCGTCATAATTAAAAATCAGTTTCGGATAAATTTTTCCGAAAAGGCTTTATTTGTAAAAAATTTCAGACTTTTCGCAGGAAAAAAAAAGCTCAAATCAAATGCTTCACAAGCCTCTCAAAGTTTTTAAAACTTTTGGGAATCCATTCAAAAATCCCTCGAAAACCATTTTTAAAACCTTAAGCAGAAATCAAATCGAATCGAGGAAACCGAGAAGAAGGCACGGAAAAAAAAATCTTTGCAATATAATACATTGGTCAAAAAAATGACTATCGAAAAAAATATATCTGATATATTCTTAATTCTATAATGAAATTTTTAGAAACTTTTTTTCTTGGGAAGGAAATTCTAATAAAGATGACAAGCTCGCGCCAGTTCCGTCACCTGAAAAGTTGAAAATTTAATTTTTAAAAAAATATTATAGATAAAGATGCTGAAATTATTCGGAAGCACCCTTCTAAACTTCTGAAAAAGGTACTTTTCCACTATGACTTCTCCAAAAACTAAAGAAAAATGTTAATTTTTGACACCATTTTCGAAAACCTCACAAGTTTATACGTTGAAAAATCTTTGAAAAAAAAAATGAAAAATATTACTTTTCCTACATTTTTGGATATGAAATCACCTTTTCGTAAGTGGTGAAAGAAACTCCGACGGCGACCGGCCCTTTTAACCAGTTCATACTGAGGCCTTTGTAGAGCCCCTCGCTTCAATCCTTCTGTAAATTCAATATTTAACTTGGAGAAACTGAATAATAACGAAAGTTCATTTAGAAAACCATTAAACCTTTAAAAAATGACCAAAATTTGGATGGGTTTAAAAATTGTTTTTAAAGAAATGTCTTGCCCGCGGCGCGCAGTTGCGTCTTTCCTCTTTTATTTTTTTTTATTACCGAGTTTTTCGCTGACTTTCCTTGGAAACTTGAGCACTATCCTACCTGTATGATAAATATGGACAATAGTCCGAAGAGGACCCCATCCGGCAGGAACTCTGCCGGTTTGCATCCGTCTCCGGACAATATCTAGCGGATAAGACGAGGATTGGCCGGCCAAACCGGCGATCATTCCGAAAAGCATCCGCCACGGCGATGTTACCTGAACAAAGGAAATCATTCATACAGTTCTTTAGCCTTTTTTCAAACTCAACATTTAAAAAGTAGATCGAATTTTTCCATAGAAAACTGTTGAAAGAAAGGAAAAAGTTTTCCATTCTGTTTCATCGAAAAAATTTATTGGTCCATAAGTTTTGAAAATCAATTTCAAGCTTTTTTTAGCTTCAATATTTCTCTAAGCGGTTTTCATAGTTTTTGGGTGTCTAAATGATTTTTAAACACTGTGTCTGATTTTCCAATGAACTATATTGACCTGATGACCAGTTTCCTCATGATAAATGATTTTCAACGTCTCGTAGGTGAAGAACGAGGTTCCTGCGTACGGGATTACGCCTGAAAATGCAAAATAAAGTTCCTGATAAGAAAAATGTTAGAGGAAACCTAAAATAGTTGGGTAAATACCGCGGTACAACGCTGAGAGGCCCCCTTCCCGGTATGTTTTTACGAAAACCTGAAAAATGCTGTACATGTTTTCATATAGATTTTCTTCACCATATCGAACGCTTAAGGAGGTGCTTGAACGCCCAGAAAAATAGTGAAAATTTCCCGGGCTCTTAACTTTTTCTCGGGCTCAATCAAAATTCAAAAAATACCTAGTTCAAAAAACAGTTGTCAACGTCGGATACTGAGGCAAGGTCTCTTAACTCCCTAGAAATTGTTTTGAATAGACTACATCACTTTAAAAACCTTGAAAGTAGATTCAAAGGCGAAGAAGGATTTTTAACTGTGAACACCAAAAGAAAAAAAAAGTATCTTCCTTCCGCAGTTTTTTTCCGGCCCAAGCGCCTTTAAAAACCCAAAAAGGCGTTTTATACGAAACGAACCGATCTCAACGTCTTGTACTGCATTGTAGTTGAGACGGAAAGTCTCGCTTTAGCTGTGTCCAAAGGATAAGTTATACAAGTTGCCGTTGTCGCGGCCAAAGATCCAACTATGTACCTTTTTACCGGCGTTTTTACACTAAAAACAGAAAATTTTTCTTTTCTTTAAGTTTTTGAAAACCCATTCTCATCAACCTGAAGCAGATGCTTGTACTGTTCGAAAGCCGTGAATTGAATCGCGGCGTAGGGAATTACTCGAGCCATTGTCGCCGAGTTGCCTCGATACAAGGCGAAAAATCCGCTTTCTTTGAACGTCAATTTGATGAATTTTAGCGCCGACTTGAACGAGTAACCTCTAGTGTTCGACACTGAAAAATTTTAACTTTAGCATGTTCATTTTCTTCATTTTTTGTTTACCTTGAAAATAAATTTTTGTTCGATCTAAAGGCGCGATCGTTGTTTTGGCCACAGCGCCGGCTATTGCACCAGCAGACAGCGACAGAAAAACGCCAGGCTTTTTCCGCTTCTTCAATAAAATTATTTTTCATCTAAAATGTATCTGAATTCAAACCTCTGTAGTTGTGGAAGCGGCTGCCATTTTCTTCAATCCCTAGTATTGGTTAACACTCAAGTATGCCTGCAAACAATACTTTGATACAATTGTTTACAGGGCGCAAAAATTACAACCAAACATTTGGTGATTGGAATCTAAATTGAAATGAGAGAAAGGCGGTGATTAGGAGATGCCAGAGAACAAAAAATGCAAACCGAAATTACATATACAAGTGTGCTCCAATGAGACATTATTAGGGTTGAGTGGCCTCTTAAGGGGAGGTTTTATTTAAATATTCTCGACGCCAGCGTTTTTACAAAAATTTTCGTGTAATCTCCTGTTTTTGTTTCGTTTTTTCAGTATACTAGTATGAATGGCTTTTTTTCTTTATTTTTGTGACACTTTCATTCTGCTTGATTAGACTGAAAGCTAATGAAACCCTTTTCTTGACTTCCGTTAATTTTCAAAGCATTTTTTTTCAGAAAATGTCTGACAACGGTAACAATGGATGGCAATCATTTGAGCGCACAACTCTTGAGGCGTCGATCCCGGGCCAAGAATTTTCTTTTAACCAGCCCTACTCTGAGAGATCCATGAACATGTTTGTTGATCATACTAAAGAATAAATGAACGAATTTTTACAGCTACCCCCTAACAAACTACACGTTCGGTACGAAAGACGCGTTGGCTGAGAAAGATAATTCGGTGGCGACGCGTTTCAAAAGAATGCGCGAAGAATATGAAGAGGTTTTCTAAATTTGATGGTTCTCTCAGAAAGAAAATTTTTTCGATTCTCATTTTTTGAAACTTCTATCTTCCTAGGAATTTAAAATTTGCCAAAAAATCAAACTTTGAAAATTTTCGGATGAAAGTTCGTCCAAGACTCGTTACTTCATTGGAGATTTGAGAGAATTTTTCTGCTAGAACAAAAGTTTCTAAAAGTTCAATAGAAAGACTTTAAAAAAATTTACACTTTAAAAATGCATACATGTGATTTAGAACCGTTTACGCCTTGAAATGATCCAAAATTATTGATAATCTTTAAAGCTACTAATATTAGTCTTTGAATATTCGTTCCGTTTTCTTTTCGTGATTTTGAGCTCTTAAGTATTATCGATATTATCCGAAAGTTGTTGCTAAACAGTGAAAACATCAAAATTAGTCATTGAAACAGTTTTCCCACTTTCTTTCCGTGATAAAAATGTATTCAAAATGATTTAAGCACGGAATGAGAAGATCGGTCGACGCAGTGTTGGTCGTCCATGAACACAGTCTTCCACACATTTTGCTCCTTCAAATCGGCTCCAGTTTCTTCAAATTGTTAGTTTTTCAGATGACTTTGTGGAATTTCGTGAAATAAAAAAAAACACAGTTGTTTTCATAGTCTGTGTGCCACGAGTTGCGTGCGTTCGCGAAGCGTCTTTCGAATCTAGGTCACGCTTTTAATTGATTGTTATTGCTGTGGGAGCGCATGAAAGTAGAGTACCTGGATAAAAGAAAATAAAAATTAAAGCGCGACCACGGTTCGCAAAGGCGCGCAGCGGCACAGCGGAATGTCGTTCGGTGAAATTCCAAGCCGTGGTACACAGCCTATATCAAATTTTCAGGATGAATAAACATATGATTTAATGGAATTCTCATTTTTCAGGCCCGGCGGTGAATTGGAACCCGGGGAAGATGAGCAGACGGGAATGGTTCGGCTCTTAAATGAGACTTTGGGAAGGACCGATGGGTTGGAGAATGAATGGTCCATTGAGGTTAGTTCTGAGGAATAAAAAAATGTTTATATTTAGGGGTTTTAAGGATTAAAACCGTTAGAAATCTTGAAAAAGAAAGGTTTTTCCGATACTCTCTGGATGTGGAAGCTGTTCATCAGAAAACGAAAATAAATATTGCTTTCGATATTTCAAAAATCATTCCTAGAATACCTAATACCTGAAAATCAAAAAAATAAAGGAAAAAAACTTCCAGGACGTTGTCGGCAACTGGTGGCGACCGAATTTCGATCCTCCAAGGGTGAATTCATATTCTTATCCAGTTTATTTGTGACTTTTTCTTTTTCCTAACTGTTCTTCAGAAGCAATTTGATTGAAAAAAAGAAAGTTTGAATCAAATTTTTTTCTTACAGTACCCATACATTCCGGCCCACGTTACGCGACCAAAAGAGCAAACAAAATTGCTGCTGGTTCGACTTCCGTCCAAATGTTTGTACTCGTTCCAAGTTGATTTTGACTCTCGAATTCCCCCTTTCCAGCACTTTTCGCCGTGCCGAAAAACTTCAAACTTGTCGCGGCGCCACTTTTTGAACTCTACGATAACGCGGCGGCCTACGGACCGCTCATTTCGAGTCTTCCGGTCGTTTTAAGCAGGTTTCTGAAAAGATTTTTCGGGGTTGAAATTCGAGGAAAAGTTTGATCATAAAAAAAGGAACATCTGAATCCAAAATTGAGCTTTTCTTTTAGCTTAAATTAAATCCAAAGAAAACCCCCCAGTAAAAAGTTTTTGTCTGAAGGAAAAAGAAATTCAAGTTTTTTGTGGGTTGTCACGAGGATCACAAGTAACTTAGCTTTATAAAATCGGATAGAGATCCATAGAATTCGAGAGAAGGTTAATTATTGTATTGAGTTGATTAAAATGATCAGACTTTTCACTAAATGAAAATAGAGGTTGGCATCCAAAAGAGCGGCTTCATTAAAAAACGAAGAGGAACATTCGAAGGAATTACGGTTCCTAAGAGGTAAAAAAAACTTTTGTGCGAAATTCAGAATTCATAGCTCTCGCAACATTTTCCTATGAAAAATCGTGAGAACATAATTTTTGGCGTAAAACGTGTTGCCGCAATTTCCCAAGGATCGTTCTGTTTTATGGGAAAGCCACGTCGATTTATTCCTTCCGGAGAAAATCGAAATCGCATTATTTCATCAGCATAACATCACCAAAAGAAGAGAGAAAAATGGCAGACGAAATTTAAAATTATTCCTTTCTTCCCAAGGAGCCCTTTTTTAGGACATTTATTTTTGGAAACTAAATTCCCATCAAACAATAAAGCCGTGTTCAGAGTAATTTCGGCGATTTCAAAAAAATTGACGCGATATAATTTTTTGAATGATTTCACGAAGTTAGAGTTTAAAGAGCTGTTAAAGAATTGAGTTCTACAACTACAGTACCGCTCAAAAGTATATTAAGTTTTGGTTTTTTGAGGATATCTCAGCGAGTACTCATCCGATTTATATATAACTTTCAGGGATTATGTAAAATATACTTTGAAACATATACGGTATACAAATACATGTCCGCAATCACTGTGACGCTTTTTTTAGGAATTTTTTTGAATTAAATTTTTTGTTTTTTTATGCTTTTTATTTTTTTATTTATTTTTTTATTAAATTTTTTTAAAAGTAATAATGTTGCCATATGTTTTTTTCATGTTTACAGACATGAAAAAGAACCTCTGGTAGAAAAAGAATTTGACTGATAACGACAAAAGAGCCATCGTTGTGGGTCGTCAAAATGGACTGACCATGATGACGTTGGCTGGAATGTTCGGCGTGACAGAGGCGTGCATTTCTCAGTTCCTAAAACGTTGGAAAGCTCAAGATGGCTCTATTAAGAGTCAACGCACTGGAAGACCACGTGTCACGGATCTTAATGACAATAGAAACATTTTGAAGACGTCTAGAACCAATCCATGACTCCCCGCCCCTGCGATCAGACGGGAAGTTTTCTTGAATTCGCCATCTCCGCCATCCGTCTCGACCGTGAAACGATGTCTGAATGCTGCTGGAATAATGGAAAGACGTCCAGTGAAGAAACCGCTGATTTCTGAAAAGAATCGAGCCGCCAGGGTGAAGTGGGCGAAGGAGCATCTCAACTGGACCCGTCAAGACTGGAACAAGATTCTGTGGTCCGACGGAACGGTCCTCCACCATGTTTCACAGTGGGTAATTGGTATTTCGGATGATATCTGGACCCAATTGGTCTACGAACCCACTGAATTACGTCACTTCCGAAGAGGAGGAACTTGCTTTCGTCGGACCGCAGAATCTCGTTCCAGTCTTGACGGGTCCAGTTGAGATGCTCCTTCGCCCACTTCACCCTGGCGGCTCGATTCTTTTCAGAAATCAGCGGTTTCTTTACTGGACGTCTTTCCATTATTCCAGCAGCATTCAGACATCGTTTCACGGTCGAGACGGATGGCGGAGATGGCGAATTCAAGAAAACTTCCCGTCTGATCGCAGGGGCGGTGAGTCATGGATTGGTTCTAGACGTCTTCAAAATGTTTCTATCGTCATTAAGATCCGTGACACGTGGTCTTCCAGCGCGTTGACTCTTAATAGAGCCATCTTGAGCTTTCCAACGTTTTAGGAACTGAGAAATGCACGCCTCTGTCACGCCGAACATTCCTGCCAACGTCATCATGGTCAGTCCATTTTGACGACCCACAACGATGGCTCTTTTGTCGTTATCAGTCAAATTCTTTTTACCAGAGGTTCTTCTCATGTCTGTAAACATGAAAAAAAACATATGGCAACATTATTACTTTCAAAAAATTTAATAAAAATAAATAAAAATAAAAGCATAAAAAACAAAAAAAATTGAATTCAAAAACAAATTCCTAAAAAGCGTCACAGTGATTGCGGACATGTATTTGTATACCGTATATGTTTCAAAGTATATTTTACATAATCCCTGAAAGTTATATATAAATCGGATAAGTACTCGCTGAGATATCCTCAAAAAAACCAAAAACTTAATATACTTTTGAGCGGTACTGTATATATTGCAATATATGACTTTCTAAGGCAACTTTCGAGCGCGAGTTTGGAATTTTTTAGTTAACAATGACCAGCTAACTTAAAAGTTTGTAGCTCCCGCGTAAAAGCCAATCATTCAAACACTCAATCACACACCAAGAAAAATCATTTTTAACTCATTTTTTTTTGTGGACGACGTTTTCGAACAGCTGATTTGCTTTTCGCGACAATTTATCCATTTGTATGAGATTTTAGGGATGCATTGATAGAACCAATTCTATTTTATCAAACAAATTAGTTTCTCAGGTTCAACTTCGTCTTCAAAGATGCTGAATGAACGATCCTACAGCCAACGTCTCTTTAATTTATTTCTCTTCAATAATCTTGATAAACCTTGTTATTTTTGTCTTACTATGTATTCTTTTTTTTCATATTTTTGTGAGTTTGATCTCTATAAACGGATTTTTTGTTTAGATGAAGAACTGGGAGCATGAAAAACTATAACAATTTCAAAATTACCTATTGAGTTCCTAGCTCCCTGTAGAGATCCCTTTTGAAAACTCTTAAGTGGCCCCTTTCTCGTAGCTTCCTCAGATGAATCCAGAAGCCATGAGGTGCCGAGGCCAAATTGTTCAATCATTTGAGTGATGGCCTCAAATGATGACGTCATGACGGCATCTGTTGTCATCCGCCTTTCATTCATCCCGCCCCTCATTACCGTAACCAGTTTCCCGAGCTTTTCCTTTCGGACATTGATAATTTTTATTACTGAGTTTCTCTGAGCTTGGATTTAAAGCTGCAAAAAGCCAAATTCTCCAAGGAAATAGAAGTTAGCCGTGGAGCGCGTTTAAAGGCTTTCCCGCGGCTTTTTACTCCAGGTCATTTTCTAGTTTAAACAACTTCGCAATGGAGCAAACTCTGCGCTTCGCTCCAAGCCCTTTTCTCTCACCTCTTTTGTTTTCACGACACAGGAAAAAACCGACAAAACGGAAAAGAGGCATGATCAAAAGGCGTATTGTGGATGTGTTGCGTGGGAGTCGCGCCGCGGGTGGCAGATACCCATCTTCTGCGGCGCGACAGCCGTCCATATGCCGAGAAGTGTCCTGATTGAAATTGTCGCTCGTTTTGATACATGTTCGCCTTTTCGGGGATTATTCCCCGATTACGATGCTCCTCTTGACGCCCGATTGTACTATTTGAAGTGGATCGGACAAGAACTGCGTTTAGAAGCAATAAACTACAAAAGAGACATTGGAAGAGAAATTCTTAGAAAATTGGTACCGATAATATTGAACCATAAAATCAATAGGTAGATAAACGATTTTTACCTAGAAAACTTTGGAAGCAAATTTAACTACAGAGGTATGCTTTCTACCTAAAAAAAGTATTATAATAAAAAAATCTGAAAAACCCTCGGTCATTTCTGAACAAAGGAAGTGTAAAAGTGCAAAGCCAAAAGATATAAAAAAATATTTTTTTGAAGTTTTTTTGGTTTAAATTTATATGAAATAAAGCGACTAGACTTCTGTGAAAATTGTTTGTGCGACTTCCAAAAATCTTAGAAGTTCTATGAAAAAAGTGTACCTACCAGCTGTCCAACCTCCAAGAATCCTCATTAGAACACATTTCTCGAAGATGAGAAAGTCCTAATCCGGCGGGCAACCTGTTCAGGTGTTCTCCATGCCCTAAGCCGGAAATCGAGACGATCCGAAGAGAGAGAGCGTCAGTTGTAACTCGATGAGGGAGGGCAGGTGTTGCTGGACAAGCTGTTAACAACAGTTGCGCAACCCTTGGTCCGCAAATGACCCTTTTTGGCCCTTCCAAACGGTCTCTTTTCTATAAATGGAATGCGGATGCTCCCACACGTGTCATTTTTATCGTCGGACCTATTCTACCTGCCAGATTGCTTCGGTTACGGTAGCAATTACTATTAGGAATCGGCGATAAAACGAGAAAGACGAAAAAAAGAAACATATACGGTGCATGAAAACGTTTCGAGCAATCAAAGTTAATAATTTAAGTGATTACCCATTGAAATTTTAAATAAACAACTACACGTACTCGAAAATTACTTTAAAGGCGTGATAAACAGCAAACGCTAAAGAAAACATTTGAAAAAGTGGAAGAAAGTCGAAAAAATTTAGAATACGGTAGCGCGCAAAAACTGAAAGTTCTGTGTATGCGTCCTTTGCGCGTAACCGGTCAACATAACGTCACTAAGAATAACTGACGAGATAAACGCGAGGTCGGTGGCGGTACATTGACGAGCTCGCAAACATCTTGCTTTTTTCTAGGCGCGATCTCGCATTTCTCTCGGCGCGACCTCGCATTTTTCTTGGCGCCATCTCGCATTTATCTCGCATTTCGGAAATTTTCAAGTTGCGAGAGAAATGCGAGCTCGCGCCTAGAAAAATGCAAGCTCGCGCCCAGAAAAATGCGAGACCGGCGCGGGAAAAAAAGCGAGATGTTTGCGAGCTCGTCAATGTACCGCCAGTGTCTCGCGTTTATCTCGGCAGTTATTCTTAGAAAAGGATGTACATCCTTTTCTTTTTCTTCGAATTTCCCCTCTTATTGAAATGATATTCTTCCAAATTATATGACAATCGTGTGTTCTAGATGATGCCGGAATTATCAAGCGTTGGTGACACTTGTCACCTAATCGTCGGACATCATCTTTATGTCAATTGAGCGGCGGAAGACGTGCCGCCTCGTGGGACAACTCAAATGTTGATGCGTGACTTGCTACCGTATAAAATTTTTGTTTTAAGCTTATTAAATTGTTTTGATGTCAGTTGATAATATGCTATGAAAGGATGAAAAAAATTAATATTTTTTTGAATTTTTCTTACTTTTTTTGAAAGGTTTCGCTAAAACTATTGTTTTTCTGTCTTTGTGAAGAATCTTTGAAGGAATTTACTCGAAATTTTTTTCAAAAAAATTTAGATTTAGACTGTAAATATGATTTTTTTAAATATGTTTTCACTTCTATCGAATTTTTAATACTTTAAATTGAATTTTTTTAATGATTTTTTTGTCTGAAGTTTTTTTGCTTAAAAATATATATTTCGAAAGTTTCTTTACCATTCAGCTTCACCACCCTAAACGCTCATTTCCAAGGTTCTCATAAACATTTGCACCAGCTATTAACCCCAGAAACGGCCGTGAAACAAAACAAAACAGGAGTAGGCTATCACAATGCGCAGTGATGGGCGGTTGCGCAACGACTGTTGCGGGAAAGAAGCCCTTGAGAGTCGAGATGACATCCACTTCTTCCAGAAGAAGATGTGCAGGTGCGCATGATCGTGCCGAGATCCTTAAGAGGTACTGTAATAAGTAGAAATCTCGAAAATTTACTTCAAGCTGTTTCAGAAACTTTTAAATCTTCCTATTCTCCTTCGTTCCATTTTTTTTAAAGTAAAAATGATTATTTTTTCTCACAGTGTTCATTTAGTATTTTTTAAACCCAATTTCTTTTTTTCTGGAGCACTACCAGAAGAATTGAATTCTTTTTCTATATTCCCATTTCGATATATCTTCCCCAAGAACTATCATTTACTACTCGATGTCGGTCGGTGTTCTTGGAGGCTTTTCTCGGTTTGTCGTGCATTTTGTTTGCAACGGAGCGCGACTTCCCAGTAATCCTCCTGAACAAGTGGGCGTGGCCTTTGATGTATTGCTCACAAAGCTTTTTGGGTCGTTTTGGACGTTGTGAGGAGTTTGGTGAGAGTTTCGAGAAGATATAGCAACAGAAAATGATTTTTGGTCAAAAATAACAGCAATTCTATTTTACGAATTTTTATTCCTGTATCGTACCGTGGACCTTTTTGAAAAATCACCTGAGTCTTCGTTTTTTGTGATTTTTATTTTGATTATCTGAAAACTTTGTGGCGTTTTTTTGAGATCAACGTTGGTTCCAATTTTTTTGAAACGAAAAAGCCGAAATCGTGGATTAGAAACGATGGGGGAAATCAAAAAGATTTTTTTTCGTGATTTTTAAACAATCCAGTTGGTTTTTTGAGAAGTTGCGGTAGTGTAGAGCTGTCAGAATCAGAGCTGCTGACCAGACCGGAGCGACCGCAACTCGCTCCGGGGCGCCCCGCCCTGCGAAGCGTCACACTGTTAGAAGATTTCTATACTTCTATACTCAATGATATAAATGAATTTTCATTTTCTTCGACCAATAGACTTCTTTATTAGTCGTTACTCTGCGGATTTTTTCACTTAAACTTCATTTTAACTTATCTACTCAGCGGGTCGGGGCGCCCCGGGTCGCCCCGGGGGCCCCGTCAGCAGCAATAGTCAGAATCATTTTCATAGAAAGAAATGATGAAATGGCAGAAAATTGAGGGCAAAAATATGTATTTGTGTATTTTATCAACTTAGCTTGCTTTTTATATATTTCGATTTTTTCGAAACTTGAGGTGGCTTTTCGAGATCTCACCCAATCTTACAGTAACCCCGGATCGCTGTCAGAAACACTTTCAAACAGGAAAAAACCAGTGGCAAAGCGTGTAATTACACGCTGGCGGGGTTAATTGAGCCGACGCGCGTACCTAATTTGGGCGAAAAGAGTTTCAAGGCGTCAGACGGTATTTTGTGTGTGCGTGTGTGCTCATGGACGGTGATTCTGGAGACGGAGACGTCGGCCGGCCTGATGATGTAACAGGTCAGACGGTGGCACCTGCCCCCGCCGCCGCATCTGGACACTTTTTCTTTCGGCCAGCAGGGTGTCTCCTTGAGGTCTCGGTAGTTTATATAAGGACTTATTATCAGCTTAAAAGTTGATCGAATGAAATCCATTACTTTCTGAGTTCCTCATGGCGCAACTAGACCAACTACAGCCAGGAGAACAGATTATAAGGCCATGCTTTCAATTTGATCTACTACATGTTGGACTTCTAGTTCGCCAAAGGCGGTTTTTTCGTTATAGCTTCAAAAACACTTTTAACCGCTTAGTCGATTACATCCACCACCAAAACAAAAAATTATGGATTGAAACTGTAAATTAGCTTATCAATAAAAAAAAATTGAGGGAGAGCACAAAGAGCTTTTGCTGGGTTTAGAGAAAATACTCCAAAAAAGTCAGAGAAAACTCTCAAAATCCGTTTAAATAGGCTGTTTTGGGGCTAGGAGCGCTTACTTCTTTAACTTTTTGCAGGCTGAAACTAACAGAATCTTTTTTCTGGCCAGGAAATTCCCAACCGTGAAGTAGGTGAGCTTCTTTGAAAGGAGTATGAGAAACGAAGAGGGTCAGACGTCTTAGAAGCAAGTCAGCGATAAAAAAGTACGAATCTTTATTGAATTGAATGATCAGCTTTTACTTGGGTGAACGAAACAGTGGGCAAAATTTAGAGATTCAGGGGCGTCTGTGGTATTTATAGTCTTGAAATAGTGGAGCTTGACTTGAGACTTCGAAATTGGTGGATTTTCCGAAAAAATGGTTCTGGAAGAAATAATCAATAAATAGGGATTACATAGTGGTTCCAATTTAGGCTTGTATTTTCGTATTACCCTTGTTAGATAAAGGTTTCGAAACTTCCATTTTCCAGCTTAACTTTAAATAAAAGTTGAAATGGGAAGATTTTCAACCCGTCCGTGGACATATTTTCGCCAGCGACCCCTGAGAACTCCATTAAATTTGCAGCGGCAAAACAATGGGAAGCTCTACAAGTGCTTCACCATCAAGTGTCCGGCACCCGATTCAACAATTCTGGCTCTTTCCATAAATGGCAGGAGGCGGAGTCAGCCAATCAACGGCCGCCGCCACGCCCCCTTTTCCTCGGCTTTTCGCCGGCTGCTCTTCTTCCTCTTCTTCTTCCTGAATGACTGAATGATCTGGTCATCTACAATGTCCAGTTCCACTTCGAGCTGTACGTCTTCAGCTTCTCCCAATGACGTCAACCTGGCGGCGAGCCTCCTTCTCGGCATGCCCATTTTTGGGAATTATCCCCTTCCGACCGCCCTAGGCGATAGTCTTGGTTCGTTATTTTTAATCTTGGCAAAGTTCTTAGAAGGCTTAAAATAACATTGAAAATGACTATTCGCCTCAAGACTTTTTGGCAATTTTTTAAACGAGCACTCGTAGTTGCTTTTTTGATTGATTTTTTGGCCTTTATCAATTCCATTTTTCGCAATAAAAGTTGAAAATAAAGCATATAATTAGTTTTGAGTTTAATTTCTTCTCAAATTTTGATTGTTTTCTTAGTTTTTCAGTGTTTTTTTTGACTAGGTTGCAAAACTGAATTTGAAACAGTTGTCCGAAAATTTCGATTTCCTCCCTAATTTTTGGTTTTACTTCAAAGTTCTACTGGTGATCTTGAAAATTTGTGAATCTCTGGCAGATGTAAGTTTTTTAAACGAAAGTTGAAAGGATCCTTTTTAGCATGACCAGCTCTAAGTGAAGAGTAATTTTAAAAGGTCGTCTCGAATTTACCTGTTTCATTTTCTCTCTTTTTATTCTTTTAGAAAGGAATTTAAAAAGAGAAAAATATGTTCCAGGAATGCAACTGAACACTCAATTGTTAATGTTGATGAACGAGCGGCTCGATTTGTTCAAAAAAGAAACGATCGCCCAGAAAACGGTCCACTCAACGCCGGAAAAGGAGCGGGAAGTAAGAGATTCGAGAAAAAATCATGCTGAACCTTGTGCGCTCCATGGAGATATATATTTTTCACTTCAAGATTCTAATTCCGATGGTACGACAAAATCTCAAGTCCGCAAATCTCGAGGACCGTAATCTTGTGTACGCAGATCTAAAGTCCCATAATCTTGGAAACCAAAATCTTGGAGACCAAAATCTTGGAAACCACAATCTTGGAAAGCAGAAATCTTCCTTTTTAGTCTTCTTTATTGCATTTTATCTACTTATATTCTCTTGTTTGGATCACCGAATACAATTTCTGATAAAATCTATTCGCAAAAGCGTTGATTTTTACTTTCCAAGATTGTGGTTTCCAAGATTTTGGTCTCCAAGATTTTGGTTTCCAAGATTACGGTCCTCGAGATTTGCGGACTTGAGATTTTGTCGTACCATCCTAATTCCGTGTTCAAAGCTATGCAAAATTATCTCTTATGGCGTGTTCATCGGACAAAACCAAAATTGCTTCGAAAGGCAAGAAAATTGCTCCAAAACAAAAATTAGTACTGTTTTGGAGCAACTTTGGCGCGCCGAAGAACACGATTTTTCGTTTTGAAGCATGTTCCGTTTCTCCAATGAACACGCCATTAATTTCCAAATTTAGTTATCTGTTTCCCTCTCTGACGCCTTTTGCGGAATCATCTTGAACATGGCATTAAGTGAAAAGTTCAATATACATGGTATTTACAACAAAAAAAAATTGATGTTTAGAAAAGTGTCCATGGAGCGCAGTTTCAAGCTTTTCTCGAGGCTATTTTTTGAGATAAATTATGTATTTTTAGAAGAATTCTTTCACGATCGACAGCTTGTTGCAAGTGAAGCAGGAAATAGCTGACGATAAAGATGTAAGTTTATTTTTTTGTTTTTTTAAGTTCATGAAAGATATTTTTCCTATTAAAAATCGAAGAAAAAAACTGATTTTTGTAATATTTCAGTTCAGTTGATTGAAGGCTTGATTTACGGTCAAGATAAGGGGGGTTCGATTCCTATCCAGTGGAAATTTCAAAAAAAGAAAATGAAAAAAATTACCCTGTTCTTCCAGGTTTTTAACAGTTTTTTGCGTCCTTTTTCCTGTTTCATGCAAGAAAATTTTTCAATTTCAGGTTTTGTATTTTGCAAAAAATAATTTGGATGTGTACCTACTTAGAGACTTGAAGTTGAACTTTTTTAATTCGAAAGTTTCAAAAATCAAATATTTTTTGTGAAAGGTGTCCCAAAAGAGTGAGCGAGGATTTTTGAACAGTAAATACTTTCTTCTCAATCTAGACCTTCAGGGAAATTTTCGGCGAATTTATGGGCTTCCTTGTAGGAAACCTTTATCAAACTGTGCTTCTTTGAAATTTCCAGAAAATTGCTTTTTTCCGAATATTGCTGTCCACTGGCGACTCCAACCTTGTTAGATGTACTTCTCTTGAAAAACAAACAAACTTTTCAAAAATCATACCTGTCCACTGGCCATTCCTACCTTGTTAGATGTATTTCCTTGGCCGGAAAGGGCGCATTTATCCGCCTCTTTCTCTCTCAATGACGGGAAGCCGCCGAGCAACAATTTTCGTCGTCGCTTGATCTACGCGTCCGGCAACGCAGGCCCATTATTACTATTATGTTGTTGCGCTGGAAAACACGTAGCCAAGTTTTTTCTTCCGTGCGGGGCTTTAGTCAGTGGTTTGAGTGATCTTGAGGTCCCAAAACGGCCTCAATATAGCCGTTTCACGGTTAGCTTGATCGAAAAAGAGGTCCTGACACGAAAAATGAAGAGATAGGACCTGGTTGGTGGAGTGCGCAGACAGGCCGCGCTCCTTTTCGCTCCAAGCTGTGAAGCGGCTGCAAGAAACTCCATAGTGGTTCCTTAAGAACTCCATAGTGGTTCCTCCGGAGAAGATCCCCTCTAGGGACCACTTCAACCCCTCTACAGGGGCCACTGAAGCATACAAAAGTGGCCTTTTTAGTATATAAGGGCTTTCATCTAGTGGTTACCTCTATTTCTATACACTGGAAAAAGAAAAAAAAATAGATTTTAATCTACAGAACTATTCCAAAATGGGAATTTTTGTTCTTGGAATGAGAATTTAGACTTCATTTCGAATTTCGTAAAATAAAATCACTTTTTTTTTTCAAACTTCATTCTATGAGTATTGAAACTTGTCCAAAAACATCAGAGTCCAACTTTTGACGAAAAACTTCGAATTCCAGGAACAATCTTCGTGCGCCTCGTCTTCTTCTTCTGAAACTCCCGCCGTCTACACTTTAGATGCCTTGGAAGACTGCGACGGCCGGGCGAAAAAGACCAAAAAGTAGGATTTTCCGATTAAAAAATTCGAATTTCTCGGTACGTAGGCTCTCGGAACGATCGCGGTGTGTTTGCGACCAATGCGGCAAGTCCTACGCCACGACGAGCAATTTGAGCCGACACAAACAGGTACCGTTGCGGATCAAAGCGCTACCGTAATCTTTTTTTTTTTGATAGGTTTCATGTTAATACATAAAATAGTAGAATTTTTCAGAAATTTAAAGTGAAATTTCTAAAGTTGATTAAAAAGACTTCTCTCGCTATGCTCTCGAATGATAGTTCGTCTCTAAGATTCTCTCAGTAATTTCATTTATTTATTTAATGATAGTTCGTCTCTAATAGTTCGTCTTTATCCTTGTCGACTGCGGACAAAATGAATACCGTAATCCGGAAAATTGCAGACTCATCGACCGCTGGACAGTCCTCACGCCAAGCAATGCCCACACTGTGACCGAGTTTACGTCAGTATGCCGGCTCTGAGGTGAAAAATCAATAAGTTCATATAAAGTCAATAAAAATCTCAAAAACCCTCAAGTGGCCCTTTGAAGGGGACAGGTGATCGGGCAGAGGTTGCAGTTACGCAACTTGTTGGCCCGTGTCATATCCAATTACAGTAATAGCCAGGTGTCAACACCTTTTTTCGAGGAGATGAGAAAAAGGTGCTCATTAAGCGTTGTGATTTGTTAAGATCCCATGGGTCAATGGGTTACCGTAACTATTGGTTCTGAGAGGGTACTGTAGGTTTTTTGGAAAATAATTTACTTTGTTCTCCTCCAATTTTCATTCAATCTTTTTTCTCAGTCAGGAAGAATATTATTTTGTCAGGGTTCTGCGAAAAAGTAGGATAACTTGGTACGGTGGTTTTAAGAAAGCTGATACATAAATCATACTTGAAAAGGTTTTAGAAGGATACTATACAGTATAGTATTCTTAGTCTATACTGTAGATTCCAACGAAGAAAATTGAAAAAAATGTATGTTTCCTATTCCTAAGAAACATTTCAAGACGTTGTAGGCTCACAACAACGTTTTTCCTTGAAAATATGATATAGTCCGTTCAGATTTTGAATGTCAAGTAGAATAACGTCATTCGAAAACGCTCTGTGGATGGCTCGCTCTCTGATTGGTTTATCGCGTCATTAAGGGCGGAGCTTGAGCGAGGACTTGACATTCAAAAACTGAACAGATTATACTAAAATCTTTTCAGACTTCCAACTTTTGAAGTTAAGTTCTGAGAGCAGAATTCATAGATACTTTCGCTACAGTAATTTTAAATTTTTAGACTGATAAATTCAGATAACTGTAGTAAAATAGCATTTCTTTCCAGTATGCACATATTAACGCACAAAGCGACGCACGAATGCAACATTTGCGGAAAGCTTTTCTCACGTCTTTGGTTACTTCAGGTGAAATATTTCTAATAATAAAAAAGGCAACTAAAAAGTTTTTAGGGACACCTTCGATCGCATACAGGTCAAAGGCCGTTCGGCTGCGCCCATTGTGGGAAAAGTTTCGCTGACCGAAGTAATTTAAGAGCGCATATCCTGACGCATACAGGTAAGAATGTGAACATCAAAATGTACTCGAGAAAAATATTTCACGGAATTCGTGGTTTTTAACGGTTGACGCAAACTTGCACGGAAAGTCTGCAGACACGGGTTGAAAATAAATTTCTTCAAGAATTTTCTTTTTTTGATTTTCTTATTTCTGGATTTAAGAATGAATCTATGAGAGTAGATTGATTAAGTAGCGGGAATTCGGAATTTTCGGAAAAGAAAAACGGATAAAAACTTTTCAATTAGTCAGCGAATTAAACTGACTCAATTAAGCTTGAAGGAACGCCAAACTGGGAGAAAAAGTACTCTCTGTGAGGTTAGATTTAGACGTTCTTTTTAAGAATTTAGGGTCTGAGGCCTACGCCCCTAGAGCTCAAGTGCCCTCTATAGGGGTAAAATTTAGGTGGTACCTATCATTCTTGTGCGTCAGGCTGTGGTTCTCATTTTTGAAGACACCTGCGCGAGCTTGGGCCGAGCCAGACTCAAGAAAAACTTTGAATTTCATTTAAAAATTCCACCAAAAGATTATTTTAACATGTTAAATCGTAGTTTTATTGAACTCTAACTAGTAAGAGAAAAAATAAGCAAAAACATGACTTTTGTCGTAAAAAAAAAAAGCTTGATTAGACTTGAAGAAAATTTAAGCTTTTTTGGGGCTAGCTATTTTTGCTTGAAGCCTCCCTAAGGCAGGGCCGACCCTCGCACAAGCCTGGTCCCTATGAAAGTTCAGGGTCTAGCCCCTCAGCCCTTAAATCAAGATCAAGTCGTCCCAATAGGGTCTTCAAATTTTTTGTTTGTTATTATCCCATGTATGCTTCAAATTCGAAATTTCAGGCGACAAACGCTTCGAATGCGAAAATTGCGGCCGCCGATTCGCCCTACGAGCCTACCTGAATCGTCATCTGGAATCCTCCTGTAAAAATTCCCAAGAATCTCAATAATTGCCAAGAAAATTGCTCAACCCCTCAATTCCTAGTCTTTGCACGCAAATCTCACTAGTCGCTTATTTTAAATTCAATAAAACTTTATCAATTATTAAAGGAAAGAAGCGATTACGAAGAGAATAGAATATGATACACACCGGTTGAAGGAATGAATGAAAAAGAAAAAAAGCCAAGTGAAATTGAAGGAACTAAAGGGAAAAATTTGAAAAAAAAACAGAAAAGAAAAAAAGAAATGATAAATGAAGGAAGGAAGGAAGGATCTACATGTGGCGGGTGTTGCCAAAGTTGATGCCGGACTGGTTGGCGCCCTTGTTGGAGCCCATCTGAAGCCCGATGATGCCCTGGCCGGCCTTCAACTGCTCCTCGGACCACTGGCGGCGGTCGCCCTCGGCCTCCCGAGGTCCCAGGCCGGCGAGCCCGAAAGATTTCTCGCTTTTGCGCGCCAACGAAGAAAGGCAGACGAGGACGGCGTTCGGGTCCTGGCCTTCGTAGAGGTCGACCGTCTGCAAACGACACACTTCAACAAACTCCATTTCACTAGCTTTTTAATTCTGAAGTAATTTTACTAATTTTAAGTACTCAAATGGGTAAATGAGCATAAAAAAAATTTGTCTTAAAATTGAGAATTTGCTAAAGGTCAAATCTTTAAAAGGCCTGAAACTTGGTTAATTTCCAACCATCTTTTTGAACTCTAAATTTCGTCTTCGTTTTTCTGTTTTCGAAAAAAAAAAGTAAGAAGGAAGTCTTATCGATAACTTTAAGGGAAAAAATATCTCTTCACAAATTAATCATATAAAAAAATTACATTTTATTAAAATTACGTTTTTTCATTTTGAATATAAAAAAACCTGTTTATTTTTTTATTTAATTTCTTATCAATTATCCAAAGAAAATATAAACTTTTTAGATACAAGGCCTTTTTTTCAATTATCTACTAAGAACTAACCTGGAAAAGCTCTGTCTTGCTGACGTAATTCTCGGCAAAGTGCAGGAAGAAGGAGATGTTCTCCATTTGCTTGAAAGCCATTTTAGAGGCGTTGACCTTCTTGACCGCGCCAGGTTTCAACGCGTTTGCCAGTCTTAGAATAAAGATTCATCTTTTTGAAAAAGAACGAAAAATCAAACTTTTTTTCGTGAAAAATAATGTCCGCGAAATCGAAAACTATATCTGACTCTCCAAAAATTAGTTATTCTTTTCACTCTCTGGCGGCTATTTCGGATTTCGCAAAATTCTTTTGAACACTGTATTCTACAAGTACACACTTGCAAAGAAGAGTTCCGTCGCGGAAAAGCTCGACGAAATTCTCAACATCGCCGCTTGGGTTGAAATTCTCGTTGGTGACGCTCTGAAACTTATTATTCTTAGAATCACAGTTCAAAAACACAGTTTCAGGCAAAAAAAAAAGGAGTTTTTATCCCAAATTTTTTGCATATTTTTCAATCTTCCTGAAATCCAGTGAGTTGTGATGAATGTTATTTGTACGCCTTGGTGGAATTTCAGTATACAGAAATAAAAACACGAAGCATAGATATTTTCACAAAGATTGAGTTCCATACAAGGAAATTACGAGCACGTTTTTTTTTTTTCGTAAATCGATCCCGAACTTTTCATTTCGAAACTCACTAATTTAAACTTCAATTTCACTGAATATGAACGTCTTAATGGAAAGAAAAGCCACAAAATAGGGTTAAAGTTAAGAAATCAAAAATTTTCCACAGAAAATAAAAGTTAAAAGACTTGTTTATATCATTCTTACCTTTAAATCTTCTTGAAAGGATTGTTGAAAAACAAGGCTTAAAAACTTGACATAAGTTGATAACATAGAGCAAAAAAATTTGCTACCGAAATTCACCTTGACCCAGTGTAAAATCTCCGTCGCCAAGTTCGAATCGTACTTGCCGTGGATTTTCTGCTGAGCCTCGAGGGCGATTCCGGACTTCTCGGCACGTTCCACAGCCAAAGCCATTTTGTCGATAAGAAGTTGTTCTATAATGAATTGAATTGTTTACACTTTTAGAATTTTTCCGAAGAAAATGACATGAACATAAACAAGAAAATGCATTTCAAAAATAAAATTAGGAAAAAATAATGACGAAAAATAATCGGAACAAACAAATTTCGAAACGCTAGCACGGTTGGAAATAATAATGAATGTTTCCGAAAGTTTTTAAAAGTTCGAACTTCCGAAAAATAAGACCTATTAAAATTCATTAGTAGTCAGAACTAGTCAAAAGTGAGTCAAAAAACGTGGCTGTGGGGTCAGCAAATTTTTTCTGAATAAACCTTATTTTTAAGACAAACCGGTGTCGTGAAGCCTATTTGAAAATTCTGAACGACTTTCCTATACTTATATCAAGAAATCAATCGACAGGTGATGAAAAAGGTGTGATAAAAAACACCGATAAGAAAAATAACATTAACCAATAAATTAACATCACGAAAAAATTCAAATTTGAGGAGATGAAATGAATGAATTTTCTAACTGTACAAACCAAACCATACACATCTCATTGAACAGAACAAAAAATAATAGTTTTCCAGACGCAAAAACTATGCGCGTTCTTACGCCACATTCAAAACGGACCGATGAGAAATTCTGATAGAACGTGGCTATTTTGAAATTATTTCTGGACTGGTTTTCCCCGCAAAATAAAAAGAGAAACGATGCGTCATCATCGAATGTTGTGTTTCATTTTTTGAACGGAGGAAAAGAAGATTGAATTCCATCGCGATTATTGCGCCGATAAATGATAAGCTTTCTAGAGCGTTCAGGAAATGAGTCATTTTTCAATTATTTGAGAATGGTATTTGAGAGAATTGCCGTCTTGTTCTTTTATATCATGATAGAAACTATTTTAATCTTTAAAACGACATTTATGAGCTTGTTACTAAAAAAAAAAGTTTTTTTTTCTCCCAATTTTCTTCAAAACTAATTTGAGAGCCCACCGCACTAATTAAGTCTTAAGAAAAGTTAGGTCATGAATTTGAAAAGCTGATACCCCAAGCAAAAAAAAAGAAACAAACTGCAAACATTCGAATCAAAATTCGTTCGAAAAACTTTGGGAGGCAAAATGGAACAGCGAAGCTTGTGTCATGTTTGCTACGCTCATTGTACATCGCCCCACAGTTTGAAGAAAGTCAAATAAAATAAGACGACGAGGTCAAAAACGGAGAATAAAAACGCGAGTTGGATAGTTTCTGGCCTCTATTAAAGGACGATGGCGGGTGTTGAAAATTGGTCTTGCGCGAAGAGATAATTTGTTTCACAAAATAATGGACAAAAAATTTAATTGACTCAGGCACTGACGGCGCGTGTTTGTTGCCAAAAGTGCGCATGCGCGCCGCCTGCTGCGCGCACGCGCGGGTGTCTCTTTTGTTTTTTTATCTTTTTAAATAATTAAAAAGCTATAAATTTAATATTTTTTTCATGTCTGTTCATCTTTTTAACATTGCTCTGCACCAGTTTATAACAATTAGATTGCACAAAAGTTTGAAATATCAATGTTTCACTTGGCACTTTTTTCATAAATTTGTTCGAAAGTGCTCGGAACAACTTCAAAACGTGAGCAGGGGCACTCGGTAGTATCACAAAAAAATATAAAAAAATATTTCGAAACTGTATTTCAATGGAAAAGACGAAAAAAAGAATCAGTACCCCCCGCGCTTGCGCGCACCAGTGCCTGAGGAATTTATTTTTTTATGCTGTGTTCGAAGTACTTCGACTTAAGTGATTCCGCGGAATTAAAAAAACCGCTGAAGAAAGAAAAAGATAACTAAATTTTGTAGGGTCAGAGACCATTTTGTAATTCTCAAAAATTACTTTAAGCATGGCATAATAATTAGGTGTTCAATGTAAGCAGATTCATGTTTCGATATGAGACGGAATCTCCCCAAAAGTATAGCAAATATTTTTTTTTTTTTTGAAGAGCTGAAATGGAAAAAATTTATTTTGAGCATGTTTTTTAAAGCGTTCAAGTCAATTCGAACATCGTTTCTTTGAGACGCTTTTACAGGCATTTTTTTCTTTTGAGAAATCAAACGGATCATGCGCGTTTAAACATTCTAGCAAGCGTTTTTGAACAGATCAATATATACTATGAGATTCAACGGACAGCAAAAAGCTTTTAAGGTTTATGGATTTAATCATTTTCTTAGCCACTTTTTTTTTTCAACTTACTGCAAAATTTGAAAAAAAAACCTAATACCATTCTCATCTTGATCGGGAACATTTCAGAACGGAGAAAGAACTCGAAGTGAAGGTCGAGCAGATGCCTAGGCGACCGACGATGCATCAACACAAACGGTTGACATTGGGGATTATAGACAGGACGGCAGGTTTTCTTCTTCAACGGCACGAGAAATGTATGTTTTTCTACAAGGTTGTCCCGAACGGTTTAGCGTTCGGCAAGCTTTTCTTTTGAATTAGGCTGGGATTGAGAATTGAAATAAAAATGCGAAATGTTAAAAGAAATGGCAAATTCAAATGAAAATCGAAGCTATCAAAAAAAAAAAAAGTTCAATAAAATCATTTCATCTTTAAGCGTCCTAGTTCAATGGAAAAAAGTGCTTTTGAACAGTGAAAATTTTTTCGTAATTTTTTCTGTAGAGTTTGAGAAGTTCTGTTCATTGGGAAGTTTTGATCTAAAATAACACGGAAAAATGCTCTTCGCCTCGAGACCTTCATTAAATTTTTCTGTGCTCCTTTAAACAGCAGTTCGAAGATTCCTGATCACAAATTACAAACTAAAAAAAAAATTTCAAAACTGCCGAATTCTAGTCAAAAGTGCTGAACTGGAATTTCTGTCTGAATAAGAGAAAAGAAAGGATCGCAACGCACGAACAAAGACACTTCGAATGCATAAAAGTGCAATGCGAGGGAAAAAATCGATTCGAAAAAAAACCTCTCCTTGTTTATTCAAACGAAAAAAAACTTTGTTCAGAATGGCCTTCAATCTCTTTGAGCCATAAGTTCTCAGAAATACTCAGATTTTCAAGAGAAGATTTTCAAATTTCAATGATCAAGATAAGGACCGTCATAGTAAATTTTAAAGAACCATACTTTTAAGAATGGCTCCAAGTATCCATTTTAAAGTTTTTGAAGGCGGAAAAGTCTTTAAACGTCTGAAAAAACGATGAAAACGGCTTTTCCTCACGAGACCTTCATAAATTTGACTCTTTACTTTAAATCTGAGACCTCGTCAATTTCCTGCGGAATGAACCAAAAAAAAGCTGAGGACTGAGAATTCCTCAAAAAATGGAACAAATGGAAGAATTCGACTCTATACGCGAAGATCGAGGTGACCTCGAAATTCGACTAGTTTTCAAGCGTGAAAAGCTGTGCGACTTCAAATTATTTTGGAAAGCCATATAAATCCTAATAATTTTTGCGCAAGCAACTCCAGAGTGGTTCCTATGAAGATTAGGAAAAAAGCCCCCTGTAGGGGACAAAAAAGTGTCCTCTATAAGGCTTTAGGATGTGGCACCAATAAAAATTGGTCGCTCAAACATCTGTTGATTTCATTTTCCATTCAAAAACTCCAATTCGCGAGGGACTGTTCTGGCGTTCTTATAAATGTCTTATAACTTTTATAGTTCAGTTAATTTTCCAAGTTTCGACATTTTTATCACCAAAAACTCCTTGTTTTGCTTCGAAATCATGGGGAAAACGTGCTCTTTGCCTCTCTTTTCTCTTTTTTTTCTCTCCGATGAAAAATCGGCTGGCCTGCCACGCGTTTGTTGCACTTGCTGGAGGAATGCTTCCTCTGGAAAATCATATAGTTAGAAGTCAGGGAATCAAAAGTGAAGTTTCTTGCAAATTGGAGAGAAATAAAGATAGGAAATGTAATTTCATACTTTTCTTGAGAGCTTTTCCAAACTTCTTACTCTTTGAAACTTAATAACCTCAATAAATGAGCATTCAACGTTAATCAAAACGCATTTTGCGGTAGAGCAAACGTTCTCGAAAGAACCTTCTAATTTTAATGGGAAATGATGATTTTTCTTTATAGTCTGTTCAGTTTTTGAATGTCAAGTCCTCGCTCAAGCTCCGCCCTTAATGACGCGATAAACCAATCAGAGAGCGAGCCATCCACAGAGCGTTTTCGAATGACGCCATTCTAATTGACATTCAAAATCTGAACGGACTATAAAATTCCACCAAAAATGATCCTCCTGGTTTCAAATCGCTTTTTCTGATAATGAAAAATCCTAAAGAAATTTTGAAAATTATAGAAAACGTGAAATGGGACTGCGAATTTAGTAAAATAAAATGCTTTTTTTTTGCTTTGGGACGTTTTTTCGTCCAAAAAAAAACATCACGAATCTTAAAATAGGTGTAATTTTAAATTTTGAGAGCGATCCATTCCAAACGCCATCAGAAGTTATTAATTCTCTAAATTTCATCTCTCCCATCCCGAAATTTGTAATTTTCGGCCGCGAAAAACAGATTTTCATTGCGGGGGTGAGAAGACACGCGTTTTTCCGCCCGCCCTTCGTTTTGCTGCCATCTAACAAGAAGCAGCTGTTGTTTTCTGTCCAAGTGGTCCCTCAAGGGGTTCAGGTTTCGGCTCAAAACTCATCCAAGCCACGCCCCATCTGACTGAGCTGTTATTTACGGGAGCTTTCATTGGCTCTCCGAAATTTGCTTCTTATTTTTTGAAAAATAGCTGCTGTTTATATTTCTATATATAAAGACAAACAATGAGCGTTTTTTTGATAAGGTTTGTTTTTTTCTCTGTTTTTTTCTTTCGAAAGGTCTGTATTTCGGATCTCTAGTCGCATGTCTAGTAGCTCAACGCGTTGCGGTCGCGCTGCGGTTTGAAATAAAAACTATTAGAAAAAAAGAGAGTATGTGTTTTTTTGAACGGAAAAATTAGTTAAAGTTTAAAAAAATAAATTTTTTTCGGGGATTCAAATTTTTTTCGATTTATAAATTCTCTTGATTCTCGTGTAAGATTTTTAGAAAAACCAAAAAAATGTTTTTTTAAGTTAAAAAAAGTTTCCCTATTCACGAAATATTTAAAGTAGTCAAAGGTTTGAAAAAAACCTGCTTTTTTTCCGTGGTAACTTTTTGAATAATCGTTACTCAGTATGATCAAGTTTAGAAAAAAATTCAATCTTTTTCGGTTTTTCATTTTTTGACTGATTTGTTTTAGAAATTTTTCTTGGTGTTTTTTTATTTTTTTAAAGCGTTTCAAAGGAATAATTCTTAAAAAAACTCGATATGAGTTTTTTTCATATTCTAAGGTTTTGATGCTCATACCTACATTGAAAAGTGTAAGCAATCAAAAAATTATCAAGAAAAAACGAATTTAAAACGAATAGCGAAACAGTGAAGAAAGATAAGAGATACAGGGTGGCTCAAAATTACCCGCACAAAAGTTTGACGCGATATAGAAAGGCGATCGACGCAATTCTGGCCGCGTATTACTTAAAATTTTGATTAACTGTATGTTTTTTACCATTCTGCCAAAATTCAGATCAATCGGTTCTGTTTTCGGTAAATGGCACCACTAAATCCACATCGCTCTTCGATTCTGCACCTTTTCAAAGCAAGAGTCGCTCCGGTTGACATCATTAAACGGCTCGGAGTCCCAAGTAGAACCGTCTATGACTCGATTTCTCGTTTCAAAAAGCTCGGCACGTTCTTGGGTAGATGGGGGAGAAGAAGAAAAGCAACAGTCGTCACTCCAGATCGGATCAAAGCTGTGAAAGAGAGAACCAGAAGAAATTCAGTCCGGAGCATCAGAAAGATGGCGAAAGATATGAAAATTAGTCGAAGTTCGATGGGAAGGATCCTCAAAGACAAGCTGAAGCTCACCTGTTATCATGTAAGAAAAGCAGCCATTCTTTCGGTAGCTACAACCAAGAAACGGCTTGAAATATCAATAAAGCTCCTTCAGCGCACGCGCACTGAAGAACACTTGGTTACAGTGTTCTCTGACGAGAAGCTGATCACGGTACAGGCCGAATTCAACCTTCAAAATCATCGAGTACTTGCTAAGACGTCTGACGAAGCTTTTGGCAACGGAAGGACCATTCATCAAGCCTCTCACCCCGCTAGTGTGATGGTTTTCGGAGCAGAGTCTGCTGATGGCAAGACACCATTGCTATTTGTCGATCAAGAAGTAAAAATCAACAAGGAAGTCTACATTTCGGAGATTTTGAAGAAGACACTTCTTCCCTGGACTCAGAAGGACTTCAATAGACGTCACTGGATGCTCCAAGAAGACGGTGCTCCAGCACACGCAGCCAAGTTGTCGCAACAGTGGTCCGAGACCCATTTGCCTGCGTTCATCCCGAAGGACTAACGGCCACCGTTTTCACCAGACCTCAATCCTTTGGACTACTCCTTCTGGGGTTTTGCAAAACAAGGCCAACGTCAAACCCCACTCGAGTATCGAGGCCCTGAAGAAGACCCTGGTCTAGGAATGAGACACTTTGTCGCCAGATTACCTGCGTGCAACCATCGACGCGTACCCTAGACGTCTTCGTGCTGTCATCGGAAAGAGAGGAGATCGGATGGAACACGAGTAGTTTATAATTGTTGTTATGATCATGAATAAACTTTTTGTTGATTCCCATGGTTTTCTGACTTTTACTTTTTTTTATATAGCACTTATAGCTTGTGCGGGTAATTTTGAGCCACCCTGTATACGTTTAAGAATGTTTTTCTCTACAACTCCGATCCAAAATTCTTTTTTCAATATCGGTTCCAACTTTAAGAAGGGCCTTAGTCTGACTAACTACCTTAAAGAAGAAAGTCGAGTCAATATTCCTGAGCTAGATTTTGAAAAAACAAAAAATATTTTCAAAAACTGTTCTTTTTTTGTTATAAACTCTTATGATATACTGAATGTTTCAGGTAAAACAAAAAGCGAACGACTCGAACTGGGCGTCGAGCCCTTACCGCGGATTCCACAGCCACAACCCGACCTCAACTTTCAATGAAATCGTCTCATTGGCGTTCGTTTCATTATTATAATTATTCAAGTGAAAAATAACGTTCTATAGTTCATTCATAGCTTGCAAAAATATTTAAAAGAGCATCATGGATTTAAAAAACTTTAAAAGCGTTTCCTACGTTCCTTCATAGGCTTACCAAGGTATAAATCTATTTTGAAAACGGTCTTACGTCTATATTTTTTGAAATGTTCCCTCTGCAACTTTAAAGGCGGAGTAAGGTGTAAATTTAAAAAATGGCTCTTCACCTCGAGACCTTGTTGAATCTACTTATGCTCCTTTCAGCACCCCAAAAGCAGATTCTAGTCATTTTCGAGCCCTTTCTTCCATTTTCACTGCTTCTAAAGAAATTGTCGAATTTTCTCCGAGAAATGTGTTAGCGATTACCAGAAACGGCCGTTTTTTTTTATTTCTGAGCCTACAAAAAAAGAAAGAAATATTACACCTCTGCATTTGCCACGCATCTGTTGCCGCTCTCAACGAATCAACAGAAATTATCGATTTTTGAGTGTTAAAAGTGTGGGAAAATATCTTGAAAGGGAGTAAAATAATGAATTTTGAACCTCTAAAAAAGCCTTGAACAGTAAATGAGAGAAGAATCTTTACTTTATGTGGTTCTCGAAAAAAAAGAATTTTTAACAGTTTCTTGAACTGAATAAATGGATAAAAATTTCACTAGAAAAAAACATAATTTTCGACAATTCCAGTGAATTATTGTGCAAAAAAAGAAGAGGTTCATATGTTCCTACAATAATTTTGCTTCACAAGAAAAAATTAATTTTAAATAACCAAAAAAAATTCTAGGCCAAGAAAAGCTTCGAAAGGAGTGAAATATGATCCAACTTGGGCCAATTACACGTTTATCAATTATTTATTTCTTTCTATGGTTCTTCATTAACCTAAATAAGATAAAGGAACCAAAGTTTGAAACGATTATGTGAAAATGTATTCATTCTTTCTTATGTATTCAAAATTTCCGACTTTTTCTCTCAAATTTCTATCATTTTTCCATGATGGATTGGGTTGGCAAAAAAACCGTAAAAAAAGTTTGAGTTTGCGCCCTGGATGGCTCTAGTCCGATCTTATAAGAAATAAGAAGTTGGTTGTCGCCAGTCATGCTCATCCCATGTATGGGGAAAATGTAATATGAGAAGAAAAAAATCAAATTTTTTTAATTTGTTAAATGCACAAGTGCACATGAATGAAATTTTTTTCGGCGAATTTCGTTTTTGTTTTAAAAATTTATATTGCTCAGTAAAGAATACACTAGCATGACCGAAATTTTGAATTTTCTGAACTACAATTATTTTTCCAACCATTTTCAAAATTCTATAGTTTTTCAAAATTCTTTACTTAACCTTCTCAGCGTTTCTCTACGCATCAACTCGACTTACCTAAAAGAAATTTGCAGATTTGATGACGTCACAAGCAACTTCAACCACGCAAAGCATGCGCGTTACGACGAGATGTACACGCCTTATTTGGGCACCTTCCGACAGAAGCCAATGTACACGTCGATAGCGCCAAGTCTCTGTATCAATAAGAGGTGATCATTCTAAAAATGAGAATAGTCAAGTGAAGAGTCATTGGTTCGAATTTATTTCAAAAAAGGCAATAATTGAAAGGAAAATAAATAGTCTGTTCGTGTAGATGCTAGGTTGAAATGGGAAGAATCATAGGTTCGAATGGTTTTCAAAAAGACAAAAATCAAAGGGGGAAGTCATAGTCTAGTGGTGTAAGAGTGTGTGAAGGCAATTCTGGAATTTAACATTTTTATCATTTTTTTTAGTCGAATGAACCAATTTTCGTCAAGATTGCCTCAAAAAATGTTTAAAAAGTCTTAAACTTGAAAAGAAACTTTTCCAGCAACCGTGTGTGCGACTACGAGTACGTGCCGCACAAGTCCTACAATCCGCGGCAGGGGGAATGGCTCGTCGAGCGCGACCGTCACTACCGTGTTCCCACCAAAAGGCATCCCATCCAGCCACGCGCCTCTTCTGAACCGCCTTTGCCGCCGACCTACCGTCGCCGTTACGAAGTCCCCACTGACACCTTAAGGTCATAATTGCAACTTTGAAAACTCAAAAAAAAATTATTTCAAACAAGGCGGTAAATTAAGTTTGATAGAGGCATAAAGGAAAAAAAAAATAAGTTCTTGTCATTTAAAAGCCAAAAATATTCTCAAAAAGGTGTAAAAAATTAGGACCAGGGCTTTACGGAAAGACTAGACTTTCATTAGATTAAATTTTCACTTGAAAAATGCCGAGGTCTGTGAGAAAACAAATATTTTTATTTTCTTTCTCATTTTACTCGGCTTATTTTACCAGATACTTCATGCCGTGTTCAAAGTGATTTCGCGAAATTCAAAATAGCCGTCAGAGAAAGAGAAAGATAACTAAATTTTGGAGGGTCAGAGACAATTTCGCATTTCGCGGAAATTACTTTGAACACGGCATCAGGGATTTTTTAAAAGAAGCTCAAAAATTTCATAGTTAAAAAAATATTTTTCTGATAAAATCTTGAAGAGCTCAAGCCAGCTCTAAATTTACAGACACGAGAGCCAGATGCCCTACTATTTAATTATTTTGAGGAAATCTCGAAATTTATGCTGGTAAATTCTTTCAGAAATGCTCTTTCGCGATCTCCACCCAGTACACCAATGAGCGTTTATAAATATTTTCAGAAAGTATTTTTTTTTCTCATGTTAAACTTAAATATGAGCTCAAGTTAGCCCTAAACATCCCTAGGCCTAATTTTGAAGCCAAGAACCAGAAGAAATTCCAGAAACTCGATCGTTGAATCTAAAATATCAGCTCAAGCAACTTACAGACACCAAAACCAGATGCTCTACTGGAACGGGCGGGCCCTGGGCCTGGAGTACGCCAAGCCGTTCCTGCAACGTCCCGACTACTCCCTGGAGGAGGCCCGTCGTTACCAGCGGATCTTCTGGTCTCCCGAGTTCATCAACCTCCTGCCGTCTTGCCGTCATGCCACCCACCTCATGCTCTCCGCCTATTAGTCTTTCCATGAGTTGTACTTTTGATTGAACCCGTTGTACTCTTTGTGTACCTTGATAAAAATGATCATTATTTGTTCTTTTTGCGTTTGAAGGGGTTTCTTGAAATGTCTCATATTAACGGTTAGCATAGGAATGGGCGTGGCCTGTCTTTCCTCTCTACCAACCAGGAACTGTCTCTTTTCTTGTCGTGTCAGGACCTCTTTCCAAGCCAGCCGTGAATCATTCTTATCTTCTCCAACCCTTGAGGCTCTTTAAATCTTGAATGACCTAAATAACACTGAAAATGGATCTTCGCATTTTTAGGTTTTTCTACGGTAAGAGAAACTTCGAACACATTTCCAAATAAACGCATACGACCAAGAATAAAAAACTATCAAAAACGCGAAAAAAAAATCCCGTAACTTGAAATTTATTCAACAGACGGTGCACAACAAATACACAATGATAAGAAACAAAAAATATAGAAAAAAAAGTTTTTGAAGAATTTTAATTTTTTGAAAAGTTGTACCCATAGCTGGCAAAGTATTTAACGACCCAGGGACTTCTTGGTTTTGCAAGAAGTATTTTTTTCGGAAAAAAAGAGAAATATTTACAAAAATACTGTATATTTATAGTACATTTCGTTAAGGAGATTCAACAAAAAGTCAGTGAAAAAAAGAACAAGAGGATGAGAAAAAGCCTAAAGCTTGGTAATAAATAATGCAAAAAAGAAAAAACAAGAAGAAAATTCCTTAAAAGGAACAAGAAAAAATGATTCCGGCTTGAGATCTACCAAAATTGGCAAAAATTGGAATAAATCTATGAAAAAGATGACAAAAAAATCATAGAAATCCTTCATTTTCCCGCTTCAAAATGTAATTCCTTTAGCCCGGAGGTCGGCTCCTTTGCTCGAGTCGATGTATCGCCTGGAAAAGTTCAATTGGGATGAGAGAAAGTAGGGGAAAGGAAGAGACACAGACGGTTAAAGTTCTCTAGAAGGCTCTTCTATTTACACACTCTTTTTTCACACTCGTTTCTATGATTTTTTTGGGATTCGATTGAGAATTTTTCTTCTTTTTTTCTTCTTTTTTTAATCATTAGCTCCAAAGATGCATATTCTAGTTGATTCAAAACGGGAAAAAAAAATTATTTCTAATTGAAATTTTTAAATTTTCCTCCCAAACTAGGCCCCGACCTACATTCTGGGATGGACTTTCGAAGCTTTTTTCTTCGATTAATCGCGAAGATTTCAATTCTGTTCTAAATAAAATTCTCAAGATCTAGCCCTTTGCCAGAATTCACTTCCGACAAATTCTGAGATGAAATTTTCAAGTTTTTTCTTCGAAAATTAAGGAAAATCAGTTTCCAAATGACTTCTTAGCAAGAAATGTTCGAGACTAGCACTATTTCCTTGCTCCGAACCCACTTCCGATACTTCTCGATCATCAGTCGCCGTTCGCGAACGAAGTAGGACTCGTCTTCGCGTTCCTCAAGACTCGCGAAAGCCGCGCAGCCGCCGTCGCCAGAGGCCAATCCGTCGATCGACGCCTGTTCGTCGGCGTGTCGCGACGAGGCGTCGTCGCTGTCGCCGTGCCACGAGTCGTCGTCGCTCTGCAACTCATCAAAAACCATATTTAGCAAAAAGGATACTCCGTTCAAAGTCGGTGAAAACTAAGATTTTCTTTTGATCTTGGCCGTATGAAAACACAGTTTATTATAAAAATATGTTTCCACACTAAATCCAAGACTATTAACATCCATTTGAACTTCAAATTTTATGAAAATTAATATTAACTTCAACACGAATCTACCTGAAAACCTGGAGAAAAACTACCGCAATAACAACAAAATTACTTTATTTCTATCAGTTTTGATAACATTTCTGCAAAACTTGGATATCGAAAAAGTTGATAACTACTGAAAAAAAACTACGCCCGACCTCATAACGACTTGCGCGCGAGTAGGTTTTTTTTTACCAATTTGAGCAAGTGTAAACGCGCAACGCTTCTGGCCTTTCTATGTTCGTCCACAACTTTACTAGAAAGAAAACTAGAATAGCCAAATCAAGCTTTTCTGGAACTCCCATGTGAAACCCTATTACTGGATAGCAAATTCTCGAGGAAAAAATTTTGGGAATGCCCACATCATCGACAGAAATGTCGGCGACGCCGCCGAACATGACGCGGCCCTCGAGGATGTTCTCGATGGTCGCCTGAGCCGATCCGCTCATTCGCAAGTCCTCCAGGATCGCCTCCATTCCCATTTGGGGAAACATCTCGCGAACCTTCAAAGATCTCCATTTATCTCTGAAACGTTGAGATTCCTGCCTGATCAGCCATGACGGCCAGCTGGGACTCGTCCGTTTGGACATTCCGACGGAAAAACGGCCCAATTCCAGTCGATATTTCGATGGAGAACGCCGGCAGCCGGAAAAATGAGACACCGCTGCAAAAAATCATTTTTTCCAGAGAGAAAATTAACGATTGAAAAGCGGTTACTGGGATATGCGTCCGACTAAAAACAACTTTCGCCGGGAGGCACAAAAAACATTTAAAAAGTTTTCAAAGATCAATTTGGCTTTTACTCTTCGAACCGAGCTAACACTTCATATCGATCTCGTGCCAATAAAACACTTATTTCATAGTAAATTAGAAAGCGAAGGGGCGTGGCTTGCCTGCGCCCTCCACCAATTAGAAACTATCTCTATATTTCGTGTCAGGACCATTTCAATGGCTTCAAACCAGTCGTGAATCAACTGCATAATCATTTAAGGAGGCGAAATAGTTTGTTCAGATTTTGAAGGTCAAGCCATCCTCAAGCTCCGCCCCTAATGATGTGTTAGCCAATCAGAGAGCGAGCACTCAGGAAAGGAGTTTTTCGTGACGTCATTGACATTAAATTCGGGATAGACACTTTTCGCTCTTCTAAACTACAAAAATCATCACCTTAAGAACTCCAAGTGGTCGCTATAAAGGTTAGGGACAAAACAATCTCTATAAAGAACAAAAAAGTGCCCCCAACACCGTATAGGAGTCTCGGGTCTCACACTTGAAGGGTCCCTATAGGGTCTTTTCATTTTTTTTTTTCAAACAGCGCCCAGTTATCGAGTTTTTCGCATGGTGATGCTTTTTCTCATGAAGTTCATATCAATAATAAAGGGTGAATCCTAAAGAAAAAAATTCAAGATATGCTCAGTGGGGCCCCTAAGGAGACTCCTCTAGGATCCCACTGACCAGGGAACGTTTTTTGTGTACAAAATACGCAAATTAGGCCAAAAAAGCGCTATTTCGGGCTTTTGAAGTGTCCTAAATCGAAAACGAGATCTATTGCGAAAAATTTTCTTTTTGTTCTGGAATCAGGGGGTCCTAAAGTACACTTCAGCGAAGTTTCAGCAAAAGTTCAACCGGGGAGAAAAAAACGATCCCTAGTGAGCATATTATTTCAAAACGAACCCTCCGTTGAAGCGGAACGTCGTGTTTTGCGGCGACGGCGGCATGGCGTTGACGGATCCGGCGCCTTCGCCGTTGTAGGAATGGGGCGAGGAGATGACCCGTCGACACGTCGGACACGACGAGTCCTGGGCCAGCCACCACATGAGACACCAGTCGTGGAACTGGTGGGTGCAGGGGAGACGGCGCGACTCGCCGAGACATTCCCAGCAAACTGCAAAAGGTAAAAAAAAATAGTAATCTACATATTTGATCAGAAATGGTATCAGAGAGATAACTAGGAAAGTGATAAAGGTTTGAATTTCATATCTAGGTCGAAATTTTGATATAAGTTGAACGTCATCGGAAAAGAGAACAACTACTTTACAGAAAAACTTTTGATTTTTTGAAATTTCGATTCTATTCACAGTTCAGGGGCTCCATTTCCCGTATGGAAAACTCACCGACACACCGATCGGTGTCGTCCACCGACTTGACCAACGGATAACTCCTCTCGATGTGTTCGAAAATTCGCTTGTGACGCTGATGGCGTGACAAAACTTCCAGGATGCAGCTGAATACATTATTCATGCCAAAAAGAAAAGTCGATATTGTCTGATCCCTAAAGGTACTTGAGGTAACCAGATGGTTCTATATGAAAGAGGACTCCCTGAAAACGTGGAAAAACTTTACTTTTGCTTTTGAGCATTTTGATCCGAGATATAAAATTTTGAAGTTTTGAAATACCAATTTTTTCTAGTTTGTCCCGAAAAGGGGAAAAAATCGGTATTTCGAGAATCCTGAAGGGTTTCGCTTCAACAAATACCAAATACAAAATGCTAAGAGAGTTTAATTTGGTTGGAAAAAATCCTTCCGGTATAAAATTGAACAAATGCAATGCTAAAAAAGAATCTCATTGTGAATAAACTACCGTCCCTCCAAACTCACTTATAGGTTAGACGAATGTGATAAAAGAAAAAAACGCAGGTGAGATTGACGCCAGGTGAGAACAACATCAAGTGTGCCTAAAAAAACCTTTTCTCCACCAGCTTGTTTCTTTTTTTTTTTTTAAGTTCTTTTCTAGATTGTGACTCCTATGGTCGCACGAGGGATGGCTCAGCAAATAAAAAAAAAAGAAAACGCCAAATTTATGCGACATTTTATAGTCTTTCCGGATTTTGAATGTTATCGTTCAAGCTCCGCCCCTAATGGCGCGATAAACCAATCAGTGAGCGAGCCAACCACAGAGCGAAAGATGTCATAGACATTTTAAATCTGAGCAGACTATACTGTCAAAAGCCAAATTTCTGGACTTTTGCTATTTTTTTTAATTCAAACTTCTTCTGAAGCCTCAAAAACGCACATAATTAAGCAATCTCAGTCCATCGGTGGCGAGATTGACGACGAGGTCGAGCCAATAGTTGAAATGCCGAACGCGGTCGGGTCTCGAGGCGAAAATCCGCGACGACGACACGCAACGGAGCAAAGAATGGGAAGACCGGCAGAGGGCCATCAGGCACTGGAAAAGGTATTCAGAGGTTCAATGGAACTGTGCAAACGAGAGGACAGAAGAAAAAGATTGAAAGTCGTTGAAATCGAAACTAACAAAAACTGTCGGTTTGACCTTCCAGATCATAATTTTCTATGAAATATTGAGTTTTACTAAAATAAAATAAGGCTAAAGGCATAAGGGCGGTAAAAAACGAAATTTGAGGTAAATGTCCCATTTTTAAGAACTCTGTATTTCCTATCGCGCGGTATACTAATGTACAATAGTCTCTAGTCTTGGAGAAAAATTAGTTACACACCAAAAGAGCGCATTTCAGTAAAGTTGCTCTACGGACAAGATTTGTTCAGCTCCGAACATTTCTTCAAACCCACATCAACCGCCAACAAGGCGAACGAATGCCAAGAAAGAAGACTCTGGATCCTCAAGACGCACATCGTCATGGCCAACGACAGCATGAACATGAACATAGACAAACAGGAAATTCGCTCGCTTCGAGGTCCAGAAGATGAGGAAATCTGAAGAAAAACCATATTTTGGGAAAAGCTATTCTTATTTTGCAAAACGAACCACTTTGAAGCGCTGATAGATGACATAATGAACGGTGGAAATGAACCCGGAGATGCCCAGCCACAGAAGCCAAGGCAGGACGCGGTGGCTGCGCTGGGCGCCAGTCACCACCGACAAGAACACAATACTGCAACAGGAGATCACCATATTCCGTAAAAGCTACTGTAAACACAGCTTTTTAGCTAATTTCCTTTTAAGAACTGCAAAAAAATGAGCAAAAACGGAAATTTTGAAGCAAAGTTTGTTTCAACACGGTATTTTTGCAGAAAAAAAAGAACGCGACAGGCTGGTGCTAAAAAAGCTAAGTAAGAAAAAAAACATAGTAAATTTTAAATTCGCTTCACGAAAATATGAATTCTTCTCAATCGAAAAAATATCAAATTGAAAAAGTTACCTGAACAACAAATACGAGAAGAACGCATGACGAGCCAGTGCTTCTTCCTGGGAAAAAAATAATTAAAAAAACACAAATTGTTGAGCAAATTTCATGAAATCATTAATATGAATATTTCTTGAACTTAAGAGCTCCAGAGAGGTCCCTATAGGGCAAACTTAGAGGCCATTAGAGGTCCCCCTCTAGGGATCCCTCTGGCGTAAAAAATGCAGAGAAAATCTGCATTTGAACACCATGAAACGATGATTATTGAAGACAAAAAATATACAAAATCCTTTTTTTGAAAAAAAAAAAGTCCAGTAAATTCTTGTTTAAGAGAGTTTCAAGCTACATTTTCCGGTTGGGAATCCAATTTTTCTTCTATAAAAATTCAATATTCCTCATAAATTGACTAAACCCTCAAAAATCCTAAATCTCAATCGAAACGGGAAAAAACCTGTCTCGAGAGCTCCTTGAACGTCATACGAATGAGCAGCTTGGCGCAAATCGCCAAAACGGCAAAATATGAGTTAACAGCGACCTGGAAATTTCCAAATTACATGGAAATTTGAACAAAAAACCCACCCAAATCATGGCGGAATCGCACAAAACATAATGAGCAATTTGTACAGTTTTCATCGAGGAAAGGTAGTCGACGTCGAATCCTTTGATATTCATCGAATTCGACATGTTCCTCAGCTCGGCTTCCAGAATGCCGTGCAGCTGTAGCAAAACATATTCATGAAACTTCAAAAATTAATCTTCTTTTATTTGTTGAACAAAAAAGCTTCTCGATTTTTTCCTACTAAAGTTCCCCAATAAATCAGTTCACATCCTTTAATGGAAAAGATGTTGGAAAGCAACTAAAAAGAGGACTCAAAAAGGATTCTGTCAATAAAAGGAGACGGAAATACTTTTTTCCACCATATTTAGAACTTTTTGAGGAACTTTTTCAACTCCTTCTGGATCTTTAATGGAACATTTCCTATGCTTTATGGTGAAAATCTACTAAAAATCAAGTTTTCTAGTTTTTTTTTTTTTGATGTTTTCGATTACAAAACTAACTGATAATCCGATTCCGCAGTGTTTTTAAAGCCTTGGAAAAAAAATGACTTTCCTTTTTCATTCGATTTTTTCTACATTTTTCAACCTTAAAACCCACCTCGGGATGTGAATGAAAGGTGCTGAAAACGCTGATCGAGGCGATCGCCGCGATGAAAACGCTAATGTAAATGTAGCCGTCGAGGCTGGGGAACGAGGAACGCGATATCGCGTTGACGAACCCGTTGCTCCGATCTCGTTCACGTTCCATTTTTCTTTCCCCTTTCTGATTTATTCGCGTGTTTGTACAGGATATTTATGAACGTATTCTGAAACAATTCTGTTTCATTTTTCAAATAAATTCGAGACGAAACGGAAAAGAAAGTCGGAATTCGAAAATTGAGGGGAACTTTAAAGGATCATAGCCAATAATCCATTAAGGTCTCGGCGCGAAAAGTTTTAAATCTTGTGAGAACATTCCAAGCCCAATTTCGGGGCGCAAAAAACAAGGAAAAATCTGCAAGATACGTCTGGGAAGGAAGATTTACAGCTCAAAGTACAAAATTCAGCCAAAGTTCTTCTAAGCTTTTTCTTCTAAAAAAAAAGTTTTTTTTTGAAAATTCTCCTGAAAGTTGTGCCTCATAGCGTTTTTAGATGTTCAAATTATTATTTTCCTGAACAGTTATGCCATAATAATTAGTCTTTCCAGGATTTGAGTATCAAGTCGTCTGTGTTTAATATAGCTCACTCAGAGGCTTCAATTATTTTTCTTTTTGGAAATTGAGCTTTGAATGCGCCGAAGAGCATTTTGTTGATCGCGTGAACTCTTACTGAGAAGTTTAACGGAGCATGGGCCACTTTTCCAAAGGTTTCGAGAGCCATTTTCAATGTTATTTTAGTTGATGGAAAACCTCTGCGCCTTGAAAACCTCAAAGAAAACCTTTCAACCAAATTAAACATCCCAGAGAACATTTTTTGAGCAAAATTCGCCGAAAAAACCAAAAAGGAAAAAAAAAAACCAAAGTTCGAAACGGTACAGTTCTGTCAATCTACGCCGCGTTGTAAACGATCAAAGATTGAAAAAGGCCCATTCTATTGACTTGCGGCAAACAAAAGAAGCGGAAATAAAAATCAACAAAAATTTTGAAAGGCAAATGGAATCATGGAATTGGAAACGATGAACGTGTCAAAATATTAATGAAAATTTTTTAAATTTCCACTACTGTTTAAAGATCGAAATGTGCAGTTCCATGAAAATATGTTTCCATAGAAAAAGAAAAAATACAGTTAATCACCTCATTTCGGGTGAAAACTTTAAAAAAAATGGGTAAACATTTACGAAATATTGGAAAAGGAAAAAAAATTGGCGTGATTTCTCGGCAAGTTCACAATTGCAGCTCAAGATCGAAAACCGCTTCAAAAAAGCTCTTTTTCGATCCAATTCGGGAAGAAAATATATATGAAAGGTCACTAAAATTTGGCGAAATGAAGAATCTAGATAAATTCAGAAAAAAATTCATAAATAACATCAATTTCATCAATTTTTCCACAGTACAAAAAAACTCAAAATAATACCATTAAAAATTTTTTTAAATCGACCGTTTTTCCATTAATCATTTGGGAAAAGACAAAAAAATTCATCCAAAAAAATCTTTGGAAAATTTAATCAAATAAATTACAAAAGCCTAGTCGATAACATCTGACTAAAACAACAAAATTAACTTGATTTTTTTTTTCAGCCACAGAAAATCTTGATAAAACGGCTCATTTTCTTACAAAAGTTCTACTTGGTCCAAAAAGTTCAGAAACCTTCAAAAATTCAACAAAACTACGTCAAAACCAACCGTTTCCTCATCAATCTTCTGAGAAAAGCGGCGGAAAAAAAACATATTGAATGAAAAACAGCGGCATGTGGACGGAGGGGGGGACATCCGCGGAAGTTAAGGGGGCGTGTGTAAAGGCCTGCGGGCCTCGATCGATACTTTCATTTCAACTACTATCAACGAAAAAAAGGTAATGAAAAAGCTCAAAAGAGACAAAAATCAGTGTTCGAATCTTACGTTAGAGCAGCTCAACTCATGTAGAACAGAAATGAAGAAAAATCTACGGTTTTTCATTTTGAAACGTCGCAAAATTGTCAGGAAACTTGAGGAATTACTTTTTTTATTGGTTAAAAAAAGAAGTAATAGACTAAAAACGTGAAAATGAGAGTAACTGAAGATGAATCGAGTGTGGAAGAGGTGGAAAAAATTTGAAAACGAAAAGAAAAAGGGAAAGTTTCGCTTCAAGTCGACACATTTAGCGACGCGACGAAACTTGTTTCAATAAATATTCTTTTTTTTTGAAATGATCACTTGAGGGTTTTAAATCTTCTTAATTTTTTTTTCCGAGAAACCCACACGTTTTGACAGCTCATTCCCGCGCCAAAATGTTATCATTCGAAAAACTTTTTTTCCATTCGACAAGAACTTCATTCTGATAACGATTGATAAGAGAGAAATGTATATTTTGCTATAATCGAGCCTTGCTTCAATGATTTTCAATGATCACCGAAAACACGTTGCAATGTACATATTTTCCTTGGTTTTTGGTGTTTTGCCAACTATTATTTTGTTGATTTCGATGGAAAACTTCGCATTTTCTAGTTGTATTTTCTCAAAAGTTCAAGTTTAAGAGCGTTTGCAAGAATTTTTCTTAAATTGTTTGTTGGATTCCTAATTAATTTCAAAGGAATACAAACATCTTAGATTGGAAAAAGATCACTTAACATAATTGCCTATACAGCAGTTGGGTATCGCTTCATTTTCAATTGAGGACAATTTTGAAACGTATCATCGAAAATTTTCGTGAATATAGTCTGTTCAGATTTTGAATGTCAAGTAGAATGACGTCATTCGAAAACGCTCTGTGGATGGCTCGCTCTTTGAATGGTTTATCGCGCCATTAGGGGCGGAGCTTGAGCGAAGACTTGACGTTCAAAAATTTGAACAGAGAATAATTCAAGAAAAAAACAACTCATTTTTTTAAAAAAACACGAATTAAAAAAAGCATATTTGAGCAAAATTCAAGTTTTTCATTGAAAAGTCTGATCAAAAATCCAGTTTTAAATTCTCAAAAAAAGCACTGATTTTTATTGACAATCCACTTCGTTATTGAATCATGAATCGAATACTTTTCGACTAATATCAAATGTCCTTTCAAAAATTCATCGAAAAAAAGAATCAAATTCTACGGCTCTTCCTCAAAAAAAGAGAATAACATTTTTCGCTCTTCGTTTTCCAGTGAACTTTGGAGAGAAGAACACAAAAAATATGAGACAACTGTCTTTGTACAACTGTTCTTTGAAAACTCGAAAACTCGAAAAGTGAGAATCAAACTGTTATCGATTTGGGCCTTCTCATTTAAAAAAATAATGAAACGATGAAACTCGAAACAGTTGTAATGAAAGTGATGTCGAATGTTTGGAAAAAATTTCAAAAAATTTGGAACTTCAAAAAAAAAAAACTTCGGCGTGAAGAATGTTTTTTAAATCATTTTTTTGAAGTGGTATTTCTTTATTTATAAGCTTGTTTCGATAGGAAAATTGTGACATTGTAAACAGAGCTCAACATAGAAAATATCGAAAATTTAAAGCTTTAAATTTTTTTTTGTCTTTATAAAGACATATAATATATACAATCCCCCGAAAACATCGCCTTTTTTTAACTTCTTAATCTTATGAGATAATAAAAAAATTGAAAAAAATAAAAATAAAAATAAACATTTTTGATACAAAAATTGGAAAGGGGTCTTTCCTATTTTTAAAATATTTTAAAACCAGTTTAAAACGAGTAAAACGAGTTAACTCCTTTCAAGCTTGAAAACGAGTTTGTAAAAAAATTTTTTTTCAGAAAAACGACAAATTTCTTCTCTTTGAAACTATCAATGAAGATGGATTGATAAGAAAAAAGAGTTTAGTTTCAAAGTACAGAGTCCGAAGAATGTCTGCACAAATCGGTAATCCAATCTAATTCCACGCAGAAACTCTCGAAAATCGTACCAAATCGATCCGAAAACTTCAAAATAAAAGAGTCGCCAATCAACCAACGAACGGAAAGCGACAATCAAAACACGTGATGGAGGTGTTGTGAAAAAGAGAAAAAAAGGGACGATGATCACGCGGCGCAGTAAAAACAAACGTTTGGGATTTTAACACACGATCAAAAGTGCGATTTCTCATTTGTTGTAAAGTTTTATCTCACAGAACAAAGAAGAAAAAAAAAATGATGGAAGCCAACCAATGCGGGTAACCGTCGAACAACATTTATTCCACTAATTACTATTACCAAATTGAACACATTTTTTCTCTACAAAAAAGACATAACATTTTTTGTTAGTTTCTTAGACAGATTCCGGATCGGCGTCGACAGCCTTGAACCAATGACCGCACTCGCAACGCTTCGGCGTTCCCTTGCGAATCGTCATAAAGTTCACGTGGCCCTGGTCTTGCTCGCCTGAAAAATCAATCAATATCAACCAGCTTGCATAAAAACCAGTACTCTGTACTGGAGCGTTTGAATGTTTCTCTGCCGGATGCAATTTCGTCATTTTTTCGCAGTCAGGGAGTGAAGAAATAGCATGCGGCAGAGAAAAATTCAGGCGCGCTTTTAGGCGCTCCAGTTAAGAGTAGTTGTGTCATGCCCGAACTTTTCAAAACTATCACTGACTCTCCAAAATTCAGTTATCTTTTTTAATCTCTGAAGTCTTTTTGAAGTTTGGGCGCGTCGTAGCGCAACAGGTTGTGTGCCTGTTGACGGTCCACAGGGTCACAAGTTCGATCCCCGCCTCGACCCAACCACGGAGTTTAAGAAATGTTGGTAGTGGGAAACCACGACTTCAAAAATCGTCACACACAAGGACGGATATGTCACTCGAGCCAGTCCACTGATTATAACTGATATCAGAATAGGACCTCGGCTAATCGACTTGGGGCGCCGACGCCGCTCAAGCGGTACAAAGGCGTAGGAAGAAGAGTCTTTTTGAAGTTTCGCGGAACAAGTTTGAACACGGTATTCCGAAGTTTTCGGAGATAGGTTAGATATTAAGATAGACTATACTCTGTGTGAAAATCTAATCAATTTGTCTTAGATATTTGGCTTTTCTCTCGATTCTAATGTAATTTATCCTTGTGGAAAAAATCAAAAATATATCAACTTTGAACGTTTTCATCTCTAAACGCGCCAAGAAAGAAAAAACCAAAGATTTAATTATTATTTTTCTTTTTTGGAAAAAAGACCAAAAAAGGCGCATTTTTTTCCTAGAACTTTTCCTGAAAAGGACCCTCTAAAGGAGGTGTAAAAAAGAAGGCGGAAAAAGATGGATAAAAGGGGATTCCAAGAAATTTTTGACACATTTTTTGGAACTCGAAAAGGAGCTTTAGGCTCTTCTTTCTATGGTCTTTTTGAGATCGTTTGGACGTTGCCTTTGTATAGAGTTCACCAGATAAACGATGGACACAAAAAAAAAACCCGCAAAAGTTCAAAACTTTATCGAAAAACTCGTATTCGGCAAATCTCAACGCCCTTCAAAGATTAAACCTTAGCCACATTTATATGAATAAGATTTCTGGCATATATGAAATGTTATTTTTTTTGAACAAGGTATCTCAGAAAACTCTACAAAGCTTCATCTAACTCTTAAACCGTTCACTAAAAAAATAAAAAAATAAAACTCGCGTTTTTTTCTCGGAGAACTTCGCTGATCTGATAAATTTTGGTTATATTTTTTTCCCAATTTATGAAGTGTTTTTCTACGTGAACGTAAGAAAACATTTCCTTTCAAATAAAATGATTGATCATGATCAAACTTGTGTACAGTCCCCTTTTTTAACCAAAAATACTTTTTGTTTGGTTGAAGTCGGAAAGGCTGTAGGAAACTATTGGAAAAATTAAAAAACTACAGAATAAATATCTGTAAAACATACACATGCATCCGATGATTCTGTCGTCAAAGTGCGATGGGACAAGATTTGGCTTTTCCTTGGTCGAAGCTTCGGCGCGGTAGTAAACCTTGGGCTCGTAACGCTGAAAAAAGAAAGAAAAATGGGACATCCTAGAATCCAAAAAACTATCCTAGCCTTCTACGAAACCAAAAATAATATTAAGATGCTGAAAAAAAAAAACAAACGTCGTCTCCGGCGAGACGGGCCAAAAGCATCTTCTTTTCACGTCCGGTGGCGTGCTCGAGGGGATCTGGGTAATAACCGTAGTCTTCGGGGTTGGCCTCAGAAGCGAAAGTACGGCGGACGACCGCCTGAGGGGTCACGATGCGCTTGGTCAATGACACGACGCTACGAGCAAGCTGAGCCATTCTGCAACAGGTAAAAACATGGAAAACTATTCTAAAAAAAACTAAGATAGCAGAAAACGTTGTGAAAATCTTTGTACTATATATGAATCGAACTGCTTTCAAATTTAATAAAATTAGAGTGAAGAGTGGGTCAGGTTTCATAAGGTCTCAAGAAAAATAAGTTTTGTGAGTTATTAAAAGTTAAGCCAATTCCAGCTTTTTCAAACATCTCATTTAGTATTGTTAAGCAAACTTTACTTTAAGAAAAAAACTAATTAAAATCTAGCATTAATCTTCACAAAAAAATTTTTCCAAAGTATCAACTCATCATATGAAAAATCTAATTAAGAAAAATATGTTTTTATCTAGAATCATGAGGAGAATAAGCAGCTCACAAAATGTTAGCTGAAAAGGCCCTCGGTGAAATTTCAATTAGAAAGAGGCGATAAAGATATTCTTCACCGTTATATAAAAGAGGAAAAAAAACACTATTTGGAAATATTATGACAAAAAAGCCATACAAACTGCATTTATAGCTACTTTAAACGCCAGCTTAGAAATTGTGACAAATTTATGTGCGAAAAAAAGTTGAGCGAATCTTCATATCAATTTTAGGCGAGAAATTTCAACGAAAACGAACTAATTCTGAAACTCGCTACAAAATATCATGAGCCTAATATTTCTTGTTAACAATACACTATTCATTCAATTAATAGCTTGATAAACAGAAAATACAAGCAAATAAATAGTAAAAACGAACTTGAAAATTTAGGCGGTCGGATCGATAATCAAAAAGGGGAGGTTTTTAGCGATTGAGCGCGTTTGACCTGCATTTTTTAGGCTTACGGTAGCATTTTCGAAAGCTCTTTTGAATTTATCTTGTTTTTTTTTATTTCGTTGATTTTGAACTTTTTTAACAGTTTCTTTTTAGAGATAGTATGCAGAATGGGTACCGACATTCTCACAGAGAATCGAAGGCCCATCACAAATCAATGAACAGTCCACGTCACGATAGAACGCCTACTCGAGATAGTTCTTTTTTATCATCAAAAAGGAGCTCATCAAGGACGCGGGATGAGGTGAAGGTTGCTCAGAATAATTGAAAATTGTCATAATTTAAATTGAAGGACTCTAAAAGCAAAGAGGAAGTATCGCCACGTAAAAAAGCATACCTAAAAGCCGAAAAAAGAAGACTTCGAAGACAAGCAGCGGTGAGCCTGATCTGCTTTAGTTTTATAAACTTCATTGGTTTTGAAGAAATTGAAGAAGAAAAATAATGCAGAGGAAAACGGAGAGGAAGAGAAGGATGAGCCGAAGGCGGAAAGTCTGTTATTTTGCGCACAAAAATTGAGAAAAAGTTTTTCAGCGGACCCAGTTATAACCGAAAAACATTATGAAGTCGATTATTTGGTGGATGACGATGATACAGATGTTGAGCAAATGAAGGTTGTCGTTCATTTGGACCTTCTCATGAATACCAAATTCTTTTTAGATCCCAAAATCACAAAGGGTTGTTTGCTGGGCCAAAGATGCCGAAAAACATTTACTCGTAATCTTTTTTGATTTCTGTAAATTGAGATAATTATATTTCTAGAATAAAGCCAGAACTACTACGAGTCGAATTTACGGGGAATTTTATGAAAAAGTGCTGAAACCGATGAAAGAGGCCAGGAAAACTCAGGTGAGATTTTGATAAATGAACGCATCTTGAACGAAAATTTTCATTGAAATGTATTACTTTTGATCGAAATCGAATTACACTAAAAGAAAGGGGGTAAAATAGGAAAGACAAAAAAAGCTTGAATCCCTTTGTCTTCCTTTTTTTCCTTCTCTTTTTGAAATTTCATTTAGGTGAACCCGGAACGTCCTCCAACGCCCCCGATGCACGCCAAGTGCGGCTGCGGCAAAGATTCCGATTCAGAAGAAGTTTCTTCCGAATCAGAAGAGGAGGAGGAGGAAAACGGACAGGAGAATCCTCCCAAGAACGTCTTCGATCCGAACATGACTGCGGATCAAATGGCCGCGCTGACGGACAAGCAAAAGGCTCAGTTGTATCTTCAGCGCGAGGTGGGAAACGCTAAGAGAAATATGTTGAAAAAATGAGAGATTTTTGTTCACTAGGGAATGTTCTCAGCTCAAAATGGGACTTCTGAAAAAGAATATATCTAGGTTTTCTGGGGTTTTTTAATAAAAGTTGATCTACACACACACCAAAAATGAGCTCAATCGGAAACATCGATTTTGATACTTTCATGGGACCATAACTTTTTTCGAAGGCCTCGAGGACAACTTTTGAGCCCAGATTTGAATCCAGCGTAAAAAGTACAAATATATCGCCTAGGCTCAGTCGGAAGTCCCACTGTGGGCTGAGAACGTTCCCTAGTTGGAAACGGTAGTCGGAAAGGAAAGTTGAACTCGACAAAAGAAAAGTTTGAGAAATAATAAAATTTTAAAGTCAACAAAACGAAAATTGTGAAAAAAAAATGATAGAAGAATATTGGAAGTTGAATTCGATCGAAAATCTTGCTAAGCCGTTTTTTAAAAATTATTATTATTTCAGGTCCACCGAAAGCGGAACCATCCAAACGCCGTCCATCCCGATATTTGCTACAATGAGCCGGGAATGGTTATTTCGAAAAAGTTGAAAAAAAATGTGAAGTCTTGGATATGCAGAGCAATGACGGGCCGCTGTGTAGATGCTCATTGAGCGCGAAAAGCCGAGGAATGCGCCACGGGATTTATCCGGGCGAAGAGCGGGTCGAAAGTTGTGATCCCAATTCGAGGTTTGAAGGGAAAAAATAGATATTCTGGTAAAACTTTCAAAAAAAAAAAAAGCTGAAAAGTTGAATATTTACAGAGCTTTCGAAATTTTCAGGTTTTTTTTTGAAAATTGAAGCTCTATGCGTTTCTAGTATTTCAGCGCTTTCTACAAAATATCTGTATTCTGTTTAAAAGTCTCGCTAGTTTAAAAAAAACTGAGGCGAATTTAAGATGGTCTCGAAGCAAAGAGCCATTTATACTGTTTTTTTTGAAGCATTTATCCGTTATTTCAAGCACTTTTAGTGATGTCTTAATCCTTCATAGCGTTGTTTTGAACAATTATAGTGTCATTTTAAGCCTTTATGGTGTAATTAAGACTTATATGTTCATTCAAGCATTTCTAGCGTTATTTCAAGCCTTCTTTTAGTGATTCTAAGCATTTTTGGCGTCAGTTTGAAAATGAAGTTTTTCAGCAATGGCCTCCGACTTTTCCACTATTACTTGAAAATAACGCCCTTCCCGTCGGATAATCAAATTTCGAGAACTCTGATCATGGCCAATGGGGAAGAATATCGATTCGAAGGCTTTTCGGTTGGTGAAAAAATAAAATAAATGTAATGAAGTTCACGAAATTCAGATTTTGTCCCATAAAAAGCTACCGCAATACTTCCCAAGGATGCCCGCTTCGAGATGGTCGACTGAATATGAGTTCACGGTTATTGAGGAACCGATCCCATTGGAGGTTTTTTTATGGGTTTTATTCATGAGATTCTGAGCTCTCTGAAAGAACAAAAAAACGAGAAGAAAAGCTCTTCAAGGGAATTATAAGCACTAAAAATGAGCCACATAAGCTTCAAAGTTAATCTGAAAAATATGGTTGAATGAGTAGATATATTCGATATTTTCCAGTGCTTCACGGTCGGCTCTCTGGACATGCTCTACGACATAATCTTCAACGAAGTCTTCGAATTGGCCGATGTCCATATCAGGGCGAAAGGCGTCAACGACGGATGCCAGTTGCTGCATTTCATGCCCCGATTCGTCTTTGATCGAGGTTCATCCATTTTTCATATCACTTTGGGGTCTTTAGAACCTCATTTTTGACAATTTGAAAAAATCGATGAAAAAGCGAGATTTTTGCAGATGGGATGGTGAAGCTGCTCTCGACCAGGGCAGTCATGGCCCACATCTTGTCGCGTTTCTCGACGTTCCTCTGCGACCAAAACTCTTCCACTCGTCTCCTCAACCTCAGCGACGACGAGTTCAACCGCGCAGCGAACCGTCTCAAACAGAATATTGTTGTTCGAACCGACAAGGTCCTGAAAATCTTTTTTTTTCCTCATCGGTTCCATTCCTATCGCATTGCTATTTCTGAAGAAAAAGTCATCCAGTATCCTGGGAAACTCTGAAAATCGTACCGGAAAACTGGGGCTTCATTTTGATAAGCCAAGCTTTTCTACGCTTTTGTGAGCTTCTCGGCCGTTTTTTCTCCTCATTTTGGGTTTTGGTGTCTCTTTTTTCGATGTTTTTAATCGAATTGTTACAGAAAGTTTGAAAGAAACCTTGTGATTCGAAAAGAAAAAAAAATGGGAGTTTGGTATTAAATAAGCGGTTTACCACTAGAACATCACGAAATATTGAGAAACTTGTGAAAATTTATTATTTTTCTTTTTTAGAAGCCCTCGGCGATCCGTGTCGATGACTTGGTTCGGGTGCCCGGCAGCGGCATTTTCATCGTCCATAATACGATCAAGTGGGTTTTCTAGGGGTTTTTACAACATTTTCGAGCAGTTTTGAAGCATATTCGGTTTGAAAATCTTGATATTTATCGAGTTTTTTTTATTCGCGAAATTGGAACCTGATGAAGGTGGGAACATTAAAAAAGTGGATTCTGCAAGTTGAAATTATAAGAAGCAAGAAAAGTTATATTTCCGGGAATGATCTAAAAAGTTGATTTTCCAAGTTGAAAATCGAAGAAGTTTTATTTCCAAAAGAAATCAAGAAATTTTAGGGTTTTGGGACATTTTAGGCAAATTTTTGCTCATAATATTGAGAAAATCTTGAAAATTCGATCAGAAATAATTAATTTCAATATAAATCTTCGTTCAGAGTGTGGTCCTCAGAAAAGTCAATTTTCCAGGGTTTTCAGGACATTTTTGGCATGTTTTTACTCATAAGTTTCGATAAAATAACCTGAAATTTTTTTAAACCTATTAAAATAAAAATGAGTTTATACAGACCCCAAGTGTACTCGTCGGCTTTCAACCCTCGATTGCAGTATTTGGAGCGAAGACACAACAAAATGAAGCATTTGGCAACTATGAATAGAGAAGCGAGCTTCGATGTGGGTATTTTGACAGGAATACTCATGAAAATTGAAGAAAAGAATAGAAAAAAAACTTTTTTTTAGGTGGAAATCGAAAAGTTGCGGCAGGAGATTGCTGCGATTCGATCTGACGGGTTCGCTTTTTTTTTAATTCTAGGCTTTGAACATGGTTTTCAGGCTTATTGGAATAATATCAAAGCGTGAAAATTAGATATGTTGGGAAAAACAAGGTTCTGTGAAAAAAATCATTAGAGGCGTGTTAGAAAAATCAGCAATATTCTTTAATTTTTGAATTTGAAAAAGTTTACTTTCTTTTTTTGTTACTTCATGAGAATTATAAAAAAATAAGGAATATTTTTTTATTTTTATTATACATTTTAATTTTTTTCTTAGGCTTTTTGAAAAAAAGTACAGTTTTTTGAAAAGGAAAATTTTTTTCCGGAAAGATCAAGAAAAATCATTGGAAAAATTTGCAGCCGAGGAAACCGAGCCACCCAAGTGCGGGTTCCGGTGGAAGGGTACCGGTTGACCGGATTGTTCCCGGATAGTATCGCCCACGTTCTGATGTCCGTCCTGGCCATTCATCATATCCGATATCAGATGTCCTTGTCGGTTAGTGAGAACAAATGTCTTCGATGAAAGAATTGAGAAAAAAATCAGACATTTCCAGATCCCAAAGTTATTTTTAAGTGTTTCTATTCAAAACAGGGACCAAATCATAATTTTCGCATTTTCAAAGTTATTTTTTTACCTGGCTCAATAATTATTGTTTTCAGCAGTTCTATATTTAATCTCAAAAAAGACTATCATTGATTACCTTACAGACCCTGGAAACACACATCGGCTTCCAGTTCAAAAATAGAGCCTTGCTGGAACTTTCCATGACCCATCCGTCCTTCAAGAGCAACTATGGGACCAATTCGGACCATGCCAAGAACTTGCTCAGCAATTGTGCCTACAGAAGAAGATATATTGTAGAGGACCGAAGGGACAAAAAGAAAGGTGAGCAAATGCAAAAATAATGCTTCCTTATTTCCAAGGGCCAAAGGGCCTACTAAATCACTTGTTATCTATTAATTTATCTTTTTAGCTGTTTTTTGTGCATTTTTTAAAGTTGGCTCTTTTTTTCGAACTTTCCCCAGTATCTTTTTTCAAAAACTCAATTTTTTCTCAGGAATCCACAACCTCCTGACGATCATGTCGAATCCAAAGTACAACTCGACGCCGATCGCTCATAACGAAAGACTGGAATATCTTGGCGATGCTGTTGTCGAAATGGTAAATTAGTTTGGACGGTATCAGTTGGAATTTACGGCCCGTAAATGTGTTCAAGGAGGGTAATTTCCGAGCTAACGCTGTTATTTAAATCTTTCAACGGATAATGTAGACGTTCCTTAAAAATATTAGGTGTTTCTAGGAAATAATTCAAATGAAAATATCAAATTTTTTCAAAGATTTATCCGACTGATAAAATCAGAGTTCCTTATCACGTTTTCCGGATTTTTCTCTACTGGATAAATCAGTTTTCTTTGAAAAATTTCCAACTGACAAAATTAGGGTTCCTATGAAAAATTCAAAACTTTTCCAAACGGGGTAAAATTGTGAACACGCAGTCTCAGGCAGTTCTAAACTTGAAGTTGAATATTGATTTTCAGGTGGTCACGAATCGTCTCTTTTTCATGTTGCCCCATCACAATGAAGGTGGTCTGGCGACGTATCGAAGCTCCCTTGTTCAGAATCGAAATTTGGCGTCGTTGTCTAAGGTTTAGATGACCATCTTTCTCAAAGAAATGGTTCCTGTAGTGAAATTCCGTTTTCAAAGCTTCATTTTGCGAGTTTAATGGGCGCAAATCGCGCAATATGTTATGTACGGTGCAGCTAATGGACGGGTGGCTCGAGTCATCTAGAAATGGGCCCTGACACGTTAAAAAAAAGAATTGCCTGGCTGGTGGAGAGAACAGACTGGCCACGGCTTCTAAGTGTCCAAAGATAATCGTAAATCGGCTAATATGAAAATAGAAAATCGAGTTATTTATGGAGGCGATCCAACTACGAAGTAAAGCCGAAATTGCATCAAATATATATATTTTTCTGCTGAAATGACGTAAGGAAGATTCAAATTTGTAGCTTTTTGCAGAGGAGATCGATAATTTTGCAATTTCGACGCTTATTTCAACTTTTTGAAGGAGCTCCGACTGGACGAATGGATCCAGTTCGCACACGGCTCGGATCTCTGCCACGAGGCCGATTTCCGTCACGCCCTGGCCAACGCTTTCGAAGCGATCATGGCCGCCGTCTACCTCGATGGGACCTTGGACGATTGTGATCGAATCTTCACCATGGCCATGTTCGGTCACGACCCGACGCTCAAAGACATCTGGGTCGACATCGCTGAGCACGAGCTCAAGGTCGGGAACATTTCCGAAGTTTTAGAGAAAACGAGAATGATTCTAGCAAGTAGTTCATTCACCTTAACTTTTGCAGGATTTTTTCAAGATTTTTCACTTTTTTGGAAAATTTTATGGGAAGTCCTAGGAAAATTAAAAAGGATCGAACGGCTGAAAAAGAACCGAATTTTAGTAAATAAAAAAAGAAAAAAAACTTGTAGAAAATCTCGGAAGGAAATCCGGAAGAAACTTACATTTTTTTATTTTTTTCGAATATTTCAAAAATGACTTCCTCAGGAAAAAAATTGGAAAGATATTGGTTACTGAAAATTTTACTCCACTTTCCTTTTTTTTTCATCTTCGAAAGTGAAAGAAGCATCAGAAATGAAGAAAAGCCGTGAAAAATAATTTTTCAGGTGGAAATGCCGGACGGCGACCGCCAGTTGATCAAGGAGGTGGCTTCTCTGAAAAACCTCCGAGAATTCGAAAAAATGATCGGAATCAAATTCAAACACATCCGACTACTGGCCAAGGCTTTCACCAGAAGAAATATCCCTCATAATAATTTGACTAAGTTTCCTTTTTCAAAAAAAGAAAGGTTATGAAAAGAGAAATTGAAGAGGAAACAATCAACGGCTCGAGTGGCTCGGCGACACGGTTTTGCAGTTGGTCGTCTCGGATTATTTGTACCGTCATTTCCCGTTTCATCACGAAGGTTTAATTCAGTTTTCAACTTTTTGACGACTTTTTGACATTAGATTTTGAACGGTCAAATACAATCGAAATTATGAACAAAAATATTGAAAGAATTACTAAAACGTGCCCAAGTTGAAGTTTTTCGACTTTTTTGGCTCTTTTTTCTACATTTTATTTCTGAATGAAAAAAATTGGATAAAGTTTCGCATTCAGAGTGGAAAATTGAAAAAATTGAAGGTTGAAAGGAAAATGAAAGTTCAAAAGTTAAGGGAAGTTTCTATAAAATGGGAAAAAAAGTATGAGGCTCCAAATAGATTTTTGAATCGTTGAGATTTTTTTGTCAAAGAGTAAATAGTAATTTATAAGTTCTGGTTTTTCTAAGAAGAATTTTCAGAAAATTTGAAAAAAACGTGAATTCCTGCAAAAAGTGGCCATTTGCATTTGGGATTAACCTGAAAATAGCTTTGAGCCCTTTACTTTTCGAAAATTAGAGAGTTTTGGAGGTTGAAACACCCCGGATATATTTCTGTTAAGGATTTTAATTTTAGAAAAATTCCGAACCGCGAAGTGAAATGATCATCCTTGCCAGAATCGTGAAATTTAAATTTGTCGATTGATGAGTTTCGAAACTTGCAGGCCATCTGTCGCTGCTCCGAATGAGCATCGTGAGCAACAAGACGCAGTCCCGGATCTGCGACGACCTGGGCATTCCGAAGTTCGTGATCCGGCCCTCGAATCCCTCCAAAGACTCGGAACTTCGCGTCAAAGACAAGGCCGATCTCGTGGAGGCTCTCATCGGAGCCATCTTCGTCGACTGCGGAATGGAGTACTGTCGCACTTTCATCAGAATCTGCTTCTTGCCCAGATTGGATGTGCGTTTTTTTCACCTAGAAAGAAATAAAACAAGGAAGATTCCTTGACCTTGAGAACAATTTACAGTTTCAATTTCCCTTGTGAACATCCCGTGTTCCTAGAAATATAATCACAAACAAGGTAACAGCTCAGACTGAAGAAAACTAGAAAAATTTCATCCGAAACTTGAAAATTTTCCAAAATTTTCAAAGACATAAAACGATTTTGAGAGGCGAAAAAGTGTACATCCCTTAGAAAACTAGACCCCTATAGGGGGCACGATTTTCTCTTTTAGGGGCTGTTTTTTTTACTCTAGCCCCTATAGGTTCTATTTGAGCTTTAGGAGATGGATCACGCCCTTAACCCCTATAGAGACCACTAAAGTTTATTAATTCTTTCGGAAAGCTGTTTTGAGTGGGTATTGAGAGGGTAATGGGCAAGCTCCACTTCAGAAGTTTGCTGTGTAATTTTTGAAAATTCTAGATTAGTTTATTTTATTGATTTCCTTTGAAGATTTGATGAGCAAAAAAATAATAACCGAATATCTCATTTTTCAAAACGATTTCATACCAAAGCTCAAGAATACCCAAATAATTTCCAGCACTTCATCGAGAGCAACCGATGGAATGATCCGAAATCGCAGCTGCAGCAAAAATGCCTTTCTTTGCGCCGTTGTGACTCCAAAGAGCCCGATATTCCCGAATATCGGACCCTGAAGGTCGAAGGGCCCACCAATACGAGAACCTACGAAGTCGCTGTCTATTTCAGGTTTTTTTTTGGTTTAAAAATAAAGTTGTGAAGATTTGGGCCTTTTCCACTAATATAGTCTGTCCTTCGCTGCTTTTCTCTGCGCCCTCCTCGTCTGTCGACTACCTTTTCACGTTCATATTTCTTTTTTAAATCCGTTTCTGACCTGGCCGGCGAGGGAACAGAGAGGCGCAGACACTTGTAAAAATTCAAGTCGTGGTGAACGGACCATGAAGTATCAAGACTTCATGACCAGAAGTTTTTCAGGAATAAACGTTTGGCCGTCGGCGCCGGTGGGAATATCCACGCCGCTCAGATGAACGCCGCCGAAAAAGCTCTCGAAAACATGAAACATATGTTTCCAGCCTTCAACAAGCCCTCCAGAAAGGTAATATATTAGAAAAGATTTCTGTTGGGAAATCGTTTTATTTTTTTTCACATCCATTCCAAATGCGACCAGGAAAGTTTTCTTCCGACTCTGATTGTGATCCTTTTGCGTTTTTTTTTTCAGAGATACCGTTCAAAATTTCTTTCTTTTGCTTGCTTCGAACTGCTTTTCGTTTTGAAGTTCTGTACTCCGTTTTTGGCGACTCGAAACTGCTTTTTTTCTCTGCGCCCTCCTCGTCTCTCGACGACCCTCTCATGTTGCCTTGCTATTTCCCTGTTTGACTTACCAAGTCGTTGGAAGAACAGAGAGACGCAGACGTTCGAATACAGTCAAGTTGCGACGAACTGACTATACTTACCAATTGAAACGAAAAACCTATAAAATTATCACTTCAGGAGCGTTCCGAGAGGTCCGAGAAGCCAGAGCGATTAGAAAGGTCGGAGAGATCAGAGCGATCTGAGAGATTTGAGAGATGCAGCCGGAAGCGAGATCCGCCGACGCCGAGCCCTCTGATGGCGCCCCCTCCCTCGAAACGCTACTACCAGATGACGTCGACTCCGCCGCTTCCACCACCTCCGACGCCGCCGCAACTCATGTCCCTGATGCAGACGAACATCCCACCGCCTCAGTTCTACATGTATCCCCCGCCTCAGATGCTCTACCCGACCCCTCTCATGTCCATTCCCATGCCGCTGATGCCGCCACCGCCACCCCCGCCGATCATTCCCACCAGGCGCTATTGAGTAGAAATTGGCTTCATTTTCAGTTTGAATCTACCGCAAAACTGATAAAATCACCATGAGGTTGAGTCTAAATCGTCGAGCCTCTTTAATCTTCAAAGTCTGCCTTCCCAGTTTTCCAACCTTCTACCCCTTAGTGAACAAGAAAGGGCTTAGAGAAAAAATGTCTGCCCTCTCAATTATAACGCTCTCTAGCCTCTGAAAACATAGAGCGTTGAGAAAATGTTTGCCTTCTCATTTTTCTAACTCTCTCTCTCTCTTCTTGTCTTTTTCAAACAGAAAAACATTGGAGACACGGAGATGCAGACGTATGACTATCCTTTTTGGCGGGAGATAGAAAATTCAAAAAAAGTGGACTTTTTGAAATTCCATCTTTTCGGTTTTTTTTTTTAAATTCTTTATTCCAATTAGCCAACGTTTTCTGTGTTTTTACTGCAGTTTTCAAGTCAGGACTAATGACGTCATTTTTCATGAGAGCTGTTGTGCTTTTAGTGCAACTTTTTTTCGATGACGTCATTCTCAAGTCATAAAAATTTTTGTTCCTTATAAGGAATGGCGTCACTTGTTTTTCCGAAAATAAATGTAAAAAAATTTGAAAGACTTATTTATGTATCATTTTTCCCCTTTCCAGTTGCTTTGTACCCCAGTTTCTGTATTTTCAATATTTCCTGGTACACCGATCCTCGCTGATTTCCGCTCTCAACCCATTGATATCTAATTTCCACCGGTCTCAACTCTTTTCCGAATCAAAATTGAAATCACTTTGAACCAAAAAACCCTTGCCTTAAGAAACCAAAAATCCGATCCTTTTGTCATTTTTCTTCGTGTTGGATTTTTTTCGATCTTCTAGATTTTTCCCCTGTTAAAATTTGCCTTTTCGGGAGTTCTTCTGTTATATTGAACTTTTATTTTGAAGCTTATGTCGATTTTAATCGCTTCATGTTAACTTGATACGAATTTTGCCTTTGTTTAAATCTCACTTATTGCTTGTTGATTGACTCCGTTGATAAATGTTAAGTTTCGAGTTTTTTTTTTCCAAGCGCAATTTTCACGAAAAAGTTATTCGAAGTTTTTCATCAATCTCGATGCACCAAAAACTTTTAAAAGCATTTCAAAGACCCGTAGAAGAGAAAAGTGTAAGAAAGTGAGAAATATGCGTAGAAAAATCACAGATAGTGGCCCTGAAGGCATGTGGAAAAAAAAATTTGTCCATTCACCGTTAAACTGAAGAAAAAAATAGTGCGCCAGGGCGTGTTTTCCGGGAAAAATTGCTTATTATCTGAAGAAGTGCGTCAGAGCGTCTTTTAGAGTCAGAGACTGTCAAAAACACAGTTTTCAGAGGGCGTCTTCTATGAGGAGAAAAAAATTAGCAACCAAACCTTATGAAAAAAAAATATTACTTCATAGCGTCTTTTATGAAAAAAATAAGCTAGGCTTGGCCGGCAAAAATTTAGAAAAGCGGTGCGCCAGAGCGTCTTTTTGAAACTTCTTCAATTTGACGGTGAAAGAACTTTGAGAAAGAAAAAATCAAGAAAGTAAAAAATTGAAGAAATGATTCAAGTCGGGTAGAATAAGGCGAGGAATCGATTCCAGCCAGGTCTCCAGATCATGACGGTAACTATGAGGACGAACTGGAGCACTGCCGGCTCCGTTGAGCATCCGGGAGCTCTCAAGTCCGGCTCGTAGATGAGCACGTCTTCGACCATGTGTATGTAGCCGTTGATCCCTGAGAAAAGCCGTTTTCATCAGAAATAAAAAATCCATGAAAAAATTAGAAGTATGGCTGTAGATAACAAAACTTGAAGAAATCCACTCCGGGATCATTCCAAATCCGTAGTTGTCCCTTAAGTAGGAGATATGATGCAATTTAGAAAAAAAAATCGTGTGATATAGTTTTTTAAGCCTGTAGGGATTGAACATGCCAAGTGGCCACTTAAGCAAAAAAAATTTACGAACTCACACCAAAATCAGTCTGTTAAAGCTCCGTTCACTCTAGGAACCACTTCAAGTTTGCCGAGAGATATTTCAAGGGAAAAAGCGAGGGAAATTGATAAACTCTGAGGCGAATTCGCTTAACAGTTTCCAGTGATCACTCAAGGGACTCCAAAAAACTAAGAATTTCTTCTTAATCCAATACAAACCTGCAATTTCGCCGCCTTCAATAACCCGTGCCCTTCGGTTTCCGCGGGGCCAGAAGAGCTCGAAAACTGAAACTTTCAGTGATTATCCAATGTTATTAGTTGCAACGAACATCTTCCACGCCTTCGAATGACCACCTTCTCATCGTTCATCATCACATACGTCCTTTCTCGCAGATCCGTGTACATCAGAGCCTGAGAATTCGAACAATTACTCAAAATTTGGACACGTAATTCCGAAATTGAATAGAAAAGACAGGAAACATAATATCGAAGGAATCCTTCAACTTTTAACAGAACGATAACTTATAATGGAAAAACGGAAACTATACCTGCCCCTGAAGAACATGTCGCTTGTAGACGTACTGCAAAGCCAGCCAGTGATTCCCGTCGTTCATCCGAGCCACTAGCGATGGGGCGACCTTACAATTCGAAAGTATTCAATTTTTCCCTAATTGGAAGGCGAGATGAGTAGAGTGGCTAGGGGGACGCGTCTTCTGGCAGGAAACTCTGAGGCATGGCGAAAATGTAGAAAAATTATACTTCTATTCGTTCAACTATTTTTTTAGAAATAAAAAAGAGAGATATATGGAAAACTATCAAAACAGATGAAACCATTTCAAAAAGTGATTCGTGTTTGACCTCGAGTTACCCTCCAAAAGCCGCTTCGCGTACGCAACCCGACGCGTTGCCAACCTACTCATATCGCCTCTCAGTCAGGAAGGAATGAACATAATATTATTACTTTTTCCAGTTTCCAGCGCTTTCTTCTTACAAGGTAGGACATTTCCCCTTACTGATAGAGATTTTGTGAGAATATTTCTCGAGCTTCCACAGAGGCTCCATCTCAACAGCTTCCCAGACTTCTGAGAAGGACATCTCAAGTCAAAGAAAACTTCGAAATTCCGCTCACATCGAGTACTATCCGACTTTAAGACCCCCATCTTTTAAATAGACAAATAGTTGCAGGGTGAGAATGTGCTGAACTTTTCCTGGTAGTTCTAGAATTCCGATCCAATTTCATGAAGAAAAATGAACGTCTTCTTCAGTTTATACCAAATATTCACCCCATTCCAAGCCTCGTTGACAGGACAGAAAAAGGTGAAGTTCTGCTCGGGAGTCAGCACTTGCCAGGGGTCCAGAGCGTAGCGAAGTTGCAAGTTCTGCATCATCTCGAAAGATCGTCTACAAATTACACAAAACACATTCGCCTGAAATTGAAACGTTCTAGCTTCTCGGCGCCCTCTTTTCCCCGAATCTCTAATGGTGCTTGTAAAGTACTCCCTTTTTTCAAGTTAACAACGAAGAAAAGCTAAATCCCCTTGGTCACTAAGGAGCTTCTAGCGCTTCCTTTGTTGTGTGATTTATCTTCGCCCCCTTGCTATTTCTCGCGCCTGCGAGAGGAAAGAGAGCGCAGACAGGTCAGAAAAAATTGCGAATCATCATAAAACGAACTGTAATCGGCTTTCATTCCTCATGATCTCCCACAAGGATTGGTAGGGAACCCCGAGGACCCGTTCAATATAATGGACGATTCCATTGGTCGCCGCCACGTTCTCCATCATGATCGCCGTCCGAATTCCGCCGCCGATGACGTAGTAGGCTGAGAAAATGACGTCATTATTCGAACATCAGGTTGGTCCGTTGAAAATGAAAATCTCGTCGGAATTTTTTGAGTTTTAGTCTGACAAGCTCTTCAAGGAGGAAAGTTGTTTTTATGAGTAATTAACTCATCTTGAAACTTCTTATATCAGACTTATCTACGCTCTTTTAAACTCTTCATCAAGGGTTTGAGAGATTTTTTGGCCAACTCACGGAAAATTCAAATAACTTGCACTGAATGGGCTCCCTTGTGAGTCTTTTAGAGTTATTCAAAACCAAAATGAAAAAGGGACTTCGTCTCGAGACTCTTATTCATTTTCTCTATGGTCCTTTAAAAACAAGACTTTCTAGCAGAATCTACTCACTTATGTTATTTACAGGCCATTCTCCTTTGATAAAGTACAACTGCCGCATGTTGTCCACAGTATTGACGATCGTTTCGTTGTTGATTTCATCCGTAGTCAGTTCTTTCGCAGGAACGATGTGAAGTTTGAGAATCTGTGAAGTCCTTTTGAAAAATATTAAAAAGTTCACGTTTTATTTCGTCTATAGTCTGTTCAAAATTAGAATTTTGAGTCGTCACTCAAGCTCCGCCCCTAAGGCGCGATAAACCAATCAGAGAGCGAGCCATTCACAGAGCGTTTTAAAATACGTCATAGTAATTGAAGCCCAAAATCTGAGGACATTTTTTATCTGTTAGGGTTTTAATCGACTTATTCTCATACAGGAAAAAAAAACAACTTTGAGAATTGAGTTTTTCGAGACTGTTTTCATTATTATCCGTATTATTCCTTTTTATCGTATCTCAAAACTTCCTATGTTTGAAGATCCCACACCTGTTCCAACCAGATCCGGTCCCTGAGCAATCTTCTCTCAATCTGCTCAGGAATTCGGTCGAAAGCCTCGTCCCATGGAGCGAAAAAGGTCACGAGGCCTCCGGTCGCCGAGAAATAATTCCTGACGATTTGCCCGATCGTATTGATGTACCGCATCAGAATCCCACATTTAGGATTTTCGTAGATCAGCTGAAGTGATGCGAAAATTCAGTTAAAGTGCGGGATTTCGAGAGAAAAAACAAGAGGTTTTGAAGGTGGAGGGTGAACTTGCTGCGGACATTTCTAGTGATCCATTTAGCAGTGTCAGAACTGTCAGGGAAGCACTAGGGAACGTCTGGGGCATTCTGACGTTGCTAAAGTTATCACTAAGAATGATATCACTTTCAAAATCAGAAATCAGAAATTCATTAAGTTTTGTGATTTTAAGAGTCTTTTTTAAAAAGTTACTTCAAGGCCACAATTATTTTTGCAGAACCATCCAACCCTTCCTCCACTATATATCAAAACTCTTTTTGGAACTGTAAATTACCATATCAATAGTCTCCGAAACGATGCCCAAGACGTTGTCAATGATGTGAACAACTCCGTTTTGAACCGGAATATTCGGGACCAGGATTTTGGCCCAAACGGCGCCACGGCGGAACTGCGAATAGCGTTCGTAGACCTCCGAGACGGCGTAAACTGGAGTTGATGCTCAGCGAATTTTCGGATACGCAGCGAAAACTAACGGTCATATTTGCCAGTCCGACGGTCGGTAATATTTCTCATGACCAGCTTCAGTTTAAAGTTGTCTTCTATGATGTTTGAGGAGAATCTGAAGAATAAATATACAATTTCGAGAGGAAAGGTAAGTAGAATTTGAAACAATATAAGCGCCAGCTATAGATTAACACGACTTGAAGAGACGCCACAGAAATAGAAAAATCTGTCTTCTCTGGTGTCTCTTGAAAATGCTAATAATCTTTCTCTTTCGCTTTTATTCAGAATTTCCCCCTGGTATACGATTCCAACACCGTGGTCAGAGCTATGCGAAATTATCTCTGACTTTCCAGAATTTAGTTGTCTTTTTCCCTCTCTGATGACTATTTTTAATTTCGCAGAATCAATTTCAACATGGCATTAGTATATCTTCTCTGAAAACTAGCAAAAAAGTTCCTGCCCTTGACAGGAATCGAACCAACAACCCTCATCACTAGTCTATTTTCTTAACCACTCGACCAACCTTACGGACGGATAATAATGCTGCCCACCGTCATAGAGCCATGGCCAGGTGAAGAGAACTCTGTAAAATGGCAAAAAAAATTTTATCTGGGCAGGAATTGAACCAACGACTCTTTTAACTACATTTACTAATTAACCATTGAACTATGGAATAAATTTACCTATTCGTTCCGGTAACATGAGCAAGAAGCACTTCTCGATCTATCCGATTCCGGTCGATTACCTGGAAAATTGAAACAATTAATAATATTAGAAGCCTCTTAGGGATTTCGAAAAAAAAGCGCCTAAGGAGCCACTTCTGAAGTGACCGCTAGAGTGACTGCGATTGAAATAACCTTCATGGTAAGTCTTTCAAGAGAAGGAACTTTAAAAAAAGTGACGAAAGTTCGAAACCTCTAAAGAGCTCACTATACCGTTCCAAAAACTCTTAAGTAACCACTCAAGAACATACTCTAGCGAAAGCCTTGTCGTTGGGCAGGAAAAACGTGTGGAATCCGTTCCAGGCCGAGCTTCCATAGATCACCAAGGCGATATCAGGTACAATATCCAGAATTTCTCGGATTTGACTGGAATTTCATTTTTTTTTTCTCAAGAAATTTTTTCCGAATGGGTGTTTTCAATTTTTTTTTTATAAATTAAAGAAAACACAAAATAATGCGAGTTCAGTATAAAAGCCCTTAAAAAAGAAGAGAAAAGATCCAAGTTCTCTCTACAAACCGGAAAATCATATAAGCCCTCAAAATAAAGGAAAGTCGAGAGAGAAATCGAACGTTACAAAAACTTTCTTGAAATTATCCGACTTTTTCGCGGCTATAAACCAAAAAAACAGTTCAAGACTGATACTAAAAGTCTCCTTTTTTGGTCTCAAAGCTCTGGAAAACCAACGATAAATCTCTATTGTTGTATTGCCGCTCTTCGAAAACAGTATTGTCATGTTCGCGGATAAATGACAGCGCTGTGCCCGGGTACGGTCGATGGCCCATTGGAGTGCAGATCTAAGAATATTCCATTTTATTTTGAATTTCTGCTTCAAAGAAACCTTAAAAAGGTATTGTTCTCCGGAAATGATGCCCCATTGGTTCGAAGCATGGTTGCACATCATTCCAGCATTCGCGAAGTAGGACTGAAAAGACTGAGTATCACTAAATTGGCTGCGCATCAACTCACGAAATTCCCGGGGTTATTTTCAAACTGAGTGACGTAGACGTAGCCACTGTTGATGGTCGACCGGATCAAAGTTTGTTTCTCCCATTTTTTGCCCTGCGTTATTTCCACCACTTGTGAATCGACTGAAAGAATGCAATGTTTTTAGGAAGGCCTGAGTGGTCCCTAAAGAGGTGGAGGGAAAAACAGCCTCTTTGGTGCCAAAAAGTGTCCCTTCGTTCATATTTTTCTTTCAAAAAAAAGCTAGTTCGTCGTGTCTTTCGCATGAAAATGCTTCACAACAATGATCGACTCGCGTGTCCCCTACAGGAACCACTCTTTAGTGGTCCCTAAAGGGGAGCCTTCAAGAGTAACTAAGCCTGCTTTTTATACGGTTCGTTAAAAACGAAATTTTCAAGCGAAACAATTAATTCACTCATCAAGTTAATATAAGTAAAAAAAAAAGGAAATATTCCAGAAAAATCTAGAAAAAAAAAATCTTTCTAGGTTTGACCAAAATTTGGCGGTTTTTGAGCTTCCAGTACTCTATTGGAAATTATGAGTGGATAACTGCAGCTTTTCCGCTCGAGACCCACCAATATGACTCAAAGTTTCCTTCTGGTCCAACGCCCTAATGTCAGGATTGTACGTGAAGACATCATCGACTGGCGCAAATACCGTAATCCTCGCATTACTGTCCTTCATGTAGGCCGTGGCTACTGTATAGTGGCCGCAAAGTGCGCGCCACTGCAAATTTTGGAATATGAAGGGAAAAAAAATGAAGCTTCTCCTCAAGCCTTGGTGACGCGAACCGGAATTTCTAGTGACCACTTTAGTGGCGTCAGCACTCTTAAGTGATCCCTAGAAGTGCTCAGAAAATTCCGGTTTCCGTTACCGAAGTACGAGCCAAAAGTTTTACTAAAAAGAAAAATTACCTTAAAAATTTTGATAGTTCCCAACACCATTTGGGATGTTCCAAGAAATCACTTAAGGGTCATTTTTCTATTATTCGGTTCACGTTATTTTTTTACTTCATCAATGTTGCACTGTTATAGTTTTTTTTTTCAGAAAAACCTGCTGCAGATCGGGCATCCGTTCAGTTTCGGCCCAAAGGTCGGCGAAAATCGCCGGGGTCAAAAAAGCCGCAATCACATAGCAAAATAACGTCATCACATATCCCTGAAAAATATTCATTCTTTTTTCTTTTTTTTTCAGATCATAAACTTGAAAATGCAATGGTCGCACGTGGAATGGCTCGAGGCTTTCTGTCAAAAGCCGCTTTGAGTCGGGCGCGCAGCCAAGCCATTCCAAATGCGACCAAGGCTTTCAGGTAATGTCGAGTCGAGCACAGCAGAGATATAGTGAAAGAAAAAAAGTAGAAAAGATAAAAAAAGCTACAAAATGCAGATCAAAATAGACCTTTTCCTATATTTTAACCTTTTTTGAAAGAAAAATTCAACAGAAGAAAAATAGACTTACATTCAAAACTGAGGCTTTTTTTCGTAGTTGATTCTTTTTTTGAGAATTTCTTCTCTCTTTAACAAAGAGAGAAAAAAATTTGTTTAAATTTGAATTTTAACTATTTTTTTAATGTAAATTCGAAAACGACAATGTGAAAGTAATCGTGAATATTTTTGAAAAAAACGAGGTAAAATTAATGGAAAGTCCAAGGAAGGAAATTCAAAAAGTTCATTTCGAGCTTGAAATCTACGAAAGAAGTTGAAAATTCAGACAAATTTTAAAAAAAGGCGAATTGCAATTTTTTTTTCAAACGGGCAACGTGGCAAATAGAAGCGGCCTCGAGAGGAACTCTTGAAAATCAAAGAAATTATCGAGTGGCGTTCTTTTATCCTCGAGTTGCGAGCTGAGAAATTATAAAAAAAAGATTATTCCCTTGAAATTTTTGAAGCCTGAAAGTTGCTAACTTTTTTTTTTACATAGTTTTACAATTTTCTTGAAAATTCGAGAAAAAGCTCAAAATCTTGCTGCCGTGCTCAAGTTTACCTCAAATCTTCACAGTAAATAGGCCTTAAAAAGTCTTTTCTAGGGCACGAGATCGATTCAATTTGAGAATATCCACCTCAACATCCAGGAAATCAAAAAGAAATCCAAACAGCATTAGACTCGAACAGAAGCTGATAATAATCGAAAACCTCTAAAAAAGCTTATCAATCATCAAAACTAAAAAAACACCGATTCAAAACTTCAAAAAATAAATGTCAAAGCCCATTTCCATAGCAGAAAGACTAACTGGAGAGTCGGAATAATCGAGAAAACCTTACAAAAGACCATCAACTCGTTCGTAGGCTGATATTGACCGAAAACCAAGTGAAAAAAGTCTTGAAAACCATAATTTTGAGCTCAAAAATCTGAAGACTTTGAAGTATACAATATTGAATCTAAAGAACAAGTTTTATCGTATAAACCTAACCCACAAATATCATAAGACTCAAAAATGGCTACAAACTCGTTCAAATACTGATATTGACCGAAGCCCAATCATGATGTTATGAAAATTCAAGAATTCAAGAATTCTAAATTCTAATAGATATCCTCAACAAAACATAATAAACAAGAATTTCACAAGAACCAACTCATACAAAAGCTGATATTGACCAAAAACAGAAATCGATAAGGGAGGCAGAATTTCCCTTGAGTCACCTGAAACGTCGGTGTGTGTGGGAGGAGAGCAAACACCGGACGATGGTCAGCCGTCTGACCGACGACCTATCGAGCCAAGGTTTCCGTTTCCGCCCTCTTCTCTTTGCTACGTAATTGCGAGAACAAGCCATTGTTTTTCAGGACCGCGACGCGTCGGCCCATACACGCGTCGCGGCGCCAAAATATTACAAGTTTCCCCCAAAATAACTGAATATATCGCAGCCAAGGCTTCTGGCGCGTTGCCACATCGCTCCCTCTCATGATTTTGAAGCTTAAAACAACTTTTTCGCTTTAATTTCGAATTTTTTGATGAAACGGTATAACGTTATTCTCACTGCATTATTTTCCATAATATTGGGTTTTTGATTGTGTTAGAAATGTTTATCACGAAAGCTCAAAATTTCAACAATAAACTCAATTTAAATTCCAGCCTGTTCAAATATCATTTCTGCATAGATGGGCGGAACAGTTCTGCAAAAAAAAAGAGGAAGAGAAAATTTTTGAGGGAAAAACCACCCAAAAAAACTGGGAAAATCAGCCTATTTGAGATTTAAAACCCCAAAAAAAACTAGGTGCTCACATGCAAGGAGTCTACTTCAAAAAAAAGTTCCGGGAACTAATTTTATTCCAAAAATTATAAAAGGGCCAAGGAAAAAACTGAGAAATTTTTTTTTGAATAGACAAAAACTAAAATTTCAAACTTTAGAAGGATAATTCGAACCTATTTTACGCAAATTATACATAGAAATCAAAGTTCAAGAGAAGAAGAAGAATATTAAAAAAGCTGAGAAATTACCGACACTAATCCATTCCATACAGAAAACTTCAGCAAGATTTTTAAAGGAAATTACAAAAAAAGATATGTAGCATGATTATAAAGTTTTGAAAAGCGACATTCTCTAGTGAAAAAAAAACCTATTCCAACCCGCAGGCACCTTGAAGACGCAAGTTCTAAACACAGTTTTTCCAGGTCCAGGAAAAGCATAAAAAGAAGTGTTGATGAATTACCTACAATAAAAGAGGCAGGAAAAGCCTTCTAAATCTTCATGAGGAAAAAATAAAGATTCTCCGTCTTCTACTTTAAATTTTAAAGACCAAGCCCACTCCAAAAATTCAAAACTAACGTCTAAATCTACTTGGCGCAAATTTTTCATAAAAGTAAAAGTTCATGAGAGGAATAAGAGAAAATTCAAGGAATAACCGAGACTTATCGAGGCAGGAAATGCTGCTCGTGCGAAGCAGCAACATGGGGAAGACGACCGGGAGCCAAAGGTTCGTGTTTGTGTTTCTATGTGGGCAAACAACGTCGGCGACATGGGCATTAGGGCTTCCTTTCGCCCGAAACTCCCGATTTATCTGATGTCCGAGTTTTGTTTTACATTCCAATTTGTGAAATTGTGTCTTCTTCTTCCCCGAGACAAAACAATTTTGTATTCCGCGCCAGCTTGTCACGATTTTCTTTTTCTTCAGGAAAGCTTCTGTGTACGGAGCCTGCCTCTGTGCGCGCGTCTTTGATATTACGAAAACTTTGGGCTGAATTAAAGGCGCATGCACAGAGACAGGCCACGCGCATCGAAGGGAAGGGTTCTGTAGTTGGGAGGAAAACAAAAATCGTGAATAACTAGCGCGTATCAGGCTGTACTCATCCTTGAAAAAAAAAAATCTTTTTCATAATTTGACGTCGTGTATATTGACAGTGGACCTTTTTTTGTTTATAGACTGCAAGGCGAAAATCAAAAGTATTTCTTTCTTTTTCTTGAACTAAGAGCTTCTGAAGTACACTTACCAGGTTAGACAAGTTTAAGATAAATAATTTCAGAGTTCGCTTAATTACAAAAAACTCTAAAAATCGGGCGAGGTTTTCGTTTAAGTTCTCCGGTATGGAAAAGAGAATAGAGGAAATTTTCCTAGTTTCTAATGCAGCAATCATCCAAAAACGATTTCCCTATATAATTTGATGGAAAACAAAGAAGAAAAAAAGATCTATTTTCAAGAACAAGTACTGTCGAAACTGGCTTTCACTACACAAAATCAAATTTAAAACTCAAGAATATTCACTTAATATTTATCTCTGTGCTCATTCGAAACCAGCAACAACAAAGAAACGAAATAAAACAGAAAAACTCGTTCAACTAATTTATGAGAGCTCCGTCAGGCTGCATCGCAAAATCCTATACAAACGGTTCGAAACGGGTTGAAAAAGTATATTGATTTATTGAGAGTTGGCCTTTCTCAATTGGTATTCGACAACGACGAACGGAGCCCAGAAGCCGAGAGCCAAGAAAGTGATAGCTTTAGTGGCGAACAGCCACTTGTTGTTCACGTGGAAGGGAAGGCGCTGAAAACATGAAGTTTTTTTTCTTCAAAACATATACCGCCATCCACTTTTTAAAGTTTCAAAACTTGCTGAAAACTTATTGTCAAATTTTTTGAAGAAGCATAAATAATTTTGAAAAAGGTTACAAAAGAAATAAAAGCCGTTTTCAGGTCATGGAAAAAATTCTTTGGACACCACAAAAAGAGCTTTAGGAGACTGTAGAGTGTGGAAAAACAATGAACTGATTGTAATTCAATTTCGTTCTCAAAGATTATCATTTGCGTTTTAAAAACTTCGCAACAGGTTTTTTTACATGTCTTACTTGATAAAAAATGCGAATCGGACTCAAATAATTCATCTATATGATGAAACTGAGCGAAACCCTGTTGTTTCAAACCTATATCGAAACTTCATGTTCAAAAAAATGCATCAATTTCTTCTAACCTCATAAAAATTATAAAATGGAGAAGGATATTGCATAAAAAATTCTGATCAGTAGTTGAAATAGGAATTTCCAAACTTCGACAACAAAGAAAACTTTCGAACGATCCGCATGCTGGTGAGTAGCACCCGCGGGTGCTACCGCCGATCACCCGAAACGCAATCTTTAGTCGCGAATAGACCCCATTCAAGTCTAGCGGTTCTACGCAAACGCTCAATTCAGGCGCCGAGCTCGCGTTTAGGCCCAGGCGATCGCCCGAAAAAAAAAAAACAACGGGTTACCGGCAGTAGCACATGTTTTGCAAAATTATGACGTATTAGCCTAACGGATACTACTGGCCAGCATCCTCCAGAATCAAAGCTTCTTAGCGAAAATAAATTAAATTTCAAAAGATAAACCTCTCTAAGGTTGCACTGTCCCTCAAGTTTGAACAGAAATCATTTGAAAAAAAAAAATAAAATAAAAACTAACAGCCGACGCCCAACCATCGTGGACGAAGGACGATGGCCCTTGGCCAGTGAATTTCACTGGAGCCGGCGTGTGGCTGCTGTGGTTGCGAGTGGCCTGAACGATCGGGCGGATGATTTGACGGGTAAGCATCTAAAAAACAATAGACTTGATGATAGAAATGAAAACGAAAACGAAGAAGGGCTGAACAAAAACACCAAAAAAATGTTTTTCTTTTCAAAATTTTTTAAGCAAGATACGCTCGAAATCGACAACACAGGGTTTATCGAGTACTAAAAAAATTAACTATTAAAAAAATTATAGCCAACTAGCTTATTTTTGAAGAAAACAAAAAAAATAAAAAAATTGAAATTGAAATTAGGCGAAATTCTTAGTTATTTATCGATAAGCGTTAAAAAAACAAAAAAAGTTCGTAACAAAAAAACTGTAAAGATTAGCAATAAAACCCCGCTGATTTGAATGAGAAGCAAAAACTGTCAAAAAAAAATAGAAAGAAACCAGAAATTTGGGTGAAACAATTGAAAATGAAAAACTTCCGCGAGTTGCGCTGAGAATTGTCGAATGCGGCGCGTCCACCGACCGCGACGCGTTCCAGCCGCCCGTTTCACTTTTGGCGGAAGTTCAAAATTTTAATATTTGAGGATTCCTTTTTAAATTGTGAAAAAATTATTTTTGAGTTTGAAGAAAAAAGGGCCAGAACGAAACTTGACGGTATTTATGGCTTCAGGTTGCATTTCAGGAAAACTTTTTTTACAGAGAATTAAACTTATTTCGTTTTATTTGAATATATAGTTTTTCAAAAAAATCTTTTATCAGCAGCCTTTCGCAAAACTTCGAAGTTCTATCATCAAGTTTCTTGGGACGTCACCACAAATTATCGAACTGACACGCCTAAAATGTCCCTAAATGACCAGAAAAGCCTAAGCCTATTTTAAAACATTTCTGCATCTTCTGATTGCAAAAAGAGACGCGTTTTACGGAATTAGGAAAGTTTCCACGTTTAAGGAGGTGATCAACCCGCAGAAAATAATCCAATTTCGACGCGTTCAGCCAAAAAAGGCAGCGAATCAGTGCCAAGTTTTGACACCCCCGATTCCTCAAAAGGACAAATTTCCCTTCAACAATTGGGTTCCGTTCAGCAACAAAAAAAAAAGTTTTTGGGGTTTTCCATTGTCTGATCCACTAAAAGACGGCCCGGGTGCGTCAGAACAGAGGTTTTGGTCATTTTGAATGGATCGCAATCTTTTTTTCCATTGGAAAGTTGAAAATGTAACGATATGACTACGATATTTACACAATTTTCAGGCCAAAATATGAACATGTTTCAGCAGAGTGAGAATTTTATACAGTAAGTAAAAAAACCTGAAATAATTGACTTTGATGTTACAGAATGAATAATTTTTATGCAGCCTTTTGTTGAGTTTTCGTTAGCTTCTCTGTTCCACCTATGAATGATCTAGCTGAAAAACTTTGGAGGTTTCCCTAAAGGAAGTCATAGTAAGGGCCCTATGAGCTACCCCTGTAGGAATCCCTGAAAAAATCCCTCAGTCACTCTTGAAGTTTTTTTATTCTCAAATGTAGAAAATCATAAAGCTGGGACGTCAGACTCGTCGCCACAGAAACGGAGCTTCTTTTTTTTGAGCGGAAATTACCTTTGCATGCTTTTAGTTTTCACAAGAGAAAGCTATTTCTGATACCAACCAGTACTTTTGATAGTTACAAGAAGGAATTCGAAACTTCTGTTTTTAAGAATAAACATAAAAAGGTTCTAGAGTCAGAACCTTAACTCATTCAAAACCAGTCATTTTTGAAAAATGACCAAAATGTCTGGCGCACCTTTTTGCCCACTTCCTAGGAAGTCACGCTTTTGAATTCCTCGGCATTTCTTGATTTCCAGTACATTGACAAGCTCTTCGAGGTCAAGATTTGTGTTCACAAATACCATTTGGCTTCAAGTTTTTTCGGAGACCAAAATTAGTCATTAACAAAACTTCAAAACTCGTGTGATGTGTATTATTTTCACGACCACTACCGACTGAGCCATGGAGACCTATCCTATCTACCCAGCGCGGGAGCCTAGCGGATCCTCAAAATTTCAAATTACGAAGGAAAGAAAAAACGTCCTATTTTGTGTAGGTAAAATTGGTTCAAACCCAGCCTCATTTCCATTCAAACCCCGAAAATGCACTACCATAAGGTCAGGAAAGATGATGGGAAAACAAGCAAATACGGCTGAATTCGTCGAGGAAATCGGTCAAACCGCGGCGCCACACTTCTCTCTTGGCCTATCAAAAGGGCGAAGTAGTGATAATCATCAACAAACGGATATGGTTCCACGTTCCTATCGATTTGCTTCGGTTTTTCAGGTCTTGCGAATCATAAATCCATAATAAAGTCTTTTTCTCAGGTTTTCGACAATTTTTGAGGGAAAAGCATCATTTTTCTCAATTTTCCTTTTATCAAAACATTTTACATGACTTCCACGGAATTATGTATTCAATTACCCAGAGTTATCCCTATAGAGGTTCGGGGAAAAAGACCCTACATAGGAAAAATAAGGCCCCATGTAGGGGTAAAGTTTGTGATTCCTCTAGGGATCTTTTAGTTTTTTTGTTCAGATTTGAAAGTTTTGTGCAGATCCGAACTTTTTCTAGATATTCTAGAGATCACTCAAGACATTTTACGCCGCTGAAGTGGTCACTAGATTATTGATTTACAGAGGTCCGAGTCAGTACTGAAAGTGGTCTTTTTTTATCCATGGAGCGTATTTGATTTGTCATATCAGCCTTTTTCTTTGAAAAAAAAACAGGATCTTGGAATATCTGATTGATTACCTGAATGCCTAGATAAATGTGAAAACTAATTAGTTTTATTTCTCTTTTTCAACCCTTCGTTTCCAAAACTGACCGAAGAAAAGTCTCTTGCCCACCACTTTACACACATCTGTGGTTTTTTGTTGCCACCAGAAAAAGAAGAAGAAGGAAACAAAAAAGTTTTGGTTTCTCCAGGCGGCGTCGTCGAATGACCACGGGGGGTACGTCGAGAGACGTCTTCTGACAATTTCAAGAATCGTCTGAATTTGCATGATCTTTTAGAGAACGCCTGACCCGGAGGAGTTGTTCGAAAACTAAGAAGCTAGGCTTGAAATACCCGAAAAGTCTGTTGAGAAGGCGAAGAATAGACATTTTGAAAAAAGGAATGAAAATGGACCAAGTTGTGTAGAAGCTTGTCAGTGAGTCTAAGCAGGGATGGAATTCCGCTTGACCGTAAACAAATTTTACCAGTTATTTTTGATCTGGAGGAGCTGGAATTATCAAAATCTGTTGAAAAAAGAGGCTGAAGTACGAATTAAAAAAAAAAGTGGTTCAGCATGTTCAGAAGCTGATAGTAAGTCTAGAAAAGGAAAAAAAAAATTGGGTTTGCTGTGAAAACAGAACAAAAAATTATTCTTTTCGTCGGATAAGAAATCCTCATTATACATTGTCTCAAGCTAGCATTCAATCTTCGTCATTTTTTTCAGCTCTGTCCGCTAAATAATTGTCCCCCGGGGGTTCCGCGGAACACACACACTTTCATTATCACTGCCGCCCGCCATCATCATATCAGTCGACGTCGTCAATTCAGAAGAGAGAAAAAGTGTCGGAAGGGCGGGTCTTCTCAAAGTTGGACGGCGTCGTCCCGGGCGCCCCGCCTCTGACAATCGACGGAATGTGGTGGCTGCGGCGCTGTGGCCGCGTCCTCCTCGTGGTCATCCTCGTCGTCGACCTCGTCGACTCCCGTGGTTTCCATGGCATTCCAGGTTTTTTATTCAGTAGTTTCCTGAAAATTCCCCTTTTCCGGAATTTTTAACTCGTTTTCCGAAAATTATGCATTTCTGATGTTTTTTTTTACTTTTCTTAAGAAAAAAAACTTGAAACTTTTAAACAAGAATATTTGTTTTTTTCTTTTGATTAAAAAAACTTTTGAGCAAAATTTCACTTTCCAAAAAAATTGCAAGATATTTTTTTAAGTTGCGCGTAAAGAATAGTTACGCAAAAAGTATGTCAGAGTTGCCGGGTTTTTTTACTTCTTATTTTTTTTTTTACGTTTTATTTTTCTTGTTTTTTATAACGCGTATTCAATATGGAAACGGAGAATACTCTCAGTTCAATAGTTTTGTTCATTGGATTGTTGCGAAGTTGTAAATTTATCAATTTCGAAGAATTTTATTCCGTTTTGGGGCCTGTTAAATTTCTCCAATTATCAAGATTTTATTATTCGAACTTTGATATTCTCAGTTCGTTCGACATAACTCATTTGTATAAATCAGGTATTAGATTATCATTTTCAGACAGAGGGTTACTTTGTGAAATTTCTAATTTTTTTCATTGAAAAAAAGTCAAACTTTTTTTAACCACTGTTTATTTTTTCTTTTGCCTTTTTTTCTAATTTCTGAATCTTTAAAAATTTGTTAATCATTTTTTTTAATACACTTAGGCGGGTCAACAAACTCACCCATTTCTTTTCAAAAAGAATTTTTTTATAACTTTTTTAGTGTTTCCAAACGAACTATACTTTCTTCCCGAGCTCCACATCGAGTTAGATGAAGAAAACTAGACAAAGAATTTTTTTCCTCACACTAATTAGTCATGCGGTTCAGAAAGTTTGACTCATTTCCACTAATTGTTTTCAACTTTTCATCTTTTTTTTTCCTGTTGGTTTCCTTGGCAACGTTGACTTGGAAACTTCCGAAGTTGAATTTTTTTGACCTATCCAATTAATTTCTTCTTCTTGGAATCTAAACGTTGATAATCATAGAAAATTGTGGCCGGAAAAAGGAAATTCAGGGAAAATTTTATATCACCCGAATACAGAGTATTTGGAAGATGGAATTTATATCCTGATCTCAAGGAAATTTTATTAAAAATAAAGAAAATCGATTCTAGGAAGGTACTGTTCGGTGAGGACGCCGACATGTTGCACAAACCGCGACGACGATTGCACGGCCCCGATTTTGGGCGATCATTTGTGCTACTGCGACATGTTCTGTGATCGTGGCCCGGATGGAGGTCTCTTTTTGAATTTTCCTAGGATCCTCGGAGAAGATCGGAGGATGAATTTGTTTCCTAGGCGTCTTGAGAAAATTTAGAAAGCGTAGTTTTTTTTTTGGCTTTTTCAAAGAAATTCAGAAAATGATCGTTTTTTAAACTACCATAAAACTACAATAGCTCATAAAGTCTAAAAAAAACATCGAAAAAGGCTCAAAATTAAAAAAAAAAATCATTTTCAACTTGCAATTTGGGTATACTCCGAAGTAATGAAATATTTCACAGAAAAAAAAAGCTAATCTGAATTATAACTTTCCAATAATTCCAGTTTCACCAGTTTTTTTCTTTAAGACTTGTTCTTTTTGTCGAATTTTAGAGACTTTTAAAACTTTGAGTCCGGATCATTTTCTGTTTCCAAGATTTCATTAATTTTCTGGCAATTGAAACATTCTCTGAGTTTGTTTGTTTGTTTGTTTGTTTTTTAATTTTTAGTGAACCTCAATGAAAAATAGAATTACAGGGCAATTTTCGATCAGTAATTAGATTAGAGCCTTTTTGGTTCCAAATTATAGTCATTTCTTTATCTTGACTCTTAGATTTCATTTTCGGAAAGGATGGTTTTGTTCCTAACAGAGAAATATTGGAAATTCAATTTCATGAATCGGAAAAGAACAAGAAGGAGTTTCAAGCATTACAAATAATATGAATAAAGTGTAAATTATTTTTGAAATAAGATAATTTTTTTATTTCAAAGCTTCTTTCAATGGAGATATGTCCATTCCTGGTTGTTTTTCTTCCTTCAAATTTTTAGTTTTTGCAAAAAAAAACCTTGATTTTCGTGAGCCCAATGGACAAACATTTTTTCCTAACCAATTTTTGGGAATCCTCTTTGATTTGAGAAAAATTTAAAAAATTCCTCTTCAGTTGTTGCCGTTTTTCTTTTTTAACATTTTTTTCAAATTCTTAATTCGGCATTCTATAACTAAATACAGACAATAACTCCTCAATTAATTACCCAAATTAAAATGGGAAAAGTAGTTAAAACAAATTTTTAGGAAATGACTGTTGCCCTGATTTTGAAGCGACTTGCCGTGGCGGCGATGAACGAGGCAGCTGGCAACTTTCCGGCGAAGGTTTGAACTGGACATTACTGTTTCAAAGCGAAAATAACAGGATTTTTTTTTTCTTATTTTTATGGCCACTATCAGTGCTGCTGATGAAAATTCATTTATATCATGAAAATTCATTTATATCATTGAGTAACTGTGAAGAAATCTTCTAACAGTGTGACCGCTTCGCGGGGCGCCCCGGTCTGGTCAGCAGCTCTGGCCACTATGGCACAGATTGAGAAATAGCAAGGTCGAATTCAGTTCATTTTGTTTTTTAAAATTTTTACCAATCCTCCTTTTTAATGCCTAAAATTTGCAAGTTTTTCTCTTGAATTTTCCCATGTATCAGTACTCATTCTTTATTTACAGCTAAATTGTTACGAAAAAAATTCCGCTGATTTTTCTTAAAAAAATCTTCGCACTATTTCATCAGAAACCTTTTTCAAATATACTGTTTCTTCGGGGTTATTTGTTGATTCCAATCTAAAAGAATGGGGAAAAACTGTAATAATGAATGAGTTTTTCGAAAAAAGGATCCTGGATCAGCGAAATAGCTGACGAAAATGTGAGGTTTTTAGAGAAACATATGAATTTTTTCTTGACAAGGTTTTAACGATTAATTTTCCGTCATTTTTCCTCATCTTACCCCATCATTGCTCATGTTACAGCTTGCGTTGTCGACGGCGTTCACTACAATGAAGGCGATCAAATACAGAGAAACTGCGAACAATGGTAAATTTAAATGAATAATTTATTATATTTTTTTACGTCTATATTATCTGCTCTTGCAGCTCTTATCAGATATTTTTTTAGGCTCATTGGAATGATTTTTTTCGTTTGATTTTTTTAATTCACAACATAGTTAAATAAAAATTTCTTCAGCGATTTTTTTGAGTCAAAACGGAATTTGGTGCTTTAAAAAAAGAAGTATAAGGTGATTTGAGTTTCAGAGAACCTTGCAAACCTAGAATTATAGGAATTTTCGCATTTCTGAAAAAAATTTAAAAAGTGAAATCAATATGGAACGTGGGAAACTGAAAAAAGATATTTTCGTTTTGAAATAGGATTTGCTCTGCGTTTTTTTGAACCGCAAATATTTTTTTCTATGTTTTTTTTCTTGAAATTTGAATTTCTAATCAAAAAAATTTTTCGAAATTTCTCAGCCTTGAATTGTACTAAATTCTAAAGAAAAAATTCCGCAAAAAACTGCACTCTATTGCTCATGATAACCAAAGTTTGCTTTAGTACATGGGTGTTGAGTTTGGGCGGTCAAAAACGTCGAGAAAGACGGATCATTTGCGCCCCTCGGGGAATATTTCTCCAACATAACACAATAAGACGATCGTGGCATCCGAGGGTTTTGATGATTGCATGTCCCTCAGATTGTGGGTTCAGATTTGAGAAGCTTTTCTTAGGTTCGAGAAGGAGGTTTTTAGTTTTGAGGGTGGTTTTTGGGTAGCAGAAGGACATGTCGGAGTTATTTCGAGCTTCGAAAAAAGCGAGGTGAGAATATAAATGGATAAAATTGAGTTAGCAAAATATTATATATATTTTTTTGTTTTTAGTTCTGATGGTAATTTTTTGAGTGGGAGACAGGGAATATGAAGGTGAAAGGGGACTCTACAAGAAAAAAAGTAGACTATCAAAATAAACAGAATAAAAAAATTGCTGGCGACTTGAATTTTTTTGAAGTTCAATTTAGCAGGGAGAATCACTGAAAAAAACTGTGTTTTTTTGACAAAAAAATTTGAAGTTTAAAAATTCAGGAGAAATGAACTTAGAAACTTTGTATTTAAACTTTTTTTCTTTCACAGCACTTGTCGTTCAAACATGTGGAGCTGTGACGGAACAACTTGCCTGATTCAACCGGACATTTTGGACAAGGTCAAGACCGGAAGATATTCGTCAGTTTTTCCTCTTTTTTTCCTTAGAAGTTAGAAAGTTATATTGAAAAAAATCGATTCAAATAGGTACAAACTTCGAAGAAAAAAAATAGCTTAAAATGCGGATTTCCTTCAATAAAAAAACTTGTTCTGTAAGAATTAAAAAAACAAGTCTGTAAGAATTCTTCTTTCAAATTTTACAAAAAAGGTTCAAATCGTAAAATTTTGAGAAAACAGGCCACAATACGGAACTCATGATTTGAAAAAACTCGTGAAATTCAGGGAATTAAATAAAAAATGACAAATCACGAGTTGATATGACAAATTTCAACTGTCTAACCATTTTCCTCCACTTTTTTCATCCCTTTCCATTTTTTCCGTCGCGTTCCGATCCGCTTCGGAATTGACTTTCGAATGGAATACTTGTAATGTAATGTACATTGGAAACTCGTTGTCCGACGCCGGATTCGCCATTTTTTTTCGTTCTCCCATCTTTTATGAGACTATTAAAATTTGCAGCGGAAGTTGGAAAAAGTTTGGATCGGATGAAATCATTGGGACAAAGTTGTACGGTTCTGAAGAGTTTCAAGCTTTTAAAGAATAATCTTTATTTTCAAAAGATGAATTACGATTATTATGATCAGATGTGTTTTTGTACGATTTAGATTTAAAATTTCAGGTGTTCGAATATCTTTTTTTCTTAAAAAAATTTTTTTATATCAAAAAGGAATAAAAGCTTTTACAGATCTTTCAAAGCCTGGAAACGTTTTTTTCAATGAAATAATGAATAAAGTCCCAAATTTTAAAGTTTGAAAGCTTCAATGAAAAGTTCAAGTACCTTAAAACTCCAATAAATTCTGAAATTCTCTTTTTTTCAAATGAAAGTTGACACTTAGACGTTTTTCTGAGTTTCCCGAATAATTGTTCTATTCAAAAAAACGTTCTGAAATTCAAAAAACCTCAAAAAAAGCGCGTCGAAGTTGAGCTTTTTTATCAGAACAACTGCGCTCTACTGCAAAAAGATCTTTAAAGAAGTCGTTCTGAATTTTTTTTTTTCGATTAAATCTAACAGATTTAACTTCCTATCTGCTGACGAGGGCTATATTTTTCAATTAACCGCTCAAAAGCGGTCATTTTTTCGAAGTTAATGAGTTTTCTTTTTCTCAAAAAATGGCTTCAAAACATTTCCGCTTCTTGTTATAATCTTTTTTTATCGGAATATCATTTTTTTTATTGGTACACAATTTTTTTTCAAATCGCTTTCCAATGCATCTTACTAGCGGAACCAAGGCCATAACTCTCGGGTGTTCCCCTCTTGGAAACCCACCGAGAAAACAATAAATCTGCGGCGAACCGTCCGTAACAAGTTCCTGCGAGAGAGGGCTCTGTGTTCGCGCCCATCAAGATCATATCAGTTCTGATATCGTCACCTTTTGCCACATTTCAGGACAATCCCAATAAATATATCGTCGTTACTTATCCGATTATTCGCATTCAACTCATTTCAAGCGACAGCCAATAATTTCATACAGAATGATAAAAATGTAAGAAAATAATTTCATTAGAGTTTCGGAACCAAGGGAATGATAAGTAATCGAAAATTGATCTGAATGGAGTTTTTTAGCTGTAGAGCGCCATTCGGAAGCGATTCATAGCCAGTCATACCTTCTCCAGCGGAAAAAAAGTCACGATACTGGGAAAGAATTTAGTCACCACTCAAGAGGTTACTCAAGGGCTATTTTAAAATGATACTGAGCTGGCCAATAAAAACCACCTTTATTGTAGTAACTATTTTTAAATTTGGAAATTTTTGAAAGTTGCAGAGACAGCGTGTTAAAGACCTAATATTTCAATTAGACTTATAAAAAGGCCACCAATCATTAGTCACTCAAGGGGCCACAATTTTGAATGCAATAGTAGCCATTGAAACGTCAAAACCCTAAAACGATCACTAAAATTTTTCCCGGGCTCTAAAACTTTCAGCTCATTTTATCCGTAGAGCGCAAGTGAAAGTAATGAATGAATTTTTTTTTCGATGATTTTTCGGTGCTGAAAATGGGTAATAAAGGATTGTTGTAAGTCTTCGATTCTCATCGTGTTTCTTTTTGACAATTATTCTCAAAAGACTACTTTTGGCGTTAGTGTATCTTCTTGGCTTTCAGATGGTCGGCCCGAAACTACACCAACTTCTGGGGCCGAAGCCTCAGCGATGGAATCAAATTCCGTCTGGGTACCCTTTTCCCGGAACAAAGTGTCCAGAACATGAACGAGATCGTCATCAAGCCGAGAGAGCTTCCCGAGTCGTTTGATGCCAGGGAAAAGTCGGTTTTCAGAACCTCACTTTAAAATGTCAGCTTATTCTATTTCAAAATCTTATTTCCAACGATTCTTTTGGTTTGTCTTATCTTGAGAGTTAGAGAAAAAAAGTTTTTAGAGATCATTTTGAATAAATGATTACAGATGGGGTGCCCTTATCCATCCAGTTTTGGACCAAGGAGATTGCGGAAGCAGTTGGTCCGTTTCTACTACAACTATTTCTTCGGATCGGTACTTTTCAGCGTAAAATTATCAATCTGTTTGAATTTTGAAGGAGGATGACTGAAATAGTTTCTATCGTGAGATAAGACCCAAAACAGATAACATGAGTCAATAAAAACTCCAGTGGCCACTACAGCTTCTCGCAGTACATTTCATAGATTTCAGTTTTTTTTTCACTTGCCAAGTTCATCTATAAAAACTGCATTTTCGCCTTTTTTTTTTTAGTATGGTTTGGTTCTGTATAGCCCATTTCGCGCCACTACTGCTTCCTTTTTTTCTGAAAAAAGGACCGTATACTACATTCTAACGAACTGGACAAAACTTCCCTTCGAGACCTTTGTTTTTCGCATTATTTTGGAGTACTTTCGTGCAGTTTTGTAGAGCAAACGAGCAGAAGAAGCTGTGCTTCAATAACTATTATTTTTTGCTGTGCCTTTAAAACGTGGCCGTCAGGTCCTATAAATGTTATGAAAATTAATTTGAAACATGATTCTTTTTTGAGACTCTCGATCATCAGCGACGGGAAAATCAAGGCTTCGATCAGTCCCCAACAGCTTCTGTCCTGCAACCAACACCGACAGAGAGGCTGCGAGGGCGGCTATTTGGACCGCGCCTGGTGGTATATCAGGAAACTCGGGTTCGTTTCATTTTTGAGCGAAATCGTAATTGAAAAAAAAAAACTTTCTGTGAAAAATTGATAAGCAGGAATGACCTCAATCTTGGCAGCTTTCCCCAGAAATGTTCTTCAATTCCTCAACTTTTTTTCTCGGTTTTTTTCCTCGATTCTTGCTCTTCCAAAGTTAATTTTTTTGAAATTCGATTTGTCACTTGCAACTTTGTGTCAATTTCTTTAAAGATCTTCCCGGTCCTTGTGAGCTTTTCAAATTTAATAAAATTGAGTTATTTTGTTTTTCTTAGATTTGTCTTTTACAGTTTTATTTTTATTTATTCCGTTGGAATTTGAGAATTCCAAGTTGTTGAGATTATATCACTGAAGAAAAGGCTTTTTCCGACTTTTTTTTCACTTCGCTCATATTTTTTATAGTATTTTTTTTCAATTTTATTAATAAAAGAAAAATTTGTTTTTGCAAGAATCTTTGTTTGTTCCATTTTCATTGTTCAGTTTAAGAATACAATTTCCTAAAATCGTACTTTGATACCAAATTTAAGTTTATGGTTTTTCCAAACTATATAACAGATTTTTTTCTGAATTTCTGCTCCTTTATAGTACTTTTTGGATCATTTATTGTTTTTTAAAAAGATTAATCGAACAAAGCTGTCAAGATTTTGCACCTTTTTGAACCCATTTCCTCTTTCTTCCTTGCCTTTGTACCTGGAGCCCCAAGTCGATGAGACAAGGTCCTATCTTGATATCAATGATAATCAAAGGACCGGCTCGAGTGACATATCAGTCATGGTGTGTGACGGTTGTGGGTTCCAGAGCCGTAGTTTTGTCAACATTTCTCAAACCCCGCACCTCTTTCAAATCCTTTTTTTTTCGTTCATTGTTAAATTCCTTGAACTCGACTGACAATCTTCCTGAAAGAAGTATTTTCAGAGTCGTCAGCGAGGAATGCTATCCGTATGTTTCTGGAGTCTCCCGCGAGCCTGGCCATTGTCTCATTCCCAAGAGGAATTACACGTTTGTTTTTTTTTTCAGCGTACTTGAAAAGGAGAAAAGTCAAGTAAGATGGTAGTTTTATGACAGAAATAGTTCAACCTGAACCTCAACTTGTCCTAAAATGAAAATTTATTTTGTGAAATACACGAGCAGGTGATTTCAGAATCGAAATAAAATAACTCAGGGTTGGGCTTTTCTTAGGCTTAGAGCTCAAAAAAATAGGCATATAAAATTTATTTTTCGAACAATTCCTGCCTTAAAAAATTTGGGGACAAAACCTTATTAAAACAAAATTTTACACATTAATTCAAGATGGCATGTATTTTTGAAAAAGTTTCGAAAATTGCCCTATCTATCGGTTGATATACGACTTGCCCAGAAAAAAAGACTCATAAATTCTTAGATGCGCAGGTACTTACCGTAACCCGACTGTAAGAGAAAATGACTAAAAAAGTTTTGTCTGCAATCCTATGATAACAATGGAAGAAATTTCATCAAAATCCAAAAAAAAAGCTTTTACTTACTCTTTTTGAGAATTAAAGAAACAAAGTGTTAAGGCACTGATAATTTCCGATTCGTTCAATAGTGTTCTTCAAAAGAAACAAGATAGTGAAAATGAAAATCCTTGAAAAATTTCTTGAGATTTAAGCGCAACACAACTTCCAATATTTCAAGACACTAATTTAATTTGCGCAAAGATCGTCTGATAAAATTTCAAGCGGAAGAAGAATGTTTTGTTTTTATTATTTATTCATTTTTATTCTTCCAGAAATGGCCAAGGAATCCGATGCCCGACTGGCCATCCCGACAGTACCGCCTACAAAATGACGCCGCCTTATAGAGTTTCTAATAGGTATGTTGTTGATTTTAATAAAAAGCTTCTCATAGAAATCAAAAAAAAAGTTCAAGATTTGTGATCTTCTATTTTGGCAGAGAGGAGGACATTATGACGGAGCTGATCACCAACGGACCGGTCCAGGCGACTTTCCTGGTTCACGAGGACTTTTTTATGTACTCTGGAGGAGTCTATCAACACAGCGGACTGGCGTCGCAGAAAGGAGCTGGAGCTGTTGGAGAAGGATATCACTCTGTTCGAGTTTTGGGGTGAATATTTCCAAATTTGGGAGAAAAAAGAGTGAGAAATGAGCCGCGAGAAATGTTAAATATAGAGCCTAAGGAGTGCCACTAAACGTTTTAGAGACCATTTTATGGGTATCGGTGGACAAGAGAGCTTCTAGAAAAAAAAAATACCCTCTTTCTCATTTTTGAATTATAACTTTTGAAGATTCGAGTCCCGAAAATCAAATTTTTCAATCAAAGAGAGAAAATCACGGTTTTCGAAAACATTGTTCAGTTGAAAATTGTTATAGCTTTGATTGGATACAGAAAAAAAAGGTTAGAGATCAAGATGGCTTGGAGAAGGGCCACAGAAATACTGCGTGGAAAACATGAGAAAAGCCGCTTCATGGAACTTTCTGAATTTACAAGGAGAAAAATGAAAAAATGGCAGTTCGACACTTTATTGATAGTCTTTTTTGCTTTAGAAGTAGAATTGTTGAGCTCTCAATTCTTAAAAAAAACATTTTTTTAAAAAGCTTTTTTGACTTTTTATTTGTGTTTTTACCATGCAAGTTAGGAGATTTTCCATTTTTAGATGGGGCGTTGACCACTCGACCGGCCGAGCCATCAAGTATTGGCTGGCGGCCAACTCCTGGGGTTCCGATTGGGGCGAAGAAGGCCTTTTCCGAATCATTCGCGGCGAGAATCATTGCGAGTTCGAGAGCTTCGTCATTGGTATTTTCTTCATTTTGACTCGAAAACCCAGTTATAAATGATTTACGAAAGCCTGAGTAGTTTTTTGAGGGTTTAGGGAGAAAAAGAGGCCCCATAGGGGTCAAAAAGGTTGCCCCTCTAGGGGCCTTTTTAAGTGTTCTTCATACAAATAATGTTTTACTTCAGAGTTTCCCAGTTTTTTTAAACCATTTTAAAAGGACTTGAAAAAAAAACTTACCTGTCTGCGCCCTCCTTTCCCTTGTCATCAAAATAGCGAGAGAGCGTAGATAAAACAGAACTTTTTTGAAAGGAAAAAAAAAATGAAAGTTTTTGATGGTGCGAAAAGTTTGATTGAAATTAGAAAAATTCATTTTCCAGGAGCCTGGGGCAAAGGAGCAAAGCGGAGGAGACGCTTCAAAATGCGAAAAACTTCGTCGTTTCAGAAAAATTCTTCTAATCTCTTCCAAAAAAAATTTTATTTGAACCAAATTTATGTTTTTCACCGCTTGTCTCAATTTTTTTCGTTTTGCGTGAGCTTCCGGTTTTTCCTAATTTTTTTAGTCCTAATTTGCTACAACAGGGTCAGGTATTGACAATAAATTTTTAAATTTTTTTATATTTTTGTTGAAATGGCTAGAGACTGTTAGATACATGGAGATAGTCAGACGATTTCCGCGTCTGGATCTCTCTAATTTCCGTACCTTCTCCGTTTTTTTTTGAAGTTAATTCTCATGAGGATTTTTCTTACAATTGTTTTATTTTTTTTAATTGCTATTTTTTTAGCGGCTCAATTTTCAGAGCCCTTCTTATCAAATTTTCTAGATGATGAATGATCTTATCACTGCTTTTTCTTCCTTCTTTCCCTGCCATAATAAGCTTTCATTTTTCCAACTTTATTCTCTGAAAATTGATAAAATCTCGACGAGAATTGAGAAAATGTTTTTTTACAACGTGCCGGAATGATTGAAACGGTGTGGAAATACATGAGAGTGTGTGTGTGAAAAAAAAAACGGGTTTTTTCTCTTTATTCTTTCAGAGATGGAACAGAAGAATCGAAAGGCATTGGTGGAGAAAATGGGCTTATCTTCATCAATTCATCATATCAAGGTCTTTGGCGGCGCAAGAATTTTTTGGGTTGGTTTTTCATTGAAATACGAAAAAATGGCCACTTTCCCAGCTCATAATAAGGAAAAGAAGTGGCTGGGAAGGTGAGAAGTACTAAAAAAAAGCGTCTTTATTACTTCAAATGCGCTCCAAATAGAAAAAGAGAAAATTAGCTGGAAGATAAGTGATTTTCAGTCTGTTAGGTTCTGAGCTTAGGAACGCCTAAGTGGTCCCTAGAGGAGTTAATGAACAAAATAGCGCTCCATAAATGGATAAAATTCAGGTCGTCCTAAGAAGTCAGTAAAATAGTAAAGTATTCCAAGATGAAAGAAAAAAAAATTCGATTTTTGAAATAATTTTTTTTACCTCAATCAGAGGATTCCTTTTGTCCCGAAAAAGTTAGAAGCAAAATAAATATTTATGATCCAACGGGTGCAGAATCCTCGATCGAGTTCCGATTTTGAATCCATTGGGTCAGACGGGGAATCAAACCAGTGTTGGTCGTTTCTTTGTACCTAAAAAAATAAGATTTTGACAACAATTTTATAACTTTATTATTTTATACGCGACTTTCTGGTTTTTTTCTCCGGTAAAGAATAAAGTGAGTTATCTATACCCCTTCAAACACAAATCACATTAGTTGCGGTATTTAATCGTTTCAAGACCTTTTCCTAGTAATTTTCACTTCAACCTCGATATTTTGCAAGCTGGCGATGATAAGATTAAAAATAATCGAAAAACTTCTAATGGTTTTTCGAAAACCCACGCCTCCGTAACATCCTGAAGTTCAGTAGAAAAAAAAGAAACGGAACTTCATTTCAAAAGTCGAAATTTCATTTGAAATATTTGTGGACCATATTTTTCAATTCTTTTTCCTCTTACAAGGATGGTCATTTTACTTTACGCTTGGGAATTTCCTGAAAACTCCTTGATCTTTCTGAAAGTTTCAAACTGCCTAACTTTTTTGTGGAAGCATTTCCAAGTCGAAGAAAACCTCAAAATCCTTAAAATTAGCCATTTTTGGGCTCTTATTACTCGTAAACTAGAAAACTGCAGGTTGAAACTTTCAGGATCTATTTTTCAAACATCAAGGAGTGTTCTGGGGAATTTGCACGAATTTCCCAACCACAAATATTAATGTATATAGATATATAACAAAGAACGAACTTGGCCTTGAGTTCCTTGAAAGACATCCGATTCTGAGGTTCCGTTTCGAAGCAAGCCGTCATTATGACGGCGTCTTCTGAAGTCATATCTTCCGGCGGTTTGAGCCGAAGTCCTTCCCGAAGAACCATTTTTCGAACCAGTTTCAGTTGCTTCAAAGTACTTGTATTTTTTTCCTTCGAAATTTTCGGAGAAACATTTTTTTTTTCATGTTGTTGATTTTTTATCATAATTAATAGGGTTCTTTAAATTGATTCTTTTTTGAATATTTTTGGTAGTTTGTGTAAGTAGTGTCCAATAAATCACAGCAAGCTCAGGGCAAGAAATACTGAAAAAAAAAATCTAAACCTCTCTTTTTAGCACGCTATTTCGTTATTCATGTCCAGAATTTCCTTTAATGATTTCTCAAGCCAGAAGTTATCTAATTTAGCCTCAGTTTCACCAAATCTGTCTTATAACCATTTTCAAAAGACCTTCATTTAAAAAAATGTATTCACTTCCACAAAACCTGTTCTAATGTCTTATTTTTCTGTAATATTTTTCGTAAAATCTAGTATTTTTCCTTTCGAATTACCTTAATGTCCTTGTATGGTGTCTCTCCATTGGAAAACACTTCAAACATGAGAACGCCGAAGCTCCAAACGTCCGTTTTTGAAGAATACATTCCCGTTGCAAGTGTTTCCGGGGCCAGCCATCTTTTTTTTTGTTGAGATTTTTGAATCATATCCATAATTTTGATTCTGGGAAATGGCTCAAGTGCGCTGGTGATTGCTCTGCGCCCGACTCCGAGCGACTTTGTCATTTGCTATACTTTAGAGAAAAAGCGAAAAAATCGCCACGCGTTGAGCCATTCCCAGCGCGAACATTTTTGTTTAACGTCTGAATTTCGGTACCTCACTGGAACCTTGAGCATTTTGTTCTCCTTGTGTAGCTTCCCATAAAGCGAAAGACCGAAATCGCTGATTTTACAGTTGTCGTGCTTGTCCAACAGGCAGTTCCTGGCCGCCAGGTCTCGATGTATAACCTTCAAGAATTTCTTCAAATATTTTTTGGTCTTTTATTATATTTGTCACAAATATTTCTATAAGATCAAGGTGGCGAAAATAGATACTGTCTTAAAGAGCTGAGTAATTTTCTGTTTACAGAGTTTTTTTCAAAGCGTCTGACCCGAAACTACTTGCGCTAGAAAGCACAAAATTCACTACTCACGACGATGTTTTTTTGGTACCTTTTTTTCACCGGAAAGGACCCGTAAAGTGATAATGATTATCATCTACATATCACAACGTGCGTGGAGGCCATCAAACCACGTCAAATAATCAATTATGACGCAGGTATCGTATTAATTGATCTGCATCAACTTAACGTAAAAAAACAACTTCAGACAATACAAATCAGCGACACTGAATACGGGGCAACCTCATGTCAACGAAGAACAGAACCCGCAGAACAACAACCCGCAACATCCGCTTTTCCTAACCAAATGATTGAACAAATTAACATCGCTCTTGAGCAAAAAAAGGGTCAGGGAATTTCTCAGCCTGGGTCATTGAAGCCTGCCGTCGGAGACTAACGTCAGAAAAGAGAGCATATACATCAATTAAAAGTGATGAAGAATGAACATCCCGCGTTCTTCCCTCCGAACAGGACGATATTGTAAATTCACTTAATTACGAGGGCATTGCAGTAATTGAGTTGCAG